TCATTCAAGAACATTGACATTAATATTAATGATTAATGAAAACATTAATTTTAAAATTAATGTTAATGTTTTTCATTAATCATTAATATTAATGAATTAAGTTTTTCTCAGAAAACATTAATCATTAATATTAATGGCTAATGGAAGTCATTAATTAATGTCATTAATTAAGTTCCGTTAAAAAAAATGGTCCACCCCTACTTATAAGCTTTCTTGACATTGTGTGAAATAAAAATAAGGAACGAAAAAAGAAGAATAGTTAAGTAAGAGCTATTAATACGTTATTTTTTACATTCTAAATAAACTCAGATATCACATAAAAGTCAATATTCTCTAGACACTTTTGCGGCTACTCGCAACATCATTGTGAAATGAGAAAACTTCCAAAGCATACCATCCTAATCTTCAAATATTCTCTTCATAGTTAGAAATCGTGAAACAAGCTACCAAGTATATTTTTGTTTTGGCACAATCAGACTGAAGACATTAATATATTCTTCGCTATACGTTAGAAAAGTTAATAAAATTTATATCCATCTATCATGACGTGCGACTACATAATAATGTATTGCAACACAAAGCTATAATATACCGATTATACAGTACCCAGGTCGAACATTCCGGGGACCGGAACCTGTAGGATACTCCAGGGAATATGCGGGAAAGTCGCCATATCCTGCCGGAAAACACGGGAAATCGCTGGAACATGGAAGCAGTATTCCGGTCAAAAATACGGCCAGACTTTTTCGGCGAATTCCTGTCAAGTTCCGGTGCTTTCCGGCAGGAATTGATCGGAAATCATCGGAAAAATTTCCAACCGGAATACTGCTTCCACAAAATCAACGGAACCACTCGGAACCGGCCGTTTCCAGACCGGACTGTTCGACCTGGGTACACAAAACAGTAAAGAAGGCAAAAGCGAATGGTGAAGATGGCACAAGTACGTTTTACTTCTTTCATAACATATATTGAAGAATATATTAATGTCTTGAGTCTGATTCTATCAACAACAAAAACAATGTTGCTCGTTTATATCAATACTCTTAGCCACAAAAAGAATAGGCCAAACATAGGATGGTATACTTCAGAGCTTTTCAAACTTTCAAATGTTGTTACTAGCACATTTAGCAGAAACGACGAAACTTAGTCTCACTTATAATTCGAGTTCATTTAGCATTTGAAAACAGCGGTATTCATTAAATTGCAAAATCTGTAAGCTTTTGAGGATATTGTTAACGAGTTCGAAAATTTTATAATAGATAATGCAAGTACCGAGCTACATTCTTCTTATGCCTTTAACCTCTTTAATCTCACATCTCACTAGTTACTTTAGTCATTTTTCGGTGTGGTTGACATAATAACTTCGTACTTTCTCATATCAATCTTCATTTTATAGAATTGCATTATTTGGACACTTCTATGGATCAAATCTTATTCTACACAGAATCTCATTAACTAAAATAATCTGTATGTGTGTATTATTAGCCAGTGTTAATAATTTTTTGTCATAATCTTGGCGAAAAGAGTTATCAACTGGTGTTCTCAGTCGTACAATTTGTTTGAAAATAACAGCAGTGAACAGAAGTGCCACCATTGCATTTTTTCTGTGAAACTAATCGTCGCAATTCGATTCTGTAAAAGATTGCTATTTTTCGTGAATATTTCAAGAGTGCCCCGATAATATGCAACGAAAGCAATGGTTCATTATTGCAGGGGCGTTATTCATAACGTCTCAATTATATCTATACTTTTTTTATCGACATTTTGAACATTTTCCTCAAATCTCAACAATATCCAACCTGACATCATTAATGGTACCATTCGAGCATTTAGAGCGTAATGCAACTTTTTCTTGTTCGGAATTAACACTTCAAAGCCGTTATAAATTAGAATTTCAACAACTTGAGCATTACGATTTAAATCAATCATATAAACAGCCATCCATGAGTATACGTTCAAAGCAACAGAATCAGACTGATCTACCACAACTACCTTATTTCTATTCTCTATGGAAAACAGCATCGATCCTCCCACGCTTAATAACACCCTGTGAACACCAGGTATATATCAATCTCTTGAAGACATTTGATCAAATATGCCGACAAGGTGGCGTAGAATATATGATTAGTTATGGTACCTTACTAGGATCGTACAGAAATCATGGTAAGATCTTATACAGTTATTAAATTTAGTTTACAATAGTATTTTCAGTCATAATATCCTTATGAATAATTTTAGTCGCAACAAGAGTCTAGACATTTTTCTATCTTAAGTTTTGATCAACATTTAGCACAATAATCTGATTTCATCTAGCAGTATATAGAATCTATTCAATATTTTAAAAGAATGATATGTCTTAGATCAGTTTTGAACATACTATTGAGCTCGTGATTGAATTTCAATCGAAATCGAATGGATCAACAATCAATGCAGGTTGCGAAGATTTTGTTCTCGCCATAACAACGGGGTGCTTGTAGTCAGTCTTGAGATGAATTACAAACTATATGCAATAATTGACTTACATGCAATGATACCGATTCATAGAGCTTCAGAATTCACCAAGTAGACAATAAGTTGTTTTAACTGTTGGGAAAAAATATTTTAGATCTGTTTGAAAAAGCTTGTCAACGCAGCCCCGTTGGGGCTAAAATGTGGAACTCACATATTCCGGTCAGTTAACTACTGATCAAATAGAAGTTTTATTTTTTCAGTGTAGTGAGATCATATTTTGTTCAAAAATAAGATAATAAAACCTTGTTAACATTTGAAGTTTATTGGATCTATCAATAGGGAATATTACTAGAGAAAACGTATGAAGAACGTTTTGTTTAAAATATGTCAGTATGCTGAAGTGTTTAGTGGTTTCATTGAGAAATATTGTGAATGATAATAGTTTACACAGTATTTATGATATAGCTATCAATATTGTCGAGAAATTTATATTTTTTCGTATTACCAGGTGAGAAATTGATACATTTTTTCATAAAAGAAAATTTGATAAAAGCTTCCCAGTGAATGGAAAAGTTCCGAATTGTAAATGCACTAAAGTGGACTCAAGCTCTGGAATAAGGTATTCGTGTGAGAAAAAAAAGATTAAAATCTTCATCTGTTTATTGTAGGTGGTAGAAGTAACGAATGTAATAGTAGCATAAACTAGTTGCTAGCCTCTGTAGCGGTAGCATACGCTCGTTGCTAACGTCTGTAATAATAAAAATATATAATACTGTCGTAACTATGGGCTATAATAACAAAAACGACAGATTTTTATGATTAATTAGAGATTAAATCCTAATTATAATGATTTCTAATTAGTGAAATTAGATTTTAATTACTGATATGAGTAGTGACGAACATAGGCAATCGATCTGTACAAAAATTTTATCCAATTAATGCACCGAAGTGTTAGTTTTTTCATGTTTTATGTCTGTAATGGGGAGGGGGTGAGGTATAGTGGCGTAACCAGCAAATTTTCGTAGAGGGGGCTCAGTCCCCTAGCCCTTTGAAAGTAGAGAAGGCAATTTTAATTCAATTGTAACAATGCACGAAGCCAATATCTGAAAACGTTTACTTTTTATTAGCTATAATTCAATCAAACACGTATGTTATGAAAAATATCGCCTTTTCCACGTTACACTAATTATTGTATTGCATGTCTATTTATTACAATTTTGAATTTGAACATGTTTTGATTTAAACAGCAAACACTAATGCTCTCTCTTCCTTTATTCTTTTAGAGAGAAGCAAAATAAACAATACTTTATCTTTTAGATAGCAACAATCTAGGCTATTGAAATTTCAGATAGAAAATTTCGTAGAGGGGACCAAAATCTTTGTAGAGGGGGCTCAGCCCCCTCTGGCTACCCCCTGGCTACGCCACTAGTGGGGTACAGGGGAGCCGCAAAAACCTAACAATTCAACTTACACTCACTATTTTCTTCGAAAATATATGTGAGTTCCACAAAAATTTGAATTGAATCTCAACATTCTAACGAATTTCATGTTTAGCGACGAAAAAGTGAAAAGATCTACCTAGAAAATATAATGAAGTACTCGTTAGTATTTTTTGCGAATACTAGAAACAAGAGAAAACGTCTCAAAACACTAGATTCATGAAACTCTTTCGAAAATTATTACATGATTTCCCGAAATAAAGGCTTTCCAAAACAAAATCCAATTAAATAGTGGTTAGTCTATAGAATTTCTACTGTGTTATCATTTTGAGGAAAAATTTCTAGATACTTATCAATTCGAGTGCTCTCATTAATTTCTGTCATTTCTTGTAATCATTACTTTCTAAATTTCTACATTCATATGACTGAGATGCAAAGTTCTTCTTATTCGAAATCAGCAGAATCGATAGTATGAACCAGTCAATATGGTATAGGTTCATTCTTTTTTCTGTTGTTAGAAACGACAATCTTCTACGCGTTGCTTCCCTCCTATACAATAGAAAAGCACCCGTTATCGGATGATACAATTATTAGTAGTTCACTACATATTTTTGCAATACAACAAAGAAAGTCAGACTGAACTAAATAGTTGAGTACTAATACATGCTAAATTTTTGAGTGTCAAAATCTAAATAAGGATTTCTGGCTATGATTGTATGTGCTGAAATACTACCTAATTAGTTAGCTACCATTTAGCAGTTTTAAGATATTTCGAGTAAATTCGCAACAACTATAGCTACAACAAAATATTCGATTGTTCCAATGTAGATATATTATTACTATTACAAAAGCTTATATTTTCAATTTCTAAAATCGTTCAAAATTCATATCGTAAAAATGTCTTCATTATTTTTTATGGCCTTTTCTTAATCTTTTTTTAACGATACTACGAAGAATTTTACAAAACATACAACTCTACATAGATTACTTTTTTAAATACAGATATATTACCCTACGATGATGATGTCGATGTATTGATACATGTAAAATATTACTCGCTTTTAGCAAAAATAAACAAGTTAAATAACAAAACAGATTGGGAATTTTATCGCAATACACCTACGAATATGAAGTTTTATTTTCTGGAATCTCCGTCAGCTGGAGTTTATAAATGGAAATGGCCATTTATTGGTATGGACTTTTATACAGATAATGCTACACATATTCGATCTTATATGCATATCAGAAAAGATATAATATTTCCCTTGGTCTTACGTCCAATAGCTGGTCTTTGGGTACCTGGTCCGCGTAACATTTACAAATTTTTCCAAGTGATGTCCAGCCGTTACTACTCCAGTTTCTCGATTGATGAAAAGTGTTACACACAAGCTTATTCACATCGAGAGGAAAGACGAAAACACCAACAGAAAACTGTATTTTGTGAGCAGCTACGTAATATTTATCCTTATATTCGGCGTACATGTGATAGTGATTATTGTCAGGAGCACTTAATGTTGAATAATGTTACGACCTTATATGTTTTAAAAATGATTAGAGATAAATAACAAAGATTTACTCGAGATAATTTAGCTCAATGCGCAGACTGCACATTGAAGTAATGAATACTCCAAGAATAGTTGTTATGTCTCTATTCTAATGAACAGAATGCTTAGGTTTTTTTTCCAATGTAAATGTTTTTTATGTATTTAAAAAAATGTTTGAAATCCTCAATATCGTTACCTACATATTGGTGAACTTAGAAAGAAAATTCGAACGATATCTGGAATTATTTTCATAGGAATATATTGCAGATACTACATAATTGATAAGTTCTATTCGATCCTATAATCAGATTTATAATAGTTGAAAAAGTACTGTTTCCTGTTATGATAAAACGTTGATCTATCATCATGGGAAATAGAATACCAGCAAAGTGAATTTATGAACAATATTACCTGACGGATCTGTTTCATTATTTATACAGTAGTTGTGAATAGAAATAACTACTAATTTTTTTCGATAGCCCGTACTATTCTGAGTAAAATGGCGTTGTGACGTATTATAATATGCCTGCATCGATATCATCAATGTAGATCCATAGATATTACATTCGAAAGTTCATTTTAGTATGAATGGCTATTCATTGAACAATAATACCAACGAAACTTTGCTCAATTGTTTTTGTTTTGTTGACGCCTTTCATGATCAATAGTAAAAGAGGTTTCGTAGATCATTTCTCTTTACTTGCGAAAGATGAAACAATCAAATTAATTTCTACAACCGTTTGGACTTCAGAACATGAATAAAAATGTACAGTTACTATACACCACTATATCACTTGTACAAGATATTATGAGTAGTACCATTCCAGCTTAGATTTATAGAAATCTCGTCGACAGAAATTCTACATGAAACTAGGTAAACATTTGTTATACACGTTTTGCTCTTTTTCTATTGATTCGAATACTAGTTAGTATAGAAACATTCGGATTCACAAGTTACGGATATACGTTTCTATTTTTGTTTTTGTTCTCGTTAAACGCGAAAATTAACATAACAAGCTTTTAAATATTTCTCACAAAGTGTCAAAAGCATTTAGCACAATTGAATAAATAAATGAGCCGTTACTTCAAATAAAACAAACTGCATGCAATAACAACGGAAGTTATTTGTAAGCAAAAGGTGTTGACTTCCGAAGCACTATTTCTGACTCCAGACATAAGTTTTAAAATTTCATGCGGTTGCAGAGGTCTTGATTTCACCGCTTTCCACATTTCTGTAAAAAGCAAGTTGTTATTTATTTAGTGATTAAGAACAGTACTTACCTAAAGCACTGCCGTTGATCGAAGCATTCTTCCTTTTTTTTAGAAGATTCTTATAAACAGGATATTCGTCAATTTGTTTTAAATAACTTGTTTTGTTGTTTTCAGATATTGAAATAGAAGGAGTTTGAATCAATCTATAATATCTAGAGTTGATTCCGGTTGTTTGACCAGAAACCTGTTTCACCTGGGTCTCTTTTATGGTGAAAATAATAGACATACATAACTTTTCGTTTAGATAATTAAACTTACTTCGGACTACACCAAATCTTTCTTCATACAAACCCATTGGTGTTCGGCGCTGTTTTGAACCAGCAAGAGCCACAGTCAACCACGTGTAAGGATCATCTATCGTTGGAGCTACATAATATGCGTAGTCGTTAGCGAAGCCTTGATTCTGCACATCCACCCAACCTCGAAAACGATCTGGTAAGCCTAATTTATCTGTTTCTATAAGTTTCTGTCTGGGCTTCACTGATGTGCCTATGCGTGAGTAATCTAAAACTAAGTTTAATATTTTTCAATTCATCTTACGACTAACAATGCCGTTGCACTCTTCGTAAAGGCCAATATCAGTATATTGTTCGGTGGAGCCAGCAAGTGCGATGGATAACCAAACGAATGGATATTCATTATTTGGGCCTACATAACGCGCGTAGTCGTTTGCTACTTCTTGTCCTTGAACATCAACCCAACCACGAAATCGATCTGAATAGCCCCAGTCCGTCAGAGTTCTGGTTTGCCGAGAAAGAATCAATCCATTTTCACGACAATGTCGATCAAGTGAAGTATTAAATAAAAAAATTGCTAAAATATTTAAACTGAGCGATGAACGTGCTACTAACTAATTTTACGTACTGTAAATCGAAGTACAACACATAATGATAAACAGTCCTGCTATGATCATCCATGATTTTACATAACTGGGTACAATTTGATTCACTTCTTGAAAAACAAAACTTTATAGATTCTATTGGTCAAATCATGTTACCTGGAACGCAAGTACTATGAATGATTTCTTCCGGTGGAATACCAATATTACTGTCACGTCGGGTAGCATTACCTGATAGGGCAAACATAAAACAGAAGAATAAATTGTAACCAAAGCAGAGTTGACTGTTATTATGGAGTAATCTACAACGGATATGTTATTTTTACATAATATAGTTAAAAATACCGTTATTGTTCTATAGGCATGGATATGGGGAGAGGGTGTATAGTGTATGGGTGAGGGCCTGCAGAATGCCTAACCAGCAGAATTCAGAATTTTGTTATTTTGCACATAGCGAAAAAGTAGCATAATATAAACATACGCACTACCGTAAGTGGAAACTAGAATTCTATCGGTACAAGGAGAATTATAACCAACTATCAGGATAAAAATGCGTTACAAGGATAACTGGAATGAATTCTTATGGAGACGTTAAAAAGACCAGCTGAATATAAAATAGAATTCTATCGATGGAAGCAGAATACAAAGCTCAAATGTTTATTTAGAAATGAAAGGTTTTGTGTGATTTATTGTAGTCAACTGTTGAGGAGTATGCTTGTAAAAAGATGTTGATATAATGATGGTTATTTGTTCATCTCTAGATTTCTTTTTTTAATCATGCATGTCTAGAGAATAAATTGATACACATCGAAGATAGTTGATCGTGATTACATCATGAAACAAGAGCAAAGAAGAAGCATTTACATTGGCATATATATTAAACATGGAACAATACGTCATGCATTATTCAGAATGAAATATTTTGTACACGCTAAAGGCATGGATTGTAGAATCAAACAAGCTATTTAATGAACAAGTTGTTCTGTATCTTTGCAATTTCATTCATTTCTTTTTAATAAGACTACATATATCTTATCTTACAAAAACACTTCAACAGTTATACAAACAGTTTTTTATATTATCAATAACTTGGAAAGTTGCCTTTGAATTGACGCACTATGTTCTGCCAGTCTGTTTTTGAAACAGGAAGATCCGCGCGCAGAACATTGGTGTGTATAAATTTCACGTTTACCAGAGACATCAGTAAGTTTGAAATAAATTAGAAGTGTCGATGTTTTCAATTAAACTAGACGTTTTAGATTCCCTTCATTTCGTATAAAATCTATCCTCTATCCATAAAATTTACGAAAACAACTTTAATCCTCCTAAATTGTGCCAAGCGAACAACATATCTAACGCATTTGTTTACACAAATCATATTCCATTACCTTAACATTCTATAGAATTCTACCCAGGTTGATCAAAACGGACTCGTTTACGGTCTGTTTGTCGACGGTAAACGATGTCAAAACGGTATCTTTACGGCAGTAAATAGGCCATATTTGCCCGTAATACCTGGCGCAGTAATACGGCACCGTAAACGGGACTGAATTTTCATGGTTTACGGCTGTTTGCGCTCCGTACTCTCATGATAATACGGTCCGTATTACTGCGCCAGATATTACGGCAAAATTTCGCCCGTAAAATAGTCGTAAAGTAACCGTCAATGGCCGTATACGGACCGTACTGTTCGACCTGGGTAAGCACAATTCAAACAGGCTACAAAAGAATTCTAATATCATATGAAGAGCAAAAGTGATATACTTTAATCGTGCCAATATAGAATTCTATAGAATTCTATTCTATAAGCATTGATTTGTTTAAAAATATTATAAGTTTACAGAATTCTGAATTCTGCTGCGTAGGCATTCTGCATGCTGGCGGATAGGGTGTATAGTGTATGGGTTACGGTTTCAGTACCAGTGTAGAGTGATAATTGATCATCTACAAACTTTTATTTATTAATTCTGATTTTTGAGAGCATCGATTTGCCATCATAACCATAAAACAGCGCTGCCCCACACCCTCAGCCAGATAAATGTCCATAACAACATGCCCAGTCAAACTGAATATTTCGTTTAATAAGCTCGATTAAAAAATGGTACCATTCGATAGAGTGAAAAGGTCTGCTTTTAAGAGAACCGATTAAAGACCTAACACAGCTTTGAATGAAATTACAAGCTGAAAACTTTCTTTTCCATCATAGGTACGAACACAACAACTGAGTATGTCTTGAGTAAACTTCATTTTTTGCCGGATGACCCCCATCGAATATAATGCCATATTATACGGAATAAAGTTTTACATACAAAGAAATTCTTTTAAACTTTACACCGGCCCGAGACTGAATCAATAATAGAAATCATCAAATAGAGACGCAGTGTTATTTACGCAAAAAAAAGTGCGAAAAGAAAATTGCCGCTGATCTCTTTTGGTATCATTTTTCTCTTATTCCACTACTTACCACGTTCTTCTCTCTTTTTTTACTTGTTGTTACTCTTCTCGATTCTGTATGACACATTCATGCAAATGCAAGCACAACCATACTTTTATTTCTTCTTTTTGCTGGTATTTTCTTCAATCATTTTGATTAAATCGATCTTGAAGTAATGCTCGACGACAAAACGAACTTCATCAAAAATAATCCCAACGAAGTCAAACGATATCTGGTATTTGCCAACATTTTCCTTGAATAAGAGTTTTATCGCATAGTTACGAATAAATATTACCAACTATGCGAGATTTATGATTTTGTTTTGCCGCTTCAGTCGAGGGATGCGTCACTTGGGTAAATATTTGCAATTTGGTGAGTAAGCTAGTTTTGGTAGGAGAAAAAGAATGTGGATGTGAGGGTTGGTTTGCCTGTATGCAATTATTTTTTCGTAGCCTAACATGACGTCTCCTCCACACACACCTGCGCCTATGGGTCTAAATTCTGGTCTACCGTGAATACACACATACAGTATCGAGGATATTGCCGTCTTCAAAGAATATGTTAACAGTTAAAAGTATATGGAATTTCACGTATCGTTTTCTGTCATTTCAGATTTAGAATTTTGATTATTGATAGGTTTTAAAAACATGAGTAGTACCGGTGGAGCGATAACAAAGCAAGCTTTCGGCCGACATGGATTCATTGGTAGTTTATATGATATTCGTAGTGATCGATTTGAAGGTGGCAATTTATTTAATCGGCCATTGGAATCATCAATGATATTAACAGCTGATTCTGCTAGCTCAGATTATATTGTTGATGAAAATATATCTCAAAAAGATACGTTCAATAAACTTAACATAGAAGCCTCTATGAAATTAAGTTTAATGGCTGGACTCATTCAACTTGAAGGATCGGCAAAGTATTTAAATCAGACGAAGACTGATAGTCGAACAGTTCGAGTTACATTTATGCTAAATTTAAAAACAAAACAAGAACATTTACAGATAAGCAGAGCGGATTTATACCAGTATTTTTCATCAGATGCTCTAGAAAATCGAAATGCAACACATTGTGTTATTAGTATTATATGGGGAGCAAGAGTTGCAGCAACGTTTGAAGAAATTATGACCAATTCAGAAGCAGCTGAAGAGCTTCAAGGTCGTCTAGCAGTATCATTAAAAAAGGTTGCTATTCAAGTGAGTGGAGAAGCTAGTTTGGAACACAATAATAAAGGAAATGCTAAATTTGAATCATTGAAAATTAGCTTTTCTGGTGATATTTTAATACAAGATATTCCACATACCATCGAGGATGTGTTCAATATATTTAAAAAAGTACCAACTCTATTGGAAAATCTAAATGATGGAAAAGGACAACAGTTAGAATTTGAATTATATCCATTAGAACGAATGGCAGAAATTTTCAAACATGAATTACGCATTGAACGGTAGGCATCATATTTATCCATAAGGCATAAGTTCGAAGATTTTTAAATAAATATTCACTGTTTTCTTTCTCCATAAGAAAGTGTTACAAAACGGTAAAATAACTAGTGGTCCCAGTCAGATTTTCTGATGTCTTTTTAGGTTTTGCTTTTTCGATTAACTTTCAACTGTTGTTATTTTTTTTACATATTTTAGAATGATCAAAGAAGTTACCAATAGTGTAGTGAATCGTATTGAAAATATTTTTGAACAAATTATTCAGGGAAAGCGAATGATGAACGATTTTCTTAGTACAATTGAACCGTGGAAAAATTGGATTTGTTCAAATTGGATTGAAGTAATTTATGATCGACAAAAGCACTTAGCAGGCATCGAACTAGAAACGCAACGTCGACTTGCATCATTACTTGAAAGTATTCGTCGTGGTGAAGCTGATGAAAAAGTAATGGTTGAATTGTTGGACAGATTCGAACAGGAAAATCCATGTTCTGTTATGTCAGTTAAAAAATTTCTCCAATCTAACGCGCGTATTGGGACTAAAATTGAATCGCTCAGTGAATTTGATCAACACGTACTAGATGGCGCACATGAAAAAACTTCTAAAATACCAAATCCAACAATACTTTTAAAGACGTTTAGATCGATCGATGATTTTATTCAAAAACATTATGACGACAATACTTATTTATTACACATTTCTAATACATGGGAAGAGCAAGATAAAGCAAATTGGTATAAACAGTTGCGATGCTTTAAATATTTATATAAACTTGGAAAGAAAGATGAAGCAAAAAAAGACATTTTTTGTGTGATCGATCATGATTTACATGTGGGTTTGGATCAAAAGCCTAATAGTTGTGTTATTTATCATGCCTATCGAGGTACTATTACGACAAAAGATTACTACCAAAGCTCGCTAAGTAAGTTGTCGAATTTCTTGAGGTAATATTAAATGCATAAAAATGGAACTAAATATTTAATTTCCTGTCAAGTACAATTATCCTGGCAACAAATACAAGACATTAGAGTGGAGAATAAATTCTCGACATTGAGCAATACAGACATTGAAAAGTGGCATAAAGAATTTATCGAATCACAGTAAACTATTGGATGTTTGCGAAATTTTTCTGATTTGATTGCTAGATATTTCTCATTATTCTTTTAGTCCCAATGGTGAAATGAATGAAAAACAATGGATAGATGAATTTCAAAAACTTTATCCAAAGTAACTGATTCAAACGAGAACGTGCCCTATATTAAGTATAATATTTTTTCTTCTGATTTGTTCAGTGGTGACCCACGATACTTCTGTCATATTGCATTTTCAATAATCGATAAAAATCATAATGGGTTAATTAGTTTTACTGAATTTATGTCAGCAATTTCTTTAACGCTGCCAAGTAATATGCAACAAAAACTAACATTGGTAAGAACATTTTTTCTAATTCAAATAAATTCAATTATTTCTCGGTCTTTTTCACGTCATAAGATTTTCGCAATATGTGCTCATGATAAAGACGAAGTTGATAAAAATGAATTGATTGAATTCTTGGAAGCAGTGAATCAATTGGAAAGTCGAACAGAATCAAGTGGTGGAAGCGGGACAAACTTGATTGTTAACAATATTATGAAATTTCTTAAGCGAAAAAGCAATGAAAAGATTATGAGAGAAGAATTCATCAATTGGTATGCTAATTTCGGAGCCCGCCAGAGAGTCCAAAAATTACAGGGTGTAAATAGATATTATGAAAATTTTCTTAGAAGTAGCATTCAATTCGATGAATTGAACCATCGTGTTGTTGAGTAGTTACAGAAAATTTTCGATGATTGAAAAGGTTTTGACCTCTGCCTTCTTCCCGCTTTGGTGGGTCGTGACTATTTGCACATTGACAATTTCTTGATTAAGAACAATTTATCTTCTATTTAGTCTGAAGGCAAATTACGAATGGTGTAGGGCATTCTTACCTGTTTCACCAAGTAAGTACTATGAAGTAATGTAATGTCCCGTTTTAAAAAGATCACATATATCCAAGTGTCCTTTCTGGTTTAGAATAGACTGGATCAAGTCTTGATATCGTTTCTGTTCGAGGATATGTTTACTAGAAGATAGAGCTAGTAGATAATTAGATTTTCTTTTAGATTATCCTATTTATTCAGCTTGTTTGATGTTTTCAGAGTAAGAAAGTTAAAAGAATCATCAATCTGATTAGAGTTCAGAATCCGAGAGAAAATCTCAATATTCTTGAGTAAGTTCGATAAAAACATGAACAAAAGAAATAGCCAGATATTTTACTAAAACTGAATATCGGACCTTTCATTTCTTTCTGAATAGAATTGCCGAATTCGCTACACCATCAATCAGATGAAAATCTCACAAAATCGCCATGTAGATGGAAATCACAATGCCGCTTACGTACTGATCATTCTCATTGCGATCACTTTTATCATCCTGGTGATCAACAACATGAAAGTCATCAACAAGGAAGTGCTTCACGTACACCATGTGAATGGGGTTCCGATTGTAATGATCAAAGACATGAACATAGAGCAAACTTTTCGCATCCTCACGATGACAAACGGCAAGATCAAAAACGAAAACGCTGTTTTTATGGTGTCAACTGTCTTAAACAATTTTCAGACAAGGGTCATCATCACAATTTAAAATACTCACATCCATGTCGATTTGCTGAATTATGTGGACATCCAGAAGAACATTTAACGCACGAACCTCAACAAGTATCGAATTGTAAATACGACAAGAGTTGCAGAAATTTAGGCGATCCCATGCATCGATCAAAGTATCGTCATACTGATCTTCCGTATTTTCTCATACCCTGTCAGGACCAAGATAAATGCCACGACACATCGAATGAACATCGCAGCGAATATTCGCATGGTGAAGAAGTTTTCGAAACGAATGCTAGAACAGAGGATAGCAATCGTGATCGATTAACACAGTGCAAATGGGGTTCGCAATGTCGTCATATTACAGATGCAGATCATTGTAGAATGTATTCTCATTTATCCGACAATCAACATCGAAATGATCGTCTTGTTCCTTGCCAATGGAAAGGAAAGTGTCATGATCACAGCAGTTATCATCGAGCTAAATTTTCGCATCCCTCGACTTAAAAATATCTTATAAATATTATAGATTTCGTTGTATAATAATCATGTAAAATTATAATGTAATACATGACCATTTAAATTGAAAGAATGTTGTGTTTTGTTCAACTCATTTTAAATTATACACCTAGCATTTTTTTAATATTTCGCAATACATTTTTGACTACAAATACTCTCATTCTATAAAACTCAAAAAGATTAAGAAAGCAACAGTATGTTAGTTACAAACAATCTCATTTATTTATTAATTATTTCAGAGAAAATTTCATCACAGTAATCTTTATTTGACCCAATTTTTATGAAAAAAAAGTAATTTATCAAATACCAACAACAAAATATTGAATCATTTCTTAAGTTTTAGTCAGAATCAATGAAATCTTCAGAAATAATGCAGTGATTTGTGAAATTTTGCATACCTGCTCGCTTCGAATATGTTTTCCGACTTTTCTCAACAGAAAATACCTAAACCTAATTTGATATGCTGTTTAGTCGTCTCTGAAACACATTCTCTCACTATGATCATTCTCCTTTCTCAAATCTTAAATCTTTCATGAATGTTCTTACCAAGAAGATTGTTATATTGCCGCTAACTACTCAAGAAACTTCATAAAACTTATGAAGCTAAAACAAAGAGAATAATTTTCCGTTGTTTGTTTTTTATACGATATCAAGTCATTCACAGATAATAATCTTCATTATGAGCATAACAGTATATCTAAGTGCTAAGTGTTGAAATAATGCCGAAGTTCTCTTTCATGATATGTGTATAGGTACGAGTGAATAGATGTCGCATTCATTAAATGTTCTGAAGAATCTATGTGCTTTATTTTATTCAAAGTTGTATTTTTCATTCAAAACGAATAGAGTTATATTTTAATCTTCTTTCACTTTTACTAGTAATGAAATGCATGGTCCCTAAGCAACATTAAAAAGCTTCAATAGATTCATGGTTGACAACATTCTCTATTTGTTTTCGCTTCACATCAATCAATTGCATAGAAATGGATGCAAAACCAGTTGATGACCCTCCACATTCAACAGAAAAATATGATGAAGGTGCATTATTACCTGAACAACAGAAAAAAATCAATGAATTAAAAGTGATTTTTAGAATATTCGTATTTTTCTTTAATCTAATGTGAAATTTTATTTAGATTCAAAAACGTATTGAAAACGAACGCTATCTTCAAAAACATCCGGAATTAAATATTTTAATGAGAGACTTTATTCGACAAGCTTGTCTACAGAAACCGGAAGATATCCGTCAATTTTCAGCTGGTATGTTTTGTTTTGCACTAAATTATGAAAATTGATTTTTGCCTTCCATAAAGGTTATTTTACTCATCCCATGCTTGAAAAACGTATTGAAAATTTAATCAAAAAACAAATAGAAACTATCAATGCCGAAGTTAAAGTTATTTCTGAAGAAATATTTCAACGTTAAATAAACAGAAGAGCAACGTTTATTTTTGTTCATTTTTCTTTTGAATGATTTGTATGCATATTTTAATTTTTTAACATATCTGCAAGTAATTTTGACATGGATATTTTACCAATGATACGTGAAAAATAAGTTTTTTCCACAAATATTGATGGTATACTACGAATTAATGGTAATGTTAAAAGTAAACGACCAAAACTAAATATGAAAACATTCTTTTCATTTGAATTATAAGACGAGAAATTAACTACCGTGTTGGCTGTGTCGGATTATGAATTCTTATGAATTGTGCCAATGTTATTTGTGCTTGATCTTGTACAGTCTCAATTGTTTTAACTTCGATCAATGTTCGAATATCTGTGTGAAGGCAAAAAAAAGAAAATCGTTTATAAAAAGAAAAGAAAAAGACATAGTATGTCCTACCAAATCGAAATAAAACAATGGTTTTTAAACAAGCAAATTCAATAGGATCAAGTTGCAATTGTTTGAATATATAAAAAATATCGTGAATTGATTTTTCATCTTCATTTTGATGATGAAGAACAGTATAATGAAAAATTGGTCCGCCACCATCCAATGGGATAGAATATTGAATTGCCCAAAGAAGAAATAATTCTGACCATGATTCTTCCAATAAAATCAACTAAAGAAAGATATTATTTCTATTTGCTTAAATCTATATGAACGACAGTCCGACCGACAGTCGTATCTCTACTTTTCTTTTGTCTTTAAACTGAATAATGCTACTTTTTGAAAAATAGAATTCATTCGAATTGTTTATTTTTCTTTCATATCACATAATTTAGTTTACTTATTTGATGATATATGCATAGATGTGTGTTTCAAATAACATGCTATGTAGGATTAGATATTATTTGACAACGTTTGAACTTGTTTCTTGAGATAAAAAATAAACAAATAAATACCTGATCACAGATAGGTAAATTTAAAAATGTTGGTAAATTACGTATCCATTTGATAATCATCAAAAGAATTTGAGATGATATTATATAAACTGTATCATCGAGCTTGTTAACTAAATCATACTCATCTATTGAAAAAGAAAAATGATATTATTTCATTTCTGTTTTTCTTCTTCTTCTTCTTCTTACGACTATGTTTTATCATTGACGATGTGCTACTTTGATGAGACGATGAATTGGATGTGATATTTGATACCTGTTGAAAAGGTAGATGATGCATAGCAGATATTATTTTCTCCGTATGATTATGATGAAGATCAATTGAATTGATTCGAACTTGAGAATCAGTTCGAGATTGACGTTCATTTTGTACAGCTGAATTTTTTAAATATTTTTGTCAATTCAAAAAAAACAATATATATATATATAATTTTACCCTCTTTTATCATTCCCATTTGTAAACACTATGAAAAAAAATAATATTTAATCTGTGTAAATAAATCTACAAGATGATTAAAAGTAACGGATATGCCGACTTTTTAAAAAGAAATATCTTTCGAGAGAAAAATATAATTGCTGACATAAAATCTATGTAACTTACTTTTTCAAGTCGACACGCTTGACATTGATTTCGATTAGCCTTATCGATCATGCATCTACCTGAGCTTGTGTGACACCTAAAATCTCAACAACAAAAAAATCCATTTTATTTTTTCGAACATACACGCTTTTACCGATAAATTAATTTTCGTCTAACACTTCGTTTAAAAAAGCCACTACAACCATTACATGCCAATATGCCATAATGTTTACCACTTGAATTATCTCCACAAACTTCACAAATTGAATTATTAATATTTGTTGTCATTGCATTGATATCTGTATGTCTAGCGATATTAGTAAAATATTCGTGGGGTGAAATAGAATAAGGCTGTGCAAAATTGTATCGATGATTTATGTATGAATGAGATTGAAAAATTGATGATGATAAACACATTGAAAGAGTACCAAAGGAGTTTTCTGTATTATAATCTATTTTGGGATCTGTTGAAGAATTCGATGGAGCTGCTTGTTTATCGTTACTATCATCATCTACTATTGAAAATAAAGGATGATTGAAATATTCAATAGTGTTAATATAACTATATAGAATAAACTAAACATGATGTCTTTACACATAAAATTGTTTTTTTGTAAGACAGACTTAGATTCTAGTCGATCGATATATTATATTGGATTGAAACGCGAAGAACTAGCACTCTTTTACAGCTATTCACAGTTTTCATAATCATGATAGGTATGTTTACGTTCTCAAAGATTTCTTACCGTTATTCATTGGTGATGTCTTATCTTCAATAATGTTAATGATTGAAATCGAAAATTGTCGTGAACGTGTCAAGTGTGCGATATGTGACAAGCGAAAGAGAAAGAGTACTACTAACGATCATCATTGATCAAGGCAATTTTGAATGGTCAGAAAACAGAGAGCGAGAGAGAAAGAGAGAATCTATTTGATTGGCTCTTGTCAATTCAAGATGACAGCAAGAGAAGGAAATCATATCAATTTTTTTGTGCCTACTGTCAACGAATCATGAAGATTATAGAAATAGAACAGCAAAATATATTTTCTACCGTTAAATTGAGACTACTCGTTTTGTCATAATCAGAACTTCTACAGTGGCATCTTCTATTGTCTTTTTCTAAATTACACATCAGATATTTTATTTTTATCTCAATTGCATTGTCAACTGCTTTGTTCTTTGAAAATAAGTGATGCTTTATAATCTAGTTTAGACATATGGAGTAGTCTTGATCAAATCCATACATCGATACTCTTCAATGGTAAAATAATATAAAGATTCTTACATGATGTTAATCAATTAAAATGTTTCGATTTTATTTACGTAGTATCTTCTCCTACATTGTAATCAATCTCTTAATTGACCAACAATACACACATTTCCTTGCCGTTTTTTATCATGTGAAACAAACAATGTATGCTATTATCTTACTATTTCAAGTAATACGAACGTTATATTCTACTCTTACTTATTAGTAAAAAAAAGACTTATTTTCATGCATTTTCAATCGTTGAGCAAGCAAATAAAACATTTGAATGCATTGAATCAAATGATAAAATTTTAGAAACAAGAATTTAAAAAGGATTGTCTAACTGCATTCATTCTACATCGCGTGTAGTTTCTTCATATATATTTTACACTTGAAGTTTACGTTTTTCTTTTCTCTCTATTGTTTAATGAGACACGCAGAAAATCTATGCCAATCATTATGTCGATCTGCCAACAGCAAGTAGCTTTATCCTGACTTTAACAGGATTTGTCACATACATTTGGCATGTCTCATTAACATTGGATACGTTTGTAATCGTATAATATAGCCTTAAATCTCGTTTCACACATACACACTATGCGTTATATAAAAAGAAGAAAACCAAGAAAAAGAGTTATATCACAGTGAATGTGAAAATAGCTCAAGAATAATCTGTCTCTATATATATACATACACAAACGCGGATATAGTAATGGTTATGAGCATGAAATCAAGGATAGCACAATCAAAAAAAAAAGAAAGGAACATGAAAGAATCAAATGATCGACTAGCAACAATAATGTTTTTATAAGTGTTTTTTTATTTTTATTTAAAGTAGACCAAATCCTTCAGCATTATTGATTGCAATTAATAGTTTTTCTCGTAGCTTGTCAATGGATGAATAATCAGGAAGAAGGAAAACATTGAAACAAGTATGAGCTGTCGGCAGACGATCAGTATCAGGACCATTTCGAGATATAATTAATTTCAATCGTGCTAAACCACCGATACTAAAATGTTAATAAAAAAAAATTGTTTAGTTTGATTATATTAATGAGAAGAGGAACGCTTACGGTGCACGATCACTACCCGTTGTGAATCGAAGAAATTTTCGTTTTTGTTCATCAGTAAAACTCATTAAGACATCCCAAAAGTTTCTAAAAAAATACACATTAAAGCAAATTAATTCAATATGAAATCAATGACAACAAGAAAATTAAATTAATCGTAGGCAAAAAAACGATAATTCTAGTGAATACTGCCCCATTTTTTAACAATGTGTGTACCCAATTCACTGTAGGTCTGAATAAAAAGGCGAAGCAATCATTCTTCAATGTCGCATAGATAATTTTGACGAACAATATTAGGAGGATTTTATAAATGTACTTGAAAAATTAGATTTAGTACCATTTGCAGTTACTAAGTCAAAAAAGTGGATCGTATTCTTTCTTCATCATTTATAGATTATCTTTATTGGAATATTAATATTATTGCGAAAAATAAAAAAAATCCTTTTTCTTTAAAATTGATCATATTTTTTAATTGTGATATAAGTATCTATAGAAGACTAAGGATCTACTTCGTCCATTTCTAACTAGTCCGATAAGAGCACTATGAAATATACAAAATGTCAATATTTGCAAACGCAAATTATCTTACCTAATGGTTGGACTATCCTTTGAATAGCCACCATCATATTCGGCAGCTGTAGCAAGTTGATTAAAATCTAATACTTGGCTACCAGCAACGAGTAGTTCAATTTCGTCGGGTCGAAAAAGTTTTCGTAATGAGCTATCACGTGTTACTAATAAAAATCCATGAAAGAATGGATGAAATTGTTTTTCAACACTTCTATTTAATATTAAATCACTGTAAAGACGTACAAATTCCTATGAATCAAGAAATATAAGATGTAAGAAATAAAGTTTAAAAGAAAAGTTGTTTTCTTTTTGTTTTATCAAATAACCTGTCGATTATCACTTGTTACTGGCATATTTTCACCATTTTCTTTTAAATCATATACAACGCGTGAACCAGTAGCGTCAGTAATACCAACTTGAAATGTTGAACCAAACGCATTTTCAATCGTTTCACCTTGTTGCTGTTCATCAAATGATAAAAGACTTTTTAAGCTCTTATAAATTGTCTAAAGATACTTTTTGTGTAAAACAAAACAAATATTCAAAAAATGAAGGTCTCTACCGGATGTGACGTTTCAAGATCTTCGAAAGTTCCAACTTTACCCATCAATTTTCGATAGAGAATAGGTGGAAATTTAATATCAAGAATAACTGAATTATAGATCGCTAAACCTAATAGCATGCCAATTAAAGTATATTCACGATCGAGATCTTCAGCTGCTGACGGATTAAACCATAGAGAACGTGTTTCTTCATCAGCCATAAACATACCTATGATAGGACAAGATTTGTTTTTTGTACAATAATTCAAGATCTGTTAAGAATTCTCTAGCAAACAAGATTTTGATTGAATTGAATCAATTCTAATATTTCGTTTAGATGAGTTCGAAATCTGCTTTTATTATTTTCGGGCAATGTGTATGAATGAATTGCAATCTTTTAGAATAAATAAAATTCTCACTATATGACAGTCATTTATCGCCTATGTTGCAAATATGTAACCGTTCGTCTTTGATTGCGCATTGCCTACAGCTAATTTCAAGCTATCAGTTCAGTGTAGTACTTCTTGTAATGAAGCCAGTTGTATGTTAAACTACAATGTTGTTAGATTATATGAAACTTACACTGTAGTTATATAGGCATTGGATATAGTAGGTAACAAGTTTTACATTTACTTACATTGTTTTGGATACATGTCAAAACAAAAATACAAATCATTCATCTTACAAATGATTACCGAAAAAAGAGTTTCTGTTCAAGAATGTTCTCATTGACTCAAATAGGTCAATCTCGCTGCAAATTTTAAACTGTCATAGTTATTAAATTAGTAACATACCATATTCAGGACTAAAGATTTGTTCAGTGATAAGTTGAAAGAATTCTTTTGATAATCCACCTAGAAAAATTCAAAAAATGATTTCTTAGTTTTATTTTTCGAAGTATTTGTTTCCACGTACCTTCATCGTGACCTTGTTCGCCGTCAAATTCGACAAAGAATTGTTTTTTAAGTTCAGCTGGTTGTTCGATACCTTGATATTCGAGCTAGACAAAATAAATTGTCTTCTATAGAAAGAAAAGTTGCTTGTGGAGAAATGAGATACGATAGCATACAGCGATTAGAGCATCCTCAATAAGATGACCACGTCGGACACATATTTTAAAAAATGGATCAAGACGAACACCGCTGAATATACTATGAAAAAATGATGTATGTCGTTGTCGATACATTTGTACTTTATTTTCGATGTTGAGAAGTGCTAGAAAAATAATCATAGCAATTAAATAAAGAACTAGCAAATCATTCTTCATTACCGATTTTGTTGATTGTAGATAAAAAAAATGGATATAAAATAAATGAAAAGTGAAGAATATCAGGTCTTTGTCGAACAAAATCAAGATATTCTTTATTAATCTCGATTTTTTCATTAGCAAATTCATTAATAAAACTGTCAAATGGTAAATAACCACGACGATATTCATTTGGTTCAAGACCAAGTTTAATTTGTAGTGGATTTTCATAGAGAGATTCAATTTCATCTTGTTCACTCGTTGATGTACGCATTGTGAAACTTGTTGATCGATGACGTAAGGGAGAAGTCGCTGCAGCTTCTGGTCTATTCTCTCCTTGTTCAGCTGACTGTTGTTGTTGTTGATTTTGCCCTTGTTCATTATGATTTCCATCATCACCTACATCATCGTCGTTGTGTCGTTGACGACGATTAATTAATTCAACTTCCATACGTTGATCGTTTTCACGCTCAGTTTCAATGATTTCCAGTATTTGACGTTCACCACCAAGAAGATTTGCATAGAAAAGTATGCGCAATACATACAATCCTTCATGCATACCTATTCAAAGAAGAAATCAAACTATTACCTCTATATTTCATGCGATCATCAATACTGCTCTATTGATTTCTCAATCGATAAAAAGTCAATGTTGATATATATTTACAGACAGAGTTCATTTTTTTGTTCTACTTGCAGTATTTCGTTTTATATAAACATACCTTGATGAGTAAGAAATAACTAAAAACTACTTTAATTTATAGTCTTTATCTGGCAGTCTTAATATAAAGCATGTACTCCTTTTTTCGAAACGATAATAAGGATTGATTCTAGTTGGATCGAGTAAATTAGAAACAAGCTCTTTTACTTGTTCCTAATATATGTATTCGGGTTTACTTGCTAACATAAATTTAGACAGCTATCGTTAGATTACTTCAAATAGAACTAGCACAGGAGACTTACTTTACTTAGTTAAGTACCTATTTGAAAATAAAAGTTATGAAATTCTAAATATTATTTAAAAGTTCAGTTTTATTTACTGAAGTAATCTCTGAAGAGAATTCTTTTTGATTCTGTATGATAGATTGTCAATAGCAAATTTCTAAACAGTAAATTCTATAGAAACTAGATTTCTATTTAAAAAGCAATTTGCTTTGGTTAATTGAATAATTTATTTTTCTATTGAATTCAGTGGTCTATGCTTATTATCAATAAAAGCCATATCAATTCGCTGCAAGATCTAATCAGTTCTATTTTTTTGGTAACAGAATCAATAGCCCTATATGACTTTCCTAAGTTTCTACCGAGATCAAACACTCAATTACTATGGCAATCCGTAAGTATAGTTTACAATTAAACTATCCAATGTAACTTTACCTCTTTCACTTGATAATAATGATTCATTTGTAGTATTAATTTCTGTATGATCACACCATCTGAATGTATGCATAGTAATATACTGTTGTACATGTGAAACATAATAGTTTAAATCAGTTTTCTGTTTGGCTAAAATTCGTACGAATTTCATTTGAATATCAATTGATAATTTAGGGAAAATTGAATAGAACGTATAAGCAGTATCAAATATACATATTGGATCTGATAGATATGGTAGTTGAAATACAATAAAGAATATATTAAGGAAATTAGCATCATCTTCAAGTTCAGCTTTTTTTGATAATGCTAATTCATTATCGATTTGTTTAAATAAAGCACCTAATGCATCATTAATTGTTACTGATACCTCATCTTCATATGACATTAATAATTTTATAGAACGTTTCATTAAATCAAAATCTAATGTAATTTCATTATTTTCGAGTGTTATACGTGAGTCATGTAGGAAGTGACCTGTCGTTCAATTAAAGAAAAAAAAGAAATGTATTTTTCAACAGAGAAATGTAGTTTTTTTTTGTTTTACTTTTAGCTGTGGCACTCGCCGTTTTCGATGAAGAAATATCATTATTTGTTGAACTATTGATAGGAAAACCTTTCCGTAAAAAACTTGATGATAGATTTTGTCGATTAGAAAAAACAGAATAAATTAATTTTTGAAGTAATCCCCAATTGTTTAGTTCTTTACATTTCATAATTATCTGTTGAAGATTTTCTTCAATTAGAAACGAATTTGAATTCATATATTCATCTAAATAAGCTAAGCCATAGTCATGTGCGAGTTTAATTGCTTCAGCAGCAACATTATTTGGATCTTCGAAAAGTTTTCGATCATATTTAAATGATAAATTCGATGAACAATAAATATTTAGACATTGACTGTTTCCTATAGATAAAAAAAAGAAACAATAAAATAAAGAGAAGCAAGAGTTAAACATCTCCATACCACAGCCGCGTGTTAGCTGCTGAAAGTAACTTTGAACTAATTTGGCTAGAAAATTAACCAATTAATTCATGCAATAAAAAATTTTATTTTAAAATTAGCATACCAGCAGTCATATGAACAAATTTTAATTAAATATAACAATTATATTTTTATCTATTGTAGAGAATGAAGATAGTATTAAGTAATTTTGAAATAATGTATCGATGAAAAAAAATGTTTCATTTTATGTGAGCTGTATTTATTGCAGCGTTTTGCATTCTTTCATTCGTTTTTTTCCCCTAATAGCTGGGTTTGCTTGTCATTGTTTTACCGTCTCAGCAAGAGATGTCACCAATACAAATGAATAGAACAGGAAAAATAAATGGAAAAACTAATGCAGCAGAGGGCGTGTCAAATTTGTTCGGTGCAAGTTAAGCAAAAGCAGTCTGTCTAAAGGACATTCGTAATTGTTCATTCTTTTGTGTTCAATGGTTTTTCGTTCGATAAAATACACAATAGAAAAGTTTCATTGAAATTCATCTTTGATTGTACTTCAGATAGACAATACAACATTATAAAAGAGTAAGAGTATTGCAGCCCCGTTGATTTAAATCATTATCAAAATTTTTAAAAAGATTGGTGAAATTAATCGAAGTCCAAAACGTTTAGGGTTGCCATTCTATTCAACTAGATTACACACCAAGCGGACTGTATTACTTATATTTATATATGCTATAACTATGATCGTTTTAAATAAAAACTTTAACAGTGATCTGTAGTATTCTGAAAACTTTAGTCCACAATATACATATTTGATGTAAAATATAGAAAGCATCATGAGTAGTAGCATCTTACACAGGCACAGTATAAGAATCAATTTATTTTAGACATTTCATATCTTAAAACAAAGTTCTAGTCGTTTTCAGATTTGTTTATTCATATTGAATCTTCTTGAAGAACTTGATCAGTTCCGCGAGTGTGAACCAGCCGTATTATTCCTTCATAAAACTTCATTACAAAAATCTTAATGATTTGGTTTCAAAAATTAAAGTTAACGGTTTCATTAATGTTCGGTTAATATTCCAACAATATGATCGAATGATAATATATTTTCGCTAATTGTCTGCTGTTTGACAAAACAACCGGTTTTACTAACACAGTATTTTTTACAAGAGTACACATACACAACCACACAAGCATATTTATATCGAAAGAAAAAAGACGACATACATAATGAACACAAGGAAAAAAGGACAAAAAAGACAAAGATCAGGATTTTTTTTGCTTTTTGTTTGAAAACTTTTTTTGCTTGTGTGCACCTTTTTATGTTAGAGCAAAAACAAAAAAGGAGACAACGACTAAATTGAGTTTTCCTCGGTTAATCAAGAAAAACAACGAAAAGAAAAAGCAATTAAACGTCATCATTTTTTCGATGAGCTTTCTGCACGGTATGCATCGAGTTCAGCATCAAGATCTTTAGCGGTAACATCTACTTTTTTATTACCACCATTTCCATTTTGCTGTTGTCTACCACCTCGTGGCCGACTAGCACCACCACCACGAGTTCCATTTTGTTGATTATTAAAACGAAAACTTGATCTTTGATTTCTACCATTAGTTCCATTTAGATTCAAACTAAAATTTGTTTGTTGTTGTGCTCCACTATCAAGAGCACCAACTAATTTAAGATCCATGGGACGACCTAATCAATGAGTGGTTTAGAACTTAATCAAAAACTTTTACTACTCTTACTTACCATCAAGATTGAGGCCATTATATTTTTGTTGGGCAGAAACAGCGTCAACACGACGTTCATAAACAACTTCAGCTGTACCTAATGATAGACCATTTTCATCAAAATGTACGTGTGCAGCACGAACAGCTCCAATATCTTCAAATAATTCCTTGAACAAAAAATACGAATTAATTTTGCATTCACACCGAAGAAATTCTATACTACCTTAATATCACTTGTTGTTACACCATAATCAAGATTAGCTATGAGTAATTTCGTGGTACTATTAACACCACTAGTACGTTGTCCAATTCGACCTCGATTAGCATTATCATCAAAAAGATCATGTTTCCAACGACCTGCTGGTGCATTCAACGTTCGAGGCTAAATTTGTACCAGACGAAGATACGAAAAACTAAATAATCGAGTAAAAAGAATAATTACCAGGCCACCACCACCACGAGTTCGAAATCCGTTGCTTTGACCACCTCCTCGACCGCCGCCACGTGTATGAAATCCACGTTGACCACCACGTCGAGTTGTAGTACGATCTTTTCGAATGATATCGTCGAGACCAAGACCAAGTTTATCCGAATCGGCCATTCTTATATTTCTTTCGAAGCGCTGTTGTTAGGAATAAATGAAGATGATGATGACGATGGAATGACGTTAATCTAAAAACTTCATTCTTTTGTGCGGTACATTCGCTGTTGTTTTAAATTATTTTGAACCGGATAGGAAGAATAAATATAGCAGTTTTGTATAATTAAACACTGCAATGGAATATGATCACAAAAGCTGTGTAGCATTCCGGCTGTATTTTTGTTTTTGCCGCCAACGAGGTAAACCCCGTGGACACACATTCGCAACATTCGTCGGTGAACGAATCAGCGAATTGTGCGCATGGATGCTATTCATTCTTCACTTTTTAGTTTCCTAATTTTTTCTTAAATTTCGTACTTGTCGAACAATACATATATATTCAATAAAATGAAGAGCAACTCAGGATGATAATTAGTAAAAAAACGAACAAACTGCCAAACAACACTACAATTATAAAATGATGATGCCAGGAGAGAAGAAGAAAATAAATGAATGAATCTAAGTTTGTTGATTGAAAATGTTTCAAAACAAAGAGAAATGTGTTTACAGGTTATGTGTGTGGATGATGGAGGCGACAAGAATTCGAAAATGGCGAGCCAATGGAATTGCTTTATGGTAAAATATGGATCATGCATATCTTACAAACACTGAATCCTATTGGTTCACCATTATGGAATTCGTGTCGCCTCTACCATATTTCGTACTTTTCCCTATAGGTTGTTGTTTCCCTTCAGCGGTGACTACATATGTGCGTTTATCGTTACCTTGAAATTCATCGTATACTAGCCTCTATTCAGAAGTGATGCCTGAACAAGAAAGAAATTAATCTTCTAGAAAATGAAAGAAAATAAAATTCACTATTATTTCCCAAACAAAAAGATATGAGCAACAATATTTTTAAGAAATGTTATTGTTGGAAGGAAGGAGTCATCTTCTTTTCTCATTGGCTAAATTTGTTGTAATATTGAAGATCCAAGAAAAGAAAAGAATGATATCATGAGTAAGTAGAGTCGCATGCTTCAAGCTCATTCATTCTAGAAAAAAACAAGAATAAACACAAATATGTTTCAAGAACAACATCCTCATGGCAATTCAAGTGATGAAGAGGAATTAGATAGTGATCATCAACTAGAACATAAATTGCCATCCGATAATTTAGATTTTGTTCCAACTTTCGTTAAATTGAAACAAATCATTTTACTTCGACATCGAAATTTTGTTCAATTACTCAATGAATTCAATATTACATTAGAAAAGTTCACAAGAGATGAACCTCATTATTTACGATTTACTATTGTACCGCATTCGGATTCAAATATCTTATGGAAAGCACTTATGCGTATAGCATGTTCGAAAGTAGAGTCAATTTTCTCCTATTGAATTTTATTTTATTTGACTGGTTCTTTTTCTTCTTCCAAGATTTCAAGAACCGATCAAAGTAAATCGAATGAAATCATATTGAATTTACAACAATTTTTATCTGTACATGAATCATTAAGTCAGCAAATATCTACATTACAATGTTCAGCTACAGCATTATATAATTCATCACCAGGAGATGAAAATTCTTCATTTACAACAGCAAAACTGTTCGTAGAAAACAGCATATGTTTGAATAATGCCTATCATTTTGTTTTCATTATCGTTTATAGATCTTTCAATGTACCTAACGATAATGAATGTTGTATATGTATGGATCGTAAACCAAATTTAGTTTTGCCTTGTACACATAGATTTTGTGATGAATGCTTTCAACAATGGTCTGCTTATTTTTCTCTCTGCTCCTATCAATCATCATAGAATAGAATCTTGTTTAGGTCTTCCCAAACAACAGCTACTTCATCTCATACATGTCCGCTATGTCGCGTCGATGTAAACAGTGACAGTGGGTTTGTACTAGCCGAAACGCCAAAATACGATAAGGTCAAGAAGATGCTTACTGAATCTATTTTATCGTTGCCGAGTGATTTAAAAAATCGTGGTAATGATGGAACATCAATGACGGGAAGCTATCGCGAATGATGATTATTTCGATTGTTTTTGTATCAGATGCACTGACACAAAATCCATATTGTTTTTTAAAACACGCTTCTTTATTCTTTTGATTTTCAATCTTTTTTTTCTCAATGTCTATATGATTTACTGTATATAACGGCAATATAATTATTATATTTTTTATCAATCTGAAATTAAAAAAACCATGCAGATGAATAATCATTGTTTCTACGTTCAATACGAATCATTTTAAAGAAAAATAAAAAGGTAATGAAGAATTTGATTCAATTTCTAGATTAAACAAGCAGAGAATGAATTTTACTGATTATTTAATATATGCCAAATCACAGTTGGTAGGAAAATAACATACATATATATATATATAGAATGATAAATATTTTTCTACAATGTATTGATAAACACGAAATAGTTCATATTGAAAATTTTCAACTTCTGAGATATAAATAACTAATAAAAAAACACAATTTTTATTTTTAAATAGATCTAAAATGATTGATCAGAATATTCGAAAAGTTTCTATGCTAATACTTCTATGTATCAACAGTAAAGGAAGTGAGTATGAGCATCCGATATTAACTAAATGAACTTCTGGAAAAATATCTTTCTACTTGATTTTCTTATTGATATCTGATATGATTGCAGTTTACGCTTCTGACTGATCGGAAGTATCTATATGATATCAGACTGAAATTTCAAGTTTTCCTTTCTTTCTAAAAACACATGAATGATTCAACTCGAAATAATGTCCTTTTCAATATTCTTTATTCCAGAGAATAGCATATGTTTCATTCCATAGTGTAATATTTACTTGAAGATATGAGGAGTTTATCATAGAAACGAGCGAGACAAGTCGTACTGGTTCTGGAATTATCTTATCTATGTATAATTAATCTGTTATTGATAAACGTATGGTAGATTTATAATTAGTTATAAAGATAAGACTCATTGACAGAAAGTCCTTAAAGAAAAAATGATCAATTTTACTTTTTCTTTAAACAAAAAAAGTCAGTTCTCTTTAAAAGTTTCATCAGAAAAATTTTCGTGATACATAGATGCTTCTTGATAAATAAATAAAAATATAATTTCAAAAATTTCTAATAGCTGCTACAATTAGTTAGATTGCTTTTTGACACTATTTTATGGTTAAGAAGCTTCTTTTGAGCCATTACCATTCAAAATGAATATAAATTTCCATACAAATGCCATTCATTTTATTGAAAAACTAATTTTGAAAACGAATATATTTCAAAAATTAATACATTGTAAAAAGAAAAATATTCATAATAATTATCTGAAGAGAAAATATTTTAAAATATTCTTGTATTCTACTAAAAGAAAAATTTAAATCAATTCCATCGCATACGCATTGTTTTGGGTAATGAATCTTGTGATTTGGATTCAACTATAAGTGCTTGCGTCTATGCATATTTTCTTCATACTGTATGTTGAACAGAATAAAAATAACTTTTGATTTAATGATTGATTTATCAATAATAGACTTGTTCGAATCAAAAAGAAATTCTTCATTTATCTGTGATGAGTAACAATGCTTCAACATTTCGTTTACGTACTGAAGTACGATGGCTTCTCAAAGAAGATTATTCAAATGTTATTTGCATTGATGATATAAATCTAAATGAATTACATAATCAAAGAAAACTTGATATTATTCTGGTTGATCATAATTATTTAAATTCAAATTTAAATGAAAATGTAATTGAAATAATTGATCATCATCAATTAAAAAATGGTTCCATCATGCTACAAGAGTATAGCAGAATTGCATTTTTTCCTCCAGAAACGATAATCCTTCTACTTTTTGTTTTTTCAATTAGTCCATCGAAGATCAAAATTGAATATGTTGGTTCATGCTGTACATTAATTGCTGAAAAATTATTTTCATTAAATTTTAAAATGACAGAAAAAGTCGCATATTTATTAACCGGTAAATAGTAATATTGAATGACCAATCGATTCTTTCCATTAATACGTTCGTTTCAAAAAATAATTATTGAATCGTTTTTGTTATCCACCAGGATTATGAGTCTATAGAAGGTTCGTCGAGCTCGATTGTGATATTTCAGAAGGGGCTCATTTTTAGAGTTTAGTCATGTTGAAATAAGCTTAGTCGTATTCTTAAAATAGACTTTGCCTATAAATTCAGAAAAAATTCGTATTATCTCATCTAGTGTTACTTTTTTACGTGCAGACTGAACAGATCTCTACACGAAATTCATAAAAGAGGAGACTTCTTTTTTTATGTTTCTTCAAGGACCAATTGTATTCGATACAGTTAATTTTTCACCAAGTGCTGGCAAAACAACAGAGAAAGATCGACAAATCTATGCACAACTACAAACTTATCGTCCACAATCTGACAATGATTTAGAGTTATACGAAAATATAATGAAAAGTTCAGCAGACGTAACAGGTAATAGGATTTTCAAAGTAAATAAGAATAAATAGAAAATTAAAGTATCTAGGATTATCGGTCCAAGATCTATTACGGAAAGATGCTAAACAAATTTCGGGGTCGAATGTTTGTCTTATCATGTCTAGTTTACCAATGAATTATACAGTTGAAGTAAATTTATCTAATGAATTGATTTTCTAGCAATTTATGTTGATTTGTTTCTCTTAGGATTTAATTGGAAAACTAAAAACGCTGGATGACATAAATGAATTTTTATCAGAAAATGAGAATGCGGATGGTGTTATTATTACATCGGTAAAAGTTGAGAATACAGTAACAAAACGTCAATTAGGCTTTTATTTTAAAAAAATCGAACATACACAATTGATTAACAAATATATTCGAAGTGAAGAAGTTAATCTTGATTTGCAAGAACGTCCTATACCAATAAATCAAGCACGTATCAAATTATTTGATCAAAAAAATGTTCTAGCTTCTCGAAAACAAATACTACCACTTATTGAAACGTTTATCAAAGATTTGGTTAAATCAGACATCTCCTAAGTATTCTGTTTATGAATGAACTTAACTCTATTACGTTTTAGTCATGTCATTGAATGATTTCGAAGCTTGAATTTTTTGTTTTATTATAAGTTATAGTTCGAAAATACTTTCAATATATCGATCATTTTTCTCAAAATAAATATTCTTCAAGTAGTGTTCGGATACATAATCATGCCAATCACTCCTAAAAGTATGAGCCCATGCACATACGTCTTGTATAATTGCATAGAGATCTCTGAACAATTTTGGAACATGTAAAATAAATCAAGAACTGTGGCGTAGTATTCCACATGGTATTATTGTTGCAAAATCTATTTAAGAATCAGTCCGTTAGACAATCAGAAGAGCTGAAGGATTCGCTTTGAAATTAACTATATTGATAGTTCAACAATAGTGCAATACACTCTAGAAAATCGATTGAAAAGCTTCTAAGTCACTGAAATCATTGTTTTTTCCTGCTTAAATCTCCTATGTACTTGATATTTGAATTAACCAGTTCATCTATTTCTATGTATCAATATCGTAGTCTGAACGTCTATTCCATGCAATAGAATCACAACTTGGTCATATGAAAGGAAACTTTCGTTTTTGTTTTATCAGTAACTCCAAGTTTTACGTTGATTGAATAGAAGTCAAATCAAGACTCGGATATGCCTGGACTGCGATTCGACCTATATTTCCTATAATTCCTATATTTTCCTATATTTTATCGAAAAAAGTAGAAAATTTCCGAAAACCTCTTAATTTTGGTACTGTCTTTAGACGGAAAAAAACTTCTAATGTGTACAAGCATGTGTTTTGGACAAATTCTTGTATTATAGTGACATTTCTTTTAAATAGTATTTTGCCTTTCGCCTATTTAGTGGGCTGACTGAGACACTGTTTAATACAAAAGTACAAAATACAAAATAGTTCAAAAGAAAAAGAAAACATTCACAAAGTGATCATGTACTAGTTTCGGGTTTTTAGTGAAGTTTTAGTTAGATATAAAAGCTGTATATATATACCCGTGGAAATAAGTTTCACTCTGTATTTTGAGGATATGGTTACCAAAAGAATATCTTTTTTTAAATTAACGATATATTCTGAAAGCCCGTGAAATTTTACACCATCCTGTGTATATACATTTTCATTTACACTTACTTATTACCGGAAAAAATTGAGTTATGATAAAATACAAAATAAGCTTGTGGAAAATAATAAGCGATGAATGCTGATTATCAGGAGAATAAAATTAGGTTGAGATTTTTTGGGAAGTCATGTCGGTAATCTGAAACGTCTCCTTTAATTATGAGAAATAGTATTTATTTTTTCAAAGTTTATGATCTACTTTATTGTTATTTATTAATTTGCGAAAGTTTTATAATTAAACTTTATAATAATCCTCGAATTAGCAACTTATTTCAGTAGAAAGAAGTTACACAAGAATCTTGATGATGATTGAGCTGTTCATAGCAGCTGCATAAAAACGATTTTCGAGCAGAGAAGTTAAAAGACACTACAACAATTGAACAGAAACGCCGTATAAAAACATCCTATATTTTGGCCATTTTTTATCGAAAATCCTATACATTTGACAAGCTAAATCCTCTAAGGATTTCTATATTTTTAAAAAGTAGCAATCGGAGGCCAGAGATATGCGTCCAGAACATAAATGATATTAATATGAATCTAAATGTCTGTTTGATTTAGCATTCATATTATATTTCAGTAGTTTATAATGCGGAAGTAAATAAAAGGTGTACTTTCAGTTCGTATCAAAATACTTGTAATGAAAAATAAATAAATCAAATTAGATCTTTTTTAAAGTTTGACATTCAAAAATAAAATGTTTTACTCATGTTTCTATGTTTTGAATACAATTGATACAAGAATAAGCACAAAAAACAAAAAGAATATTTTTTTTGGGCTGTGCTAGGCATTCGTGAGCATTTACAATCTGCAAGAGAAGAAAACCTTTTTATGTATTCTTCTAGTTTACCAAACTTAAAGTACGTGTAAACTTCTATTCTTTAAGCATTACCAACATTGCCGATCATGTAAAACAATTTAATCAGATATGTTTTTTGTGGTTCAAAAAAGTAGTACATTCACATGATTTTATTAACATAAGCACAAAAACCCCACAAACAAAATCCAGCAAACACAAAAAAAGAGAAAACAATTGAAAACATTTTTTTGTAACCAAGCATTTTTATTGAAGAACTTTAGTCTTTTGTGTAACTTCTATACTTAAAGTCGCATAGCTTTGAAAAAAAGCGAAAGACAAACTAATCTATAATATAGAACATTCTTGATTTGCTCATCGAACTATCGTCGTTGGCTGTTGTTTTATAGTCGATATATTATTTTTTACAAGATGCGAATGCATTGTCAATACATGTTTTGAAAAACGACTTCTCCCTTGAAGAATATCACCACATATTTTACAGCGAACACGTACATTTTCGTCATAATCGGATGGCTAAAAATGAAAAACAAATAATTCTATTAATTGTAAACATCATCGTTCTTTGTTTAAGTTTTGTTTCAATATTCTATATCTGCTTTTATAAGTTATTGGAAATAGTTGAAAATAGTCAGATAGAATATGAATTTCACACACTTTATTAAAATATAAAACTATGCATTTTAAAAATCTTGCTATAAGTATTTCATTTGTGCGCGACAACTTCATGTATTTGGAGAAGAATGAAAATAATCAACTGACTATTAGAGAATAACCATTTGTTTATATGAAATCTGTCTTTTGACATTCATCTTTTCTCAGGATAATATATTACAACAATTGTATTTCATTTGAAAGAATTTAATTTTCTCATAAACATCTGTCTTGATATAAAATTGAAAGTTATAATTCGAAAATAAATTTTCCTGATGTTCTCATAAAGAAAATATTGTAAAATTAAAGTGTCTTCCTAAAACTATGCCCAAGATTTGGATTCTTTCTAGGCTATTCACAGCTCACTTCGATTTCTATGATACACATAGTTCTAACTCGAAAGCAAAAATGAATCTTATGGTAAATTTTCTTTCAAATTGCAGTATAGGGCACATTCATCGTGCTTACGTCCTATTTTCTAAATTTCTAGCCAATTAAATGTTAAAACATCTGTCAGTCAATAGCTGATGCATGCATCGATACTCTTAAAAAAGAAACTTCAACATCAAGTTGTCAGTTCTCATCTTCCATAGTGCAATACACATAGCCATTTTTTATGAGCTATTCCAGAATTAAAACGGTTTAGGGTATACATTTAGAAAATTCAACATAAAATTCTGTTCTGCGAGTTTTAAAAGTATTATGGGAATTGATTTCATGCATAGAACTCGAACTCTAAAGCGATTTTCACGATGGAAATTTTTCCTTGTAAAAAGATCGTTCATCTCTTTGAATATGGTTTTTGCACTGAATTCAGTATAATACTTTATGTAACGCTAAAATAACAATCTAAAATTACCTGATGACCATTAGATTTGTAAGTAACATTGCCATTTACAGATTTTTCTGAATGTTTCCTATTCGAGGATGGAATAGTTCTTTTCATTTGTGGTGGTGAATGGCATATAATAATTTCTTCATCGTTTATTTTGGATTTTTCGTTCAAATTTTCAATATTATTCAATGATGGTATCGATTGTTGATCATGATTCAATATTTGAACATATTCAACCGAACTGCTAGATGCTTGTCGTTGTTTATGCAGATTTTTTTGTTTGGATTGATAGTTTTGCATAGGAGTAAGATTATCATCACTAGCATCATCATCATCATCATCATTCTCTTGTTCCATATCATCCATAGTTGTCGTAATAGCAGTAGGTGATAGTGAATGTTTTGCCCGTCGTAGCTCACGTTGTCGGCGACGTTTTTCTGCTGATCGTTCAACTGCTAGAGTAATTGTTGGTGATATACTACGTTTTAATGCCGTTGTAGATTGTTGTCGTGAGTTTTTTGAAGATGTTCGAGTTGATACTGATGAATTACTTGACATAGAAGACAATGAACGTGCTAAAATAAAATAGACTTATTAAATGCTCTTCAAATAATAATAATTAACAGTAGTAGAATGAAAACTAATTTACCAAAGGTAGGCTTAGTTTTAGTTAAGATTTTTGTGGACAAAATTAAAGTAGATGAGGATTGTTCACCGGCAGCCACTTTTGTTTCATTCGTCTAAATAAAATTAATAGTAAGAAGATAGTGAAAAAAGACCTAATTAAACTTTTCATTTGATTACTTTAACTTGTTGGTCAATAGTTGAAAGAAGTTTTTTCTTCGATGGTGACGATGATAAATCATCGGAGAACGATGATATAACTCGTTTCAACGATAAACGTTTTTGATTTGTATTTAAACTTTCTTTAGATATTATTGGACTATTATTCACCGTTGATTTATTTACCAATTTCGATACAATGGAACCATGTACAAATGGAGTACCTTTCGGTGTGATTGCTATCTTATATGGATAATTTTTTATAAGTTTATTATAGGATGAAAGATGTTCTAAGCATAAATTAGCACATGTTCGATTTTCATGTTGACATGAAGGAAATATACAATCATATTGTTCTTGTTTTATGCGATGATATTCTTTAACTAATTGTTTATCAATAAGTCCAAAACTAGATGCTTGTTTAGATAATAAGAATTTTATTGATTCAATACTATCGTCATCAGAAGAAGCAACATTTATAGTTAAGTTTTGTTCAACTTGTAAAACAATATCATAAAGAATATTTCGACAAAGATTATATTCATATTGTTCATGTTTATTTAATAAATGATATTCAAGTGTTCTTGAACATGGAAATGATAAAAAACATTGATGACATTGAAATAATTTTGATGATAAATCACCCAATGGTAAACGTTTTTGTTCACAGGCAGTTTTAGTTATAAATGGAAATTGTTGTGTAGAAAAAGCAGTAACTAAATATGACGATATATAACTATAATCTGGTAGGTTATCTTGAGAATAAGTTAAATGAAAACGTTGTTGATGATTTTTAAGTGCACGATGTGAACGAAATTTTGTATTACAATCTGGACAATAGATGGATTTATGTGAATGAGACATATGAATATGATAATCAAGTCCGTAGCCACTAGCAAAGTGTTTTAAGCATTGTTGACACACGTAAGAAAAAGAAATAGAATGATTTTCGTTTAGATTATATTTGATTTCTTCAATAGACCTTGATGTCAACTAGAAATATAACAATAGTAATAAAAAGATTTAATTACCAACCAATATAATTTAGATAATACCTACTACTTGGAGTAAACAATGATGATCTTCAATTAACAATAATGTATGTTCATTAAATGATAAAAATCGATTAAATGCTGTTTTTGATTGTCGTGTTAGTTGTTCGTTATCATCTTTACTGATGGAACGTAAAAACACATTCATGACGATAAAAATATTGTTGATAATCGGGCATTGGAGAGATATATATGTATAAATATGTATATGAACAATCTATCGCAAGAAAGGAAAAAAAGCAAAATTTAAGAAATAAATAAGATTAAGATAGAAAAAATAAACTTTGAGATTCTAGCATTTCAACAACAATAAGAATATGACTTTTTTTGTTTTTGCTCTGAACCTGAATACGACATCTGCAGTCGACCTCATCGCATCTCTAATTTATTGGAAAGAAGAATAAGAAGAAAAAAGTTTAGACTTACAGTTAGCACAGAAATTACCTTAAACTCAGTATGATATCCGTCATTGTTCGCTAATATAATAGATAATCTTCTCTGATTCTATTGTTTTCTTATCGATAATTTCAACGAATATAATCTGCCCAAAGATAATACGAAAGGCGTAGAAATTAAAACAAACGAAAAAAAGCAAATAGAAATGACACACAACAATAGAATGAACATTCTATCATAATTCGCTCAAATACATACATCCGCCAATGAATGGTGATGATTTTTGTATGCGCGTATTCTTAAATAGAACAGTAAATGTATGAAAAATGTAACGTTTGCTTTCGAACACACGATGAACACACAATAAAATTTTAGAATAAAATTAATATATTTTATTATATAAAAGCATGATAAGATCCTATAAATAATTTATACATCTATCAATAATCGTTATCGTTTCATTCGCCGCCATGTTGCTTTTTTTGTATAATGTACCTCAATAATGACGCTACATTACAGTACAACGCGATGTAGGCAAATGGATAGTCAAACAAAGTATTTTTCATATATTAGACAATCAAATTTCTATTATCGTAACAAAGATTTCGCCTTTTATGAAAGAAAACTAGAAATCAGTATGATTAGATGATCAGTGATAAAAAAAAGAATGCATTTTAAATCCATGCCGTGAACAGATGTTATTGTAATCGAATAAATGCAAAAGAGTCTTGATATTTCAAAGTTGTTTCCACTTTTCTTTTTGTATTATACTTATTATTGAATACATGCTCAACAGTGATATGAGAGACTATTGAAGCTGTTGCATTCTATTTTTCTCTTTCAACAAGTATATCATGACTTACAGTATAAATTCAGTTTCATTCATACTACTAAACAATTACTAAGAAACTCCTATAATAGAGATAATTATTGATGGCCCGCATATTTCAAAACTGACGTAATTAAAGCATATGATACAAGTTTTTAATAGTTATATTTCTTTTATTTCTTTAACAACACAGGCAACTACTTGAAAGTTTTACATAAAATCGTCATCATAATCAGCTTCTTGCTCATAATCATGTTCCTCGTCACCAAAAGCGCCAAAGTCGGCTTGTCGGCCAGTCTTGAGTTGTGGTTTAACTTGTTTTTTAGTTTTTGCTTTTGCTTTTTTCTCACGCTCTTCGCTTTGTTTACGTAAAAATACTGCTTGTAATGTTGCTTGCAAATGTTTAACACCGTCAATTGACATCGATTTGGTGATCCCAGTTAGAAAATCATCAATAAATTCAGAATAGAATTCAGACTTCGATAAATTTTCAAGACGATTATACAGACGAAAACTGTAATTAAGAAATTCTTCTTTTGTTACTAAATTAATATTTTCTAATGAATGATGTTCACTATCATTTTCAACTAATTCGGATATCATATCTAATTTATCTTGTTCTTGTTGTATTTCTCTTCGTTTTTGTATTTGATCAAGTTCATCAGGTGTATAATCTCTATCTGGCTCTTGTACAAGTTTTTGAGCGTCTTCATTGTCGGTAGTCTTTTTTTTATTTGTCTTAGATTTACTTGTTGATGCTGGTTTCACTACTTGTTTTGGTTTTTCTTCGATTTCTGGCTAAAGAAGGAGAATTTTTTAATGATCAAACAAAATGAATAATTCAAATGAACAAACAAAATGAATAATTCAAATGAACAAACTTTTTCATCTAATGCAGTTTCCCAATCTGCAGGAGCGTCATCGTCGTCTTTTACTTCAGCAGTGATTATACTATTGTCTTGCCAATGATCAGCCATGATCAAATGAAATTATAAATTTCAAATCTAGAATAACAAACAGTACGAATAAACGAGATCATTCGCCAAGTTAAAAATTCATAATAAAATAGAATTATTCCACTTTTTTTATTATCTCAATAATTGTTTGATAGCTATAAATAGAAAAACCAATTGGATAGTTTGCTCGGATATTACTTATTTTTGTGTACATTGTAATTCGCTTGTTTTCAAAATCTTCTAGACAATCTTAGTTTTCCATAGTTTACACAAAATTTTCAGATTCGACTCAATTCCATTACTGGTGTTCCATGTAAAACAGAAGCGCAATAATGCAATTTGCAACTGGAATCAATGACTATTGTCCATGTTGTTATCAGAATAAAAGGTCTTCTTATAGGCTCTATTCTTTCGAAATAATCTTTCGATACAATACAATATTTAGCTTCGAATTAACCAATCACATTGCGTGATCCAGCATTATTTGGTTGGGTCCTAAGTTGTAGCTTATCATATGCAATTAGAACCAATAGAATCGCTGTCCAATGTTTACTCTCATCCATCCAATCAGTGTTTGACATAAAATAGCTGTTGTATGTATGCTAATTATGTGATTTGTGCGAAACGAATTAGAAATATTTTTTTAAGAATCCTTCTATACTATATTAACTGTAATGCTAGTGCTCAACTAATATTTAAATATTATTTAGGATAAAACTATTAAAAGTTAATAGCCTTCTATTTTAGAAAATGACTCAAAAATTCAGTTGAGATCCCAGGTGGAAAAAACGGCCCGTAAACGGCATAAAAACGATGTAAAACGTTAAAAAACGGCGCCGTTTTCCGTCAGCTCGGAAAACGAAGAGAATAATGTTAAAAAGCGATGCCCGTTTTCTAGCAAAAAAACGGCCCGTAAAACGAGCTGACGGATTACGGCGAAATAGGGTGAAAATTAATGCCGTTTTATATCGTTTTATAGCCGTTTCAGGCCGTTTCCGATGGCCTTTCAGGCGACCGGATGATCCTCCTGGGGACGTTAAATTACAGAAAGAATTAAAATTTTCTCATATCTTCCCAGGTGAATGCAACCGATACTGAATCCGATCGGAGCTTATAAAACTCGACGAGTCGACAACGTCTTATGGGACTCCGGGTTGAGGAATTACTAACCGATCCCTACCCAGTCAAACAAATCTCTAAATAAAACGCGTTAAAACGCTGCTTTAACGATAGACAATCGTAAAAACGCCGTTTTTTCAATTTTTGAACGCATGTTAACGCGTTGCAACAATTAAGCGTTAAAATATGTAGCTTTGTTTTTAGATTTATTCATTAACAACCCAGATTACACGAATTTTTATGGGTGCCTTTCTTAACACGTTTTATTATGTCCAACATTTACTAATTATTTCTATTTTTTCTGAAGCAACTTAGCTTCTTTTAACTACTTAATTCGAACCTGGAAATTAGCATAAAGGGAATATATCTTTTAAAATTAACTTAAGCGTTTAAATACATCTGATATGTTGTCAAACTTTCTATGCGAACAAACGATCATTGCGTTGAAGAAATATTACAAAACATCTGAACTGTTTGACTCCTATACAGATGTTAGAATATGTAGGTCCTCATCATTCAAGATATCAATTGTTTGTAAATCCTTTTTGATAAAACTGAAATTCGATGCTGATATACGTGTGATGTCGCGTAGGTGTCCATATTCATTTTCCTTGTATTTAACTATACTTCCTCTGATAAATGATCTAGAAGTTAATGGTATAGGAACTGAAACAGTTGAACATAGATGCATAGTAAAAGATAAAAAAAACAAGCGTAAATGAGAAAAACAGTAGCCTTTTAACGTTTTTATGTGGATTCTAGACGATTTGGAAATAGATGGAATTCAAAAACAGAATTCAGCTTTTCATGTAATCGATAAGCAACTTTTTCTTGTATTGCATTATAATGAATAGAAACGATGCTTCGTGGTTTTGTTAACATTGCAAAAATAAAGAAATCATTTGTGTATTCCGTCCCATTAAGTGAAAAGGAACCATAACCACTAATTTTCGCTTGATCCACAATGAATAAAATTTCGTCGGTATGCTTGAGTTTGACAATTCCTGCAATTATACCGAGATGAAGATTATTTGATTCATCAGCATAAACCACAGTTGAATTATCCACTTGTTTATTTGTTGGACAATGTATCTTGAATGCTACATCTTTAGCAATGTATGATGAATAATGAGTGAATATGCCCCTTGTCATATGTGGTCTCGAGATACGTAGCTACATGTAAAAGTTTAACAGATGTTTGATGAGCAAAATGAGGCTGAATATTTTGATTGATGGAAGTTGGTATCACTTGTCGCTTTGAGCAAAACATTTGATGTATGAGTAGAGCAATTTTTGGATGAAACAATGGCTTCTTGAGAATAGTAGTAGCATAAGATGTTAGTTCCAAATTGTTCACAAGCTCAGGTATCATTACGGACGAGCCATATATTGATTTTACGATTGATCCTAATTAGCAAAAAAACAACAATACACTAGATATGCACACGTTTTCATTGTCGAACAAGAACTTATGTCAAAATGAGTCGAAAAACGTGACAAGATGCACCCATCGTCTGTCTCGTGGAATGTAGACACCAGAGATATCCATGCTGGAGTCACTGCTGCAACACCACAGCATCTACCCAGGACTAGCAATCCCATAGTTGAATCCAACCAGATTCAATCGGATTTCGATCGGTTCCTGCAAGATTCTAAGTAAATTCGGGTTGTGAACCCACTCACGGATCCCTAGTGTTGGAATCCGATCGATTCTTGCAGGAACCAGTCAAAGCCTGATAGGTTTCTTTAGGGTCTCGTTGGAATCGAACTCCTGAAATTCCTATCGAACTCGGTAGTTGCAGTTGGTCGGATGTTCACCGGATTCCAACACTTGGGATCCGTTAGTAGTTTCTCAACCAGGAATCCCATGGGGCTTTGTCGGCTCGTCGAGTTTTGTAAGATCCGATCAGATTCGGTATCGGATTCATTCACCTGGGTATACCCTGGTCGAAGAAAACGATCAGTAAACGGTCGTATACAATACAAATACGGTCGTATGTTCTATAGAATACGATAATATTACGCCGACTGTTCGAGGTTTTACGACTGATATACGGTGTCCGTGTATGGCCGTAATACTTCCCTTGTTAAAACGCCTTAATTCAGCTTAAAACGACCGTTTACGGTCAGTGTTTCTAACAGCAGGTGTACACAGCAAAAGCAAAATGTGCGGAACACCTGCTGTCTTTGAAATACACTTTGCTTTTTGCTGGGAAAACGTGCAAAATATTCAAAATATATAGGTAAACTGTGGATATACAATTTGCTCAAAATTTCTATTAGAAGCACTGTTTACGGTAATACTCCGCCGGTTTACGGTGGTCCGTTTTGATCGACCAGGGCAGTTTCAACGTGATTTCAACCGTTTAGATTTTGGAACCATAAACATTTACGTATCCATATTAAATATGATTATCGACGACTACATCCAAATCGGACGCTGATATCATATAGATATATCGAGCTCGACGAGTTGATTGTTGTAAATTAATATTCGATATATATGCGTAAGAATGTTAAGTAAAAATTTTGGTTTCTAAACGGAAAGATAAATGATAACCTCAAATCGATGATGTCAGTGGGATCTAGGAATGGACCATTTTAGATGACTTACTTGAGACATCAGCAGCAAGTTTTAAGCATATTTTTAGCGGAATTCAGCAGTACTCATTTAAAATATATAAGACTATATGGTATCAATAAATGGATTAGATTAAGCTATAAGTACAACAAAATGAATTTGAGATATCAAAAAAGTTAGTACGATGAAACCGGCACGGATATACTGTTACATGGAAGTGTTTGGGGGAGAGAAAAAAACGATACTGGGAAATTTTCAAAAGTCAAATTATTTTTATGTATTGAATCAATGTTTCTTTTACTCTTTCCTTCATTGTATTGATTTTTTTTCTGTAAAAAAGCACAACTTCATCTGTAAAATTATTTTTCAATGTTGTCTTCATCTTCAATATTAGTTTATATCATTCATCATGTCACTTGTCATTAATCATTCATTCAGTTGTCTTTGAACGTTTCCCTTCTACCACCGATCGATTGTTACAATGACAACAGTCACAATATAACAAAGACATACCTTTTTGATCGCCAGATACAAGAGTAACTCTATTAGAGCAGTAAAAGAAAACCTTTGAAAAGAAAATGATACGTTTTTAGAAATGTGATTGCAACAAATTCTACCCAGTGAAAAATATTCCAAAAATAAAACGGCTAAGAATGCGTTCCAAAAAAAGGAAGCCCTTTTTTTAAGAAAAGAAAGCGTTCCAGTATAGATGGAAAGCGTTCCAAAATGGAACGGTCAAGAAAGCATTCTGCTACTGTTGGAACGCTTTCCATTCTGGGAAAAGAAAGCTCCTAGTTCTTTGGAAAGCGTTCCATTTATTTCCAACTCAGAACGGCAAAGAACACATTTAGCAACTTCTATGATTTTTCCGCACCTACAAGAAAAATTTCGTATACTTGTAGAACATGTTCCTGACCTTTTTCCTTTTCGAACGCAAATAAAAGTTTCTATGATTTGAGGAAAGCATTCACACTAATTATTATCAAGCGAACGTTTGAAATCATATTCTAAATCATGCAAAATTTTATTTGAATATTCAACTACTTTCCTCTCCACGTTTCTATCTAATCACCTATTAACACCGTTACCTATCTAGCCGTCTATCCGTTTCCCATTTACCTACCTAGCTACCTAGCTATCTAACTAACTACCTAGCTACCTACCTATCTAATTAACTACCTATCTAGCTATCTAACTAACTATCTAACTACCTACCTACCTATCTATCTAACTACCTACCTATCTAGCTATCTAACTACTTTACCTACCTATCTATCTAACTATTTACCTACCTATCTATCTAACTACTTACCTACTTCTCTACCTATCTACCTACTTAACTATGTAGCTATCTATCTACTTACCTATCTGGCTAACTAACTACTTACCTACTTATCTATCTAACAACTTACCTACCTATCTAACTACCTATCTAGCTGTCTAACTACTTACCTACCTATATAGCTCTCTAACTACTTGCCGACCTCTCTAAGTGCCAAATTAATTCCTTCATATTCACCTATTTATTTAACTACTTGTCTCCCTATTAATTTATTGCATATTCAAATATCGATTTGTATACTCCACTAATTATTTAGCTTCTATGTTAAACTTATACTTAACCTCTTCCAGATCAGTTTCAATCGTGGCACACGACACTTCTGTTATGCATCTGTATCATATGTGAAAATTATTGTGTTTAAATTCATGTTCTACATATGTATCGAAATAATTGGACGATGATGACATCTATTTATTACTATACTAATCAGCGTATCACTTCCATTTTACGATCCATTATTCGTCTTTATAATTCTATTTCGTAAAAAAAATATTTCTAGATTGAAATTTGGTATAATCGATAAATTTATTGTTTGTGAACGTGTAAAAAAACAATTATTTATTCACGTTTATGAACTAGAAGATGAATATTCTGATTCTGTAACCGTAAATAATATCATTGTTGAAAATTCAAATACAGCCATTGGAAGAATAAATTTTGACGTTTCAATACAAATTGAATATTCACAAATTGTAGAAAAGGTTTTTTTCTTCAACAAGATGAGAAATTTTTCTTTGTTCGCTTGCCAAATATAACTGAATCATCTTAATACTCCTTTCATTTTTTTATTTTCATGCATAAAATGTTGATGATTCTTTTGATTATATTGTGAATAAAAATATCTCTATATTATTAATTAACCCTCGGTCGTAATAATGGATACTTATAATACAAACTAAAAAATTATGGTGATCTATATTCATCTAACAAAAGTCACTCAGAAAAAAATTTATTGATTTGAGAAAGTACAGGAACGTAGGTTGTGGTCTTGAAAATTTATTCTCAATGTAGTATAATGCGTTCCATAGTCTTATGAAACAGACGAGAACGCGTTCCATTATTTTAAAAATTATTCTTAACTTAGAAGAAAGTTTCATGTATTGTTTGGAGTGATCGAGCACGCATTCTTCTTGTTTATGAATTATTCTATTCCACTGAAAAAAATTCGTCAGTATCTTGGAATCTGTTCTTAAACGACTCTAAAAGGAACGTCACAGAATACGATATCGGCTTTACAGAATCCGTTCTCTGACTTTCGAAAATAGAATGAAAAGGAATCATCAAACAAGGTTAGAGAATGATTCAGAACGGTTTCCATTCCTTTGAAGGACAATTCTGAAAAGGAAGGAAAGCTTTCTACAATAGAATGGAACGGTGAAGAATGCGTTCCCTCAAATGTAGAACGTGTTCTTGTTGAGTATGAAAGTATTTATCAAAGTATAGAAAGCGTTCTCTAAAGAAAGGAACGCTTTCTAGTTGACAAGGAACTCCGTCTTGTCCGTTCTTTTTTTGGAATATTTTTCACTGGGTATTTCATTAAAAGGTGCAATTTAACAAGTCCAAGACATGAGATGTATTGCTTTGCAAGGGATTCAACTTTTTTTCTCAAAATTTAAAGTATGGTTTTGTTTTATTTATGCTAGTGCATGTCGTTTAAGATTTTTCATCACAGCCACTATTCTTTTTGCTCTTAGAAAATAAAAAATGTTTTTTATACGTTTTTTTAAATTCAATGATAACCGAAAACCATGAACAATATAATGAAACGAGATTGCTGACAACGATGATAAACATATAGACGAATACTTCACTAGAAAAATTCATTACGCATTGGGATGAATTTATTGGAATATTTCTATGATTATTTCAAACGTTAAAGATTTTCTTACATTCACGTATTTTTTGTCTCAGGATCACACATTATATTGATAGTGAGCGGGCAGAGCAGAAAAGAACACATCTTCAGCAAATCAATATCAAATGGACTACCTATGTCGCCCTCTAAAACCAATTAAAAAGGCTGAACTCTTATACAGTATACTCATCGGTAAAGAAAATCATTCTGAGTCGAAATGTGATTCTGCTTCCGTTCAAAAACTGACAGCAATGGTCCTCTTATCGAATAACTAGATAATCAATTGATAAAATAATTTGAAAAATATTCTCAGTATTTTCGATTTCAATCCTGAGAAAATGCACATACTGTTAACGATATAAAATGTAAAAGTTTGATATACTGCTGCTATTTTTTTAAATCGAGCTTAATATTCTTCAATTGAATTGTATTTATCAAGAACATTCTACTGTTTAATACAGATTTGAAAAATTATTAATTGACCGAATGAAATTCATTTGCATTTTCTCTCGATACAAGAAAAAATTCAGTTTTCAGTTCAAATAGTCCATTTAATCGATAATGTATTAAAATAGAAAGATGTTTTTAAGCGTGGGTGTGCATTATTGATATTTCATAGGAACAAATTTCAAAAGTTAATATTATTGCGTTATATCGATATGAGAATAAAATCATCTGGAGATAAGACCGACATGAGAGACTATAAATCGTGGCAAACTTATATTTAATTAACTGTTTTACGAAAGCTCTCTTCCTTATTTCCCGTGATTTATAAAAGGTAAGATGACTACATTCGAACGCCATAGTTTTCGAATATTTGATTATTATTTAGACAATCCGTGAAAATGAAATTTCTCCTTTGCTTACTTATTACTCTTGGTGTTACCTATGGTGCTATTTTACGTAAGTGAATAGGTTAAAACATCAACGTTTAAAATATGTTCATTATGTTTTCATTTATTGAACAGCATTCAAACCCAATTGTGCCAATATGTTCTGTTCTTTGGACCTCAAGATCTGTCCTGATGGTTCACTCGCTCCAATTCCAGTTGGTGGATGTTGTCCATCATTGAGTGCTTGCAAAACAGTTGTATCACCAATCGAGTGTATGTTAAAATATAAATTCTCAGATTTATTTATATATTTTTCTTTCATTGATTATATAATAGCTATCTCAGATTGTGGTTTCTCTATATGCAGCCTGATTTTACTATTGTGCCCTGATGGTAGACCAGCTCCAATACCAACTGGCCAATGTTGCCCAAGTCTCTCTGCTTGTAGTTTATCAAGTGAGCAGCTTTTTCGATATGATAGAAAATGAATTGTATCTTATTTTTTTTTCATAGAACTAGCTGGCCGAAGCAATCCATTAAGTTCACTTCTTTCTGGTAGTAATCTTTTACAATCATTGTCCACAGCTACACATGGTACTAACTTGGGAACAGCCTTATCAATTATTAACTTACTCAACAATGTTCAACAACTCTCGAACGATGTATGAAGACATTTTAATAAATTATGAATATAATAATATCTTTCTAAGGTTCATCAAATTCCTATTCTCATTAATCAAACACTCGCTAGCATTCTCAATGGAACAGGTCAAGCTGGTCAAATCATCATCAATCAATTGATTGGTGCTGTTTCCAATATTGCTCATCCGAGTAAATACCTAGATAGAAACTTCAGACTAAATTCGTTTTATTTATTAATACACTAGATGCTGCTAGCCGAAATCTCTTAGATTCTCTTGGTCAAAATGCTAATTTACTTTCGAGCATTTCACATCTTTTACCACAAGGTACATCCATCTCGACTGTTCTCTCCATTCTTAACTTATTGAACAACGTCAATGCTCTTAACAACGATATTCATCAAATCCCTACTTTACTCAATCAAACTTTAGCAAGCATTTTTGCTGGTGCTGGTCAAGCTGGTCAAGTTGTTGTCCAACAATTACTCAATCTTGTTGGATCACATCCACAACGTATGTTTCTACCGCTTTTATTGTCAATAATGATAAAGCGAATTTCATTTTGAATCAATTTTAGCCGCTAGCCGAAACCTCTTAGAGTCCCTTGGTCAAAATGCTAATTTACTTTCAAGCATTTCACATCTCTTACCACAAGGCACATCCATCTCGACTGTTCTCTCCATTCTTAACTTATTGAACAACGTCAACGCTCTTAACGGTGATCTTCATCAAATTCCAGTAGTTCTTCAAGAAACACTTCAAAACCTTGTCAATGGTATTACAAGTCTTTTACCACCAACAGTTCAATCACTTCAAGGATCGGCATAAAATAAATACTCCTGTATTTTTCCTTTTCAAATTGCAATAAATTTCTTTGAAACTTGATCGAAACGTGTAGTTCTTTTGAATACTTCGTATAAATTGTAATATCACTGTAAGAGAAAATCTAGATAATATATCTGGTACTAATTGAAATGAATTGATTCTATTATTCAATTTTATATGATTGATTGTTGGATCATATCGATTGTTAATGAAGCAAAAAAATAGTCTTTCATTCACGACAGTATGTGATGGAATGTGGTTCGAAGGAAAAAATAGATGTCGATAGTTAGCGATTGATAAAATGAATTGTTAAATTGTATAAGAATAATTGAAATGATAATTTTTCAATTTGTTATAAAAATATATTTGTTAAAAGATTCTATTAGGTTTTTATAGGATTAGTGTTGGCTTAATCTTTTAACGAATCGGACAATTCTCCTTTTTGTGTATATATCATTGTTAAATAATTCGTTCACAAGTAATTGTTTCATTTCATTTTATACTTCAGGTTTCTCGAAGGTAGGTCATGTGGATGAAAACGAGAGAAGATATTAGCTTTTTTTTGTATCATAAGTTTGCTTTCAAATGTAAAAAAAATTAGTTTTCTAGATGCCTTCGGACGTAATTATCGATGGTGCTCGCTGTCTTGAACGTATTCGAAGACTTTATGCTGCATGGCGAGTAAGTAGAAGTAGCGTGCAAGAGAGAAAAACAAGTGGTTTTTTTCTTGCTTTCTGTTATAGAATAATGATGGAGCAGATATTTCAACTAATGACAATGGTGCATTACATTCGGTTGATGCTGTTGTGCTAATCCGAGGACAAAAGGAGGAGGATTTTACCTATAGTAAAAGTGCTGCTATGCAGGTTTGTCTTCTTAAGATTCTGATACGACTTTCTATTTCCACTATTCATAGACATGGCTATTTGGCTATGAAATGCATGATGTTCTTGTTGTCTTCTGTCATGATTCTGTAATTGTATTTGCTGGCGCAAAGAAAATTAATTATCTCAAACAGGTAGATTTCTGTTGTATGGCTTAGATTTATATTCATTCGAGAATTTATCTATTTAGATTGAAACTGAACATAATAATAAAGAGAATGCACCACGAAATTTCAATTTCATAATACGTAAAGAAAATGATGAAAAAAATTTGGATGAAATTATTAAACAAATTAAAATGAGTCATCAAGGAAAGACTCTAGGAATATTTGCAAAAGATAAAATGGAAGGACCATTTTGGGAACAATGGCAAAACTGTTTAACTCGAAATTCATTTGAAACAGTAAAATTGTTTTTTTTCCTTTCTATTCTCTTGAACTACTCGTGTATTAAACAACGATATTTTGTTTTAGGTTGATATAAGTAGTTCTATTGGTTATTTAATTGCTGTTAAAGATAATGAAGAACTTGGTTTAATTCGTAAAGCTTGTGAAATAACTGGAAAACTTTATAGTAAACATTTAAAAGATCAAATTATAAATATAGTTGATTCTGAAAGAGTATGGAGAAAATTCATCAGGAATATTTCACTGCTAGTAATTTGAATGTATTTTTTTTAGAAAGTTAAGCATTCGAAATTATCTGAAGGACTTGAATCAGCATTAAATGATGAAAAATATGTTTCAAGTTCAGATGCCAATTATGTTGAAATGTGCTACCCAGCAATTATACAAAGTGGAGGCAACTATAATCTTAAATTTAGTGCAACTGTGTAAGAGAATCAAAACAGAAGAGAATTCTTTTGCAAGAACATATTTTTTCACATACACACAACACAAGGCCTGAAGATTAGTTTATGACGTTACATTAAATACCTAATTCTTATCGATAGTTTTTAAAATCTGCATTGATCAAGTCAGAGAGCTTAAGAAACAGTCGTACATATTCCCATCAACGGATCGTTCGCGGCTCCTATTCAGCTGTTTACATGTAGAAAGATGGCAGTATATATCAATAGATTTTAAAAAAAGTAACATATGAATGTTCTAATTGAAATGCATCTATCAGAGTCATTAGTTACTGAATTGATCACTACAGTACCGAATAAATTAGTCAGAACACTCACAGTATCATGGGAGACCTAATATTCGTATAGAATGACATTCCTTTTACTACGCCATCTGCTCGTTATGATCAAGCGGGAAAGTGCATAGTTTAACTTTGAAATTTCTTCTATTTTCTCATCGGTAATTACTTGGCGTAGGAATAAATAACGTAAACTTGAGCTGAGGCTTGTGCAATCTATTTTTATTTATATATTTAGCGATAAAAATTCACTTCATTTCGGTGGTTCATCCATCATATGTGCATTTGGTATTCGGTACAAATCTTATTGTTCCAATGTTGTTCGTACACTTTTGGTAAATCCATCGGAAGAAATGAAAAATTCATATCAATTTTTACTTGATTGTGAAGAAGTTATTCTACGAGCACTTAAACATGGTATATAGTTAGAAATTTCTATTTCGCTGTTCTAAAAAATTGATTTTTAAGATGTTCCATTATGCGATGTTTACAAATTGGTACGAGAAAAAGTTACAAAAGAACGACCTGAACTTCTCAGCAAAATGACAACTAACTTAGGGTTTGTTGTTAATTGAATGTAAAACACTGGCATAGTTGTATATTTTCTTATAGAACAGCATTAGGTATTGAATTTCGTGAAAGTACTATTGCAATCACCAGTAAATGTACAACACAAGCAAAGAAAGGTAAATATAAAGCAAAATTAATAAAAAGTATTGATGAATGATTTTTGAATAGGAATGACTTTTCAAGTTAGTATTGGTTTTTCTGGTTTGGAAAATCCTGATGGAAAAGATGAACAATCAAAAGTTTATTCTTTATTTATTGGTGATACAATTGTTGTGAATGAAGTAATTTATTCTGAATTATGTATAGCATGAATTGTTTTCATTGAAATATTTTCTAGCATGAATCTTGTACCATTTATACATCATCAAAAAAAGATATTAGTCATATTGCTATTATATTAAAAGACGATGATACACCAGAAGATGATGCCGATAATAGACCTGCAATAGTACCAAGACGCGCAGCTGCTGAAAAAGCTCGAGTAAATGATTGTCACGCAATGGCTCTCTAATGTATTACTTTTGTTTTCTCATAAAAGACTGATCCATCTATACCGGAAGAATCGCGTCAAGAATATCAAAAAGGATTATTACGTAGATTAAATGAACGTGCTGAAATTCGATTAACATCACAAGGTGATAAAGTATCTGCAGAAAAGTAAGCTTTATTGAAACAATATTGAAAACTTTCTTCTACTGCTATATTTATTCTAGAGCACGTAAAATTAATAATTCGTATAAATCCGAAGGACAATTACCACAAGATCCTGACATTCAAGATCTTAAACTTTATATGGGTAGGTCATATGACAATGTATAGTATATTAAAAACATAATATTGTTTAAGATAAACGATATGAAACACTTGTTTTACCAATTAATGGAGCATCAACACCATTTCATATTTCAACAATTAAAGTATATCATAGAGACTAGAAGAAAAAAAAATATCATATTGATGATATATATTTTATTTAGAATGTTTCATTAGCTGTCGAAGGTGAATATATTTACTTACGTATAAACTTCTTTCATCCAGGTGGCATTGGTAAACAAGCTGATGCAATTGATAAAGAAAATGTTTATATTAAAGAATTGTAAGGCGAGAAAGCAAAAGCTATAACTTTTATTTTAATTAAATAAATAAATAAATAAATAAACATTTAGAACATATCGTGCATCAAATGATAAAAAAGATGATGTTGTACCAGCATCAAATAATCTTTCACATATTCATAAGTTAATTCTTGAAATACAAAAGAAATACAAAGATCAAGAACAAGAACGAAAACAAATGGAGGTATGTTTGATGATAAATTTTACGTCTTCCTAGTCATTTCAGATAGTAACTAAATTATGAAATATGTTAATAGGATTGACGAAAAGGGATGTCAATCGTTTTTCGTGTCTTTCAATTACCATTTCTAGTTCTACTGTAGCTGTAGTCTCTCGTTCTTGCGAAACAAAATATTCATATACCGTGACTAATTTGAATTTTTTTTTGTATTGATCGAGTGAAAACTAGTTTAGAATGAACGTAAACATAATAGATTTACATGAGGAAGTAAACTTAAAAGAAGTTGAAGTTATAAATATCTTAGTCAATTCATATGTAATCCATTATATAGAGTTTGTTTTCATCGTAGAGATGTAAATCTTAATTTTACTATAGGGTGTCGTCAAACAAGATGCATTAGTACTTAATGCAAGTAAAACAAATCCAAAATTAAAGGATCTATATATTCGACCAAGCTTAGCAAATAAAAAAATCAATGGTACACTCGAAGCACATACAAACGGCTTTCGTTATACGTCTGTACGTGGTGACAAAATTGATATACTGTATTCAAATGTTTCACATGCATTCTATCAACCATGTGATAATGAAATGATTATACTTCTTCATTTCCATTTAAAACATGCCATTGTATTCGGTAAACGAAAACAAATGGACGTACAATTTTATACTGAAGTTGGAGAATTAACAACTGATCTTGGCAAACATCGAAATATGCATGATAAAGATGATGTACTCGCTGAACAAGTAAGATTTTATATTCAGATAAAATTGTTTTTGGAAAAACTTGTTATGTTCTCTTTAGGCTGAACGTGACCTACGAAGTAAATTGAAAGGAGCTTTTCAAAGTTTTATCGATAAAGTTTTACAGCAGAAAAGCTTTCCATTTGAATTTGAAACACCATTCCGCCCATTGGGTTTTCATGGTACACCGCATCGCTCAATGGTTTTAATTTTACCGACAACATCATGCGTAGTGCAATTAACTGAATGGGTATGATAATTATTGAAACCATATTTTCATTTTATTTCTTTTCCTTTTCTTCTATTTTCAAGCCACCTCTTGTTATTGTACTTGAGGAAGTTGAACTTGTTCATTTTGAACGTGTACATTTTCAACTGAAAAACTTCGATATGGTATTTATAATGAAAGATTATTCGAGAAAAACACAATCTATTCAAGCGATACCCATGGCTGAACTTGATCCGATTAAAAATTGGCTGAAGTAAAAAACAAAAGAAAATTCCACTGTCATACTTAAAAAATGAAAACATAATTTTATAAAATTTTAGTTCATGTGATATTTGTTATACTGACGGTCCACAATCATTGAATTGGGCAAAAATTATGAAAACAATCACGGATGATCTTAGCGGATTTTTTTCTCAAGGTGGCTGGACATTTTTAGATGCTGAAAGTGATGCTGAAGGTGAAGGTGGAGGCGGTGGTGAAGGTTCAGAATTGGAAGAAGATGATTATGATCCGGATGAAGACGAAAGTGAAGAAGAAGGTAAAAACAAAATCATTTATTATAAAAGTTTTATTATTATTTTCTTATTAGGATCAGATAGTGACTATTCCGGTGAAGAAGATGAGGATGAAGTCGAGGAAGAAGACAGTGTTTCTGGTAACTATACATTGTTCTTTTTTGGTTGTACGAAATCGATGGATTTATTATTATTATTTAGAAGCATCAGAAAATCTAGGTACCGATGAAGAATCAGGTAAAAGCTGGAGCGAACTTGAAGAAGAAGCAAGACGAGGTTAGTTTTATTTCTATGACTGTTGATCATTTTTCATCATTGTCGTTATCTTCATTTTATTAGATGATGCTGAAAAACTTGATTACGATTCGGATGAGGCTAGTCGAAACAAGAAGAAAGGTGGAGCTTCATCGAAAAAATCTCCAGTTAAATCTAGAAAGCGACCAGCTTCATCACCACCACCAATGAATGGCAAAAAGAAAAAGAGATAAATAGCAACAAATTATCCATTATATTAATATTACTATTTTTTTGTATAGATAAATCTCTTGTAAAACATTGTGTTCATTTTTTTTTGCGTGTGTAACACACTTATTGTAATGAAGATGTAACAGAAAATTAATAGAAAAAAAGATTATCTCTATTCAATTGAATGAATTAAGTCATTGTATCAATAGACTTGCAATACCGTTAATTCTATCTAAATAAATATATGCCATCGATATCAAGAGAAAGAAAGAAAAAGCTAACTGAAATATTCTTTCTTTATTTCATCTTTCTGCTCTATTCCATTCTTCTTTCACTCCTTCTATCAAGTCGACGTCTCTTGCAAATATTGTCTGACGAATATTTTGTTTTTCTTTTGAATAGCAAATATATATAAATTCAACCTATTCTCGATAAAAGATACAGTAATGTGGCATCATTATGCTAGTATGCATTGCCATCCGTGTTTGTCAAGTGTCAACACATTTTTTACATTATGATGGTAATTATAGTAAAATGAATGCATGAAGCAGAATTGATTGAATTTGTTCGATGTTTGATGAAAGAAAATAAAAAGTAATTAAAGTTTATTCTGTATCAACTTATTCAAAGTTTCAACCGATTATCTACCGATGTATATATATATATACCTATGCAAAAGATAGGTATTGTTAACACGGTGCAGACGTTAAGGTGAATTTTATTCAACTATCAAGTCTAAAAAGTATGACAAATCTATATTACAAGATTTTTTTTGTTATTATTATCTTAAAGTGTTACAACTTCAGTGAAAAAAGGTGCGGTAAGTAAAACATGTAACAAAACGAGAGAAAGAGAGAGAGAGAGAGAGAGAGAGAGAATAAAAAGGAAGAAGAAACGGAAACTCATTTTTATATTCGAGACGTGCGACAACGACGACTACGATTCCCCAAAGACCTGCTTTCACTCTGTTCTATTAAGCTACCTATCACCTTGCTAGTTACAACTCGAAGCGTTACGATTACACGCATACAAATACACACTCACGAATTCGTGCACCCATATAGGGAACAGCCCTAGAGAAATTAGACTTGTGCCTGCTATTAGACATGTTACATGTCGACAAAGACGATAGTTTTATAGGTTTTTACTTCTATGGCACGTTGCCGATAAGAAAAATATGTTGGTTTTACTTACTAAGACAAGGTCTGTTCTTTTTTTTTATTTAATACTTTGATCCGATTGATTATTCAGAAGTGAGAAAAATAAACAAAATAAACATTTTCTAAAATTCGAGCAAATCAAACATCAAGTGTTTTCAACAGTAGTTTTCCTTTCTCTCTGTCTCTGTCTGTCTCTGTCGCCCTCTTTTACTCTTTTCTTTTTCTCTCTATTTCATTCCCTTGTGATGCAATATAGAACGTTGTCCATTTATATTTAAAAATGAAACAAAAGAAAAATAATAACTTGTTCTAATCAACATCGTCAACCACATCAAGAAGCATTCTGTGCTGACAATGGAAAGAAATTCAACAGCTGAATAGCAGCACAAATACTCACCAACCGACAACTAAACAAACTGACTGTTGTTACAAGCTGACGTCTTACATAAAAGATAAATGAATAAATGAAAGACATTCAATCTATTAAGAAGCTATAAGTGCAGGTTTTGTTGATAATTCGGACATGGACATTCTATTTGTTCGTTGTCGTCAAAACCTGTATTGAACTGGCAAAATGAACAACTGTAATAATAATTAAGATTGATTCAATGATAATGAAAGTATGTAGAAAAAAAAGATATATTTGCTTTCTTTATTTCGCAGTTTTTTACTTTTTCTTAATGTTTCATTAGAAAAAAAATGAGGACACAAAAGAATTGTTATACTAGTATAAATCTATTTCTTGAGTGAGATTAGGTGTTGTTAGTTTTTATTTTATTGTTTTTTAGCACTTGTACTTTTTTCCATTGCAAATTTATTTGGCAGGTAACTACATTCATTCTAACGAATTAAAAGGAATAGATTTAATAATTAGTAGAGCATCAAAGTTCTATGCGATAGATATTTTATCAATCATTGAGAAGTGTGTAATACAACACTAGAAGCACGGAAAGAGCCGGATGTGAAGTGGATAAGTAGCAGAAGAATGGGTACTACATAAGCAATTTCTAAAAGAAGAAAAGTGCTCTGTCACATTATTTCAAAAATTGTAGAGCGTGACGCACTCGCATAATTTGCAATTCAGTAGTCGTTATGCAAATAGAAAAATCTTTATATTTACTCTAAAAAACCTTATTTTTTCATACGTCATACGATAATTTTTATACAATATGATCTGTAATGATAGTTAATATCGAGTTCTTTTCGTAGATGTCAAATTAGATCGAAGAGTTATAAAGAAACAAAAGCTTTTCTGATTGCAATTTTCATTGAACTTTCTAATATATACTATTTCTCTTTTTTTTTCGAATTTTGGAGTTCTTTGTCGCTAAAATTATATATTTTTTCTTGATTATACTCAAGAGAATTATTCTTTCATCTTCTAAACCCTATGCTTGATAATATTTCACAAAATCTTTCAATCAAAATGGTTAAAATAAATCTATCGGAATAGAAGCTTCTGTATTTTTTGTTTCATACGATAGAGAAAAAATACTTTGGAATAATGACTTATAAATTATTTTTAAAACTTGATCTAATCAACTTTCATCCAAGAGGAAAAACCGTATTCTAAGATAAAAGAAAACTGTATATTAAAGATTCATTCTAGAAGAAATTGACCACCATGATGTAATATCAATAAATTCAAATATTCTATAGTAATTACTATTGTATGTTCATTTAATTCATTGGAGATGATTTTGTAGGTTCCTATTGCATATTAATCGGGCATCAAACAAAAATTCATTTATTCTTGATCACGAAACGGTTGATTTGTTTGTTCGACAATCGCATGTATAACTAATCAATATTTTCCTGTTGCTCCTTACCATAGTTTCTTGATTACGATACAAGTAAAACACAAAAAAAGAAAATTAAATGATTAAATATAAAGGATAGTGTTATATACAAAAAATATTGCAGTGATTTCCTCGAGATTTCGGCTAAAGTTAAACAATATTCTAACTTTCGTTGCTGTCAATCTACCGACATTGACGTTTCAAAGCTCCAAAAACCAAAATCGTCTTAATTTAAAAAAAATGTTTTTTGTTGTGAATGTAATCTGCTAAGTGTCAGAAAGCTATAGTTCAAGTAAATGCAAATGTTTGACAGACCGTTCCAATAGATGGCAATACATTTTCTAGCTTCAACAAATGATGCTTGTGTAATAGATTCTAAACAATTTCTTAATGTAAAAATTTCAATTAACTAGAAACATTCATATGGAAATGTATGATTGAAAAATTTAATTTTAAATATAATTTACGTCCATTAAAGTTTACATTTACTAAATAATCGCTGACAATATGGCTAGAGGAGGTTGGAAAATGATAGTTCTTTCTCTCTCTCGCTGTCTGATTATACAATTGTGAGTATAGTCACCCTCTCATTTTGGAGAAAGTTACTGATGCGTCTCACTCAATGTTTGAGAGCAATTCCGACTATGAACTTCTTGTATTTTTAAATATTTACACCACTATAACTTGCTTTCATGTTGAATAAACCTTGAGAGTCTTATTTACGACAAGTTGCAAATATTTTAATTTCGAATAAATTACCCAATATTTTCACAGCTGATGAAGACTGCATTAGCTAGAACTATTTCCTTTATGAACATGCAATTGAAATCATCAAAAAATTTTAATACATGACTATAGAATGTCACAGTATTTTCCCGGGTATCAAAAGGTTTTTCAGGGAATAGGATCTAAAATTATTCATTCGAAAGAAAAAGACTTCAAATAAGTTAGGGAAGAAAAATAAGATCTAGCTTTATGATTAAAATCTCCAAACTGAAGAAAAATTTTTGTTGTCTCGTAGAACAATATTAATTTTTACTTTTAAAAATTGTCGAATACAAACTAAAATTTCCAGTAAAACCTAACAGTCATTATATTTATCATTGTGGTGAACACTATCGTAAAAGCTTGAGTAGAAAGGTTTGAGAAAATTTTGCATCGCAGAAATCATACTAGAAGCAACTTTAAAACAAGTAAGACGTTTTTCGAAAAAATGTTTGCTTAAGTAGAAAATGGTTTTATGAACTTGATTTAAAATTTGACAAGTGCAGTTCAATATATTGAATAAACATGTCTTCAATAGCTCTACAGTTGTGAACTTCTTGTACGATTTTATTCCATGTAAGAAAACAGCATTAACATCCTAACAAGATATTCATTACGATCAATTGAATCTTTTATTTTAAAAAGTTGAACAGCTTAAGTATCTTTCTTTTCTGAACAACAAAATAGTAAAATATCAATCGAGTTTTTATTTATTATAAGACAAAACAGCTGCAGATCTTTTTATTTTTCCTCTGTTCATTTTGTCCTGTTATTGTTATTATTAACGTTAACATCGTCATCATCGTCGTCATCATCTTTTTGTATATCTTTTGTGTATTTACTGAAATCAAATTCTTTATCATAACCCAACATTTTCATTAATATTTGTTTATCAAAAAAATCATCATTATTAATAAAGAATGGTTTACTTTTAATCAGCATTGATGTAAACATTCCAGTGATTGGAGGTACTACAACATCTTCAGCACGAAATTTGATTTGTCTTTCCATCATAAAAAAATTCTTATAAAAACCAGTAAATTGTTGACTTTGTTCATGATAATATAATGATGTTAGATATCGTTTACATATTAATTGTATAAGTGATGGCGTTAATAAAACGAATGTTGCTGATATTATTGTATAACCAATAGCCACAAATATAGATGCTTCATGAAGAATTTTGGGTAACATAACTGGATAACAAATAGCACCACCAATACTCGATGCCAATGAGAGGGATTTAGCTGCTCGGAACGGTTTATCTAATTTTCCAATATAAATAAGTTTACCAAGAGTTTTCTCACGAAGTTGTTCACGTTTTGATAACGAACTATTCGAATCTGTATTCATATCCATGTATGGCAATTTTTGGTCAGGTTGTAATGAATTATGATCGATTATTGGTGGTACGAGGTCGCCTTTTTTAATTTTTTCAAATGCTTTAATTAAATTTGGATCAAGAAGAAAATCTGTTCCTGTCATCTCAGGTTCTTTACATTTTTGTTGTAGTGAACTAGTCAGACGAATAAAAGAATTTAAACGAAATATATTCGTTTGCTGACAAACAACGATGTTTCGAATTATTGTTAACATTATCTAAAATTAAAAAGAAAAAAGATTGATCTAACACGGATTCAGTCAGATTCGATGATTTCTCATCAGTGTTTGTCTTCTATTCGGTTTCATTCTATGGATTTTTTTAATCGATTCTATTCTTTCGGATGCAGAAACAATTTATATATTTATAATACTAAAAACAAATTAAATTGTTTGTTTTAATGATTTTATCACATTGAATTTCAAATAGTGAAATTTTCTTCACATGATACGTATCGTTGATTTGTTGTGATCATTATGCGTATCTCAAAGGGTGCTCGTTGATATGTTATTTAGTTTCAGTCGAATTAGTATATGGAATAGTTGGATGCCTATCATTTTCTTTTCCTATGATAAACTACAATCGAACTGGAGAGAAACACAAATGAAAGATCATCGAATAGGACTGAAAATGCATTTTGTAAAAAATAAAATAAAACACAAAAAATCATTTCATTTGGTATCTCTAGCTAATTGATCAGCCATTGTTTGCGCACGGTTAAATGCTGCCATAATTGCATCCATAAATGCACCACGTACACCTTTGTTTTCAAGTTCATGTAAACCATAAATTGTCGTACCGCCTGGTGTTGATATATCATTTTTAAGTTCAGCTGGATGTTTCGACGATGCTACTAAAACATCAGCACAACCGAGCATCGTTCGTGCTGCTAATGTATTTGCTAATTGACGAGAAAGGCCTGCTTTAACTGCGCCATCAGCGAGACCTTCGACTGCCGTACAGAAAAAAGCTGGACCACTACCGATTAAAGCACACATGATATCTAATTCAGATTCACTAACAGCACCAGCATAGTAGGCAACTTTATCAAAAATTGATTTTAAATAATTTTCCAGTCGACGATTGTTTTCATTCGTAGTCAACGATGATATAGCATACGAGCCATTGCATTTAGCAACATTAACATTGTACATAATTCGAATAATATTATTCTCAGTATGAAGCCAATGGGATAATGTTGAAATAGTTAAACCTGGAACGATTGATATAAATAAGATATTTGTTAAACGATTTTTATCAAGAGATTTTTCAAGTTCTTGACATATGGATTTTATTAATTTTGCTTTTACAGCAAATAATACAATATCACAAGTATTGCAAAGCAATAGATTTGACGATGTCATTTGAATCATATTACTGAAGCGTTTCAATGATGATTTATCATCATTTGCAGATGGACAACTTATCGTAAGATGTATTTTATCAAGATAATTTGCTTCACGAAGTCCATCAACTAATGCTTGTACAATACGACCTCCACCAATAAAACCTATCCGTATATTTTCCATCTAAATCATTTTGAAATAAAAGATCATATTACATATGTCTATCAAATATTTGAAAAAAAAACAGTACATCTGCATTTTTTGTATTGAATTTTAATAAAATATAATAATTACAATTAAAATTAAAATATGCATTAAATAAGAGAAATATTTCCATTCGTTGTGTTTCCTATGTTGAAGGATGAACACGTTCCGAATGAAAAATATCAATCGTTGTTTGATGACATGGACGAAGATCGAGATCATAATATCCAATAGATAATTTAGCTTTACGATAAGAAAATAAATAAAAAGGATGAAAAATAATTTTCATAATTCTTACATTCTGGTGGTTTATAAAAATCAAGTCCTCGACCAATTTTTACTATCCATCCATTATTTAACCTAGTAATAAAAGTAATTTCAATTTTAGTAAAGCCTGTATTTAATAATGAACACGATGATACTCGATCAGAATTACTCGTTAGTAGAAAAAAAATTCAGTTTGAGTTTTTGTAAACTAGAAGTATGCAGTTGAAATTGCTTTTCAGATGCTACCAAATTGAATTCTATTTTTTTTAAATTCTCAGAGTTACTTCCACAATTAATTGTTAATAATGAATAATATGAAATAAATTGCTAATAAGATCAGAGAAACATCAAACATCTACTATTTAGATTTATAACAGAATCTTCTAAGGCGAACTATCAATTTTCTAGTATCAAGAAATGTTTATATGGACTGATTTTAGTTTAATTTATTATGATTTTATTTTCTCACTTGATTTCTCGATCATGTAATCCAGTTAAATAGTTTATTTTAAGTTCAATTGAATGCTTGTTTGCAAGATGCTCTTTAAATTGATTTAATTGTTCAGTTTGTGTTTGTTTTGCTTGTTCATTCTATTGAGAGATTATTATAATGAAAGGGAAAACAAGAATTTTAATTCAATCTACCGTTTCGAAACTTGTAATTAAATCGATTCGTTTTATTTTAGCAGCTGATTTGATAACAACTTCACAAAATCGTAAAAAATTGCAGATCTAAATAATAATATTTTATTAGATGAGTAAAACTAGAAATGAATATTAGAGAGACTTGATGAAACGCTCGTATATATGGATCTTGAACAGTAACTTGTGTGACGGATTCATCCAAGAAACGATTAAATATTTTTTCATAACTATTCCCTAGTGAACCATCTTTTATTTGAATTTGTTCATGATAAGTTTTAGCTAAAATTAAGAACAAGAAAGTGAACAAAAAAAAAGGTTTTTATTCTTTATTATTTAATATTAAAAAGAAACGAATAGAAAGCAATATATATTTTTTAAGCTTCGGTCTCATCTACAGTAGCTTTTGGTTTAAAAAATGGACTAGTAAATGTTGATGAAGCTGTTCCTTTTAATGCACCAACTGGAATACTACTACGTGTATTATTAGATCGATTACTCGTGTCACCACTAATTGTATCTGTATCTCGTATATATTTTATTTTTGATGCTTCTTCATTAGACTTTGAATGTAAACGACGACGATAAACAATAAAGCCAATTATGCACAATAAAAAAGCTATAACACCGACAGTAACGCCCGCAATAGTAGGTCCATGTTTACGACCTTTCTTTGTATTAGTTTCAAGAGTTTTTTTTGTTGTTTGTTGTGTTGTTACTGTTGTCGAAGTTGTTGGCGGAGTAGGAATTGATTGATTTCCAATGAGAAAAAACAATCGGGCACCACGCCAATTACTTGATACATTTGAAAATAATGATTCTGTTATATTCAATACTAACTCAAGTTCATCTCTATCTGTTTGATATTCGAGTACAGGTTGATCAATATTTCCACATAGTGTTCTAGTTATTTTGCTATCACGATAACTAATTGAATCATAACATGAAACTGTAGATGTGGGATCTATTGTTGTTGATGTATCACGTATCGATAAATCGATAATATAAAGATATATCGAAAGTTGTTTGCCCTCGGGAGTATTTGGCAATAGAATGCGCAATGAACATTGTTGTTGGCCATATTGATAAGAATTTGGGTAATGTGGTGTTTCAATATATCCTTTGTCGAAATCAATATATGTATCAGAACAAAAAGTTGCTTTTGGATAAATTCCTGTTGGTTTCATGGGTATACATTGATAAAAGAATTGAATTGAATCAGCTTTATAACCATTACACATATTTAGTTGTGGACCGATTGGAATCGAATGTATGTATGTACATGATTGTTGGCCAGAGCATAATGCTTGTGGTTGTTCACTTAGAAAATGGCAAGAGCTTTGTGAAATATCACACGATTGTGGATCATTAGTAACAAATTCATAGGATTGTAAAAAGACAAGACCATGATTTTCTGCACATGAAAAACTGATGCGTTCACGATCAACTGATAAAGCACAAAGAATTTCGTTTTTAATAACAAATGCTGCATTCGGTGTCGGAGGAATAATAGTAACAACATCAGAACATTCAGGTTTTTCAATAGATTCAACATACAATTGAAAACCTTTATATTGAATGTTATTTGTTGGTAAATCAAAGTTTTTATAACGAATTTGAATCGTATTTGAACATGTTTCAAATAATTTACGTGTATGAACATTACCACAAAGACGTCTAATACCAATTTGTGAATCTTCAATTTCAATATATGGCTGATTATCATTACATTGTACACCTTGTTCACGAAATGATTGAATAGGTAAATTAAGCATAATAACAAATATAGAAAATGCTTTATGAGCTGGATTTCCTAATGATTTTACTGATTGTAAATTGATTTGACATTGTTTTGATTCAGATTCATAGCCAAACGATGAAATAATTGCACCACCGTCAACTCGTTCAAGTGGACTCGATGATGAACATATATTAACATTTAATTTAGGTCGATTGGGAATACATTGATATTCAGCGTAGAAATATGTTGCTTTAGAATTATTACATTTTGGTAATGAAATTAAAGGAGGAAATATATAGCACGATGGTTTTCCACCACATGTACCATGCAAATAAGTTCGTTCTTCGAAACAATCATCAGGTGAATAATTGCAACTACCTGTTTTACTTGCAGCAAGATCAATTTTATGTAAAACAAGACCATAATCAACTTTACAATGTAATTGTATTGATTGTTGAACGCACGCAATTGTTTGTGTTACAATTGTACTGACAGGACCAGGACCCACTGATGATGATGATGTTGTTGTGGTTGGTAATCGTGTTGGTGGTAATGTAATTATACCGGATTTTGGTAAAATATGATAAAACAGTGCAAAACCACGTTGAGATTGAGCATTTTGACTTATTAAATTAGATGTAACAAATATTCTATCTGTTGATGAACATGTCTCAAATAAAACTTCAGTTTGACGTGTGCCACATAAATAATCACGATATGATTGATTATTACATTCATATGATATAAAAAGATAATCATTTTTACATTCACGTGTTTCTATATCAGCTGGACCAATATCAAGATCATATAAATACATAAATATAACACGATCAGAACTATCAGGTAAACCTATTGTTACATTGTTACATTGTGTTGGTTTATAAGATGGATATGAATCACTTTTTATAATGCCACTTGATCCGAATAAATTAAGAGTTTGACTTGAACATAAATCATAAGTACTTTGAACAATTGTTAATGTTGGTAAACATTGATATCCAACAAAAAGATATTTAGCAACAGATTTATTACATTCTGGTAAAGTAACTATATTTAGAAACGATATAGAACATGCTCGTTTTCCTGAACATGTTCGATAAACATGATCAGCTTCACTTGTACAATCATTTATCGTATAATCACATCGATTACCATAACCATAAAATGCTCGATGAATAACAATAATATAATTTGATGGACATTGAAAATTGTTTGCACCAAATAACGCTGATAGATCAGGATAACATAAAGTTTTAAATAATCGAGGAGATGGATCAGGATAATAACTTGGAATGACTGACATTGTTGTGGTTGTTGGTTCTACTGATGGTTTAGGTGATAATGTTGGACGTGTACTAGGTGTAACTATTTCATCGCAAACTTCAGTTGGATTTCGTTCACGAAATTCAAAATAAAATTTCACGCCACGTCCTCTGGCATCCGATGACCGAACCAATTGTAATAATACTGATTTATGACAAGTTTTCAGTAAAATATTTGTAAATGATCGTCCACACCATTCTGTTACAGCATCATCAGCTCTAACAATTAGTCGATCTTTTGTACAACTTTGTCCGATCACATTTGGACCATTTAAATCCATATCAACTATATAAAGATAAATATCTTGATATGGCTTTAATATCTGTAAATCATATGTACAATTAATATTATTTTGAGTATTAGGAAAATTAGGTGAATTTATAAATCCACGACGAATATCACCTTGTGGTTTTAAATTATTATTGCATATGTCATATGTATTTATATTTGGAATATTATTTGGTACACATACATAATCAATATGTAAATAAGCTGATGGTCGATTTTGGCATAATGCCAAACTTTTAGAAAAATGAAACGCAACACAAGATGTTTTCCCAGCACATACATTTTGTATCGTTGATGAATCACTTTGAAAGCAATCATTTTGATTATAAATACATGAACTTGCGTCTGTACTTCCATCTGGTTTAGCTGCATAGTCAGCAGTTATGATATCGATAACATAGCCGGGTGAACATCTAAGTGTTTTTGATTGACTGCGACATATGTCATAAAATGTTGAATCTGTAACACCAGTATCACAGAAACCCCATTGACGGTCTGCCTCAAAATTACTAGTTAATGAACACCATGGATCAGATGGATTTGGAAGTGTTCCTGAATTAGGCGGTTGACCTGAGATACAATTTGTATATTGAGTACCTCCATAGGTAAATGGAAATTGACAATATTGGCGAATATCATTGGTGGTTGTTCCACCATACGTAGGAACTATGAAAAGAAAGAGAGAACGAAATGAAAGTTTTATTTTTTATTTTAAAATGATCTACTTTGAAGACTTGGTGGTAATAAGGTTGTTAAAGATGATGTTTGCATTGTTGTTTGTCTTGTTGTTGTGAAACCGCTTGGTGTACATGACCATCCAACAGGTACATCAATAGTTTTAAAAAGAACTTTAAAACCACGATATCCAAGTGCTTGATGACTCGATATAAATTTAAATTGAACTAAATTTGAACAACTGAATAGAATAAGTTCAGCTTGTTGTGAACCACAAAGAATAAGTTTATCATTTCCATCATAGATTGTTAACGATGCATCATTACAAGTACCAAACTCATCTTCGCCTTCCAAAAATAAATCAACAATGTATACCATCCACAATTTACTTGGCAATGTTTCAATTGTTCTTGAGCAGCTACGTGCTGAATTTAATGATGGATATTGAGGACTTATTAGCATAGATTTATCAACAGCAATTGTATCTGTTGTTGCTGATGCACATATATCTATTGGATTTTCATTATTTGGTAAACGTGTTGGTATACATTGATAGTCAATATTGAGATAATCAGCAGTTTGATTGCTACACTGTGAAAGTGGTCTTGGTATAACATATTCCAAAAGACATGAATGTGTACAAGTGACACTAATAGTCGTTTCTTGACGGCAATGAGAAAACGTTGGGATTTCACATGAACCTACGCCTGTTGAACCATAATATGAATCGACTATGGAAATTACATAATCATTTGAACGTGGACATCGTAAATATTCTACAGTACCAATGCATAGATGTTTACCGAAAATGGGTGAAATATCTAAACGTTGTGCCCAATCTGGTAATGGTTCATTTGCTGTTGTTGTTGATTCTAATGGATTCAGTGTTGATGGATTTCCACCACAGTTTATAGTGGCTGTATTTTGAACCGTTTCAAAATATAATTTAAAGCCTTTATAGAAAAGATTCGATGTTGAAACTGTTTTATATTGTATTCTTATATTTGAGCTACAGATTGGACCGAGTGTTAGTTTTCGTTTACCACAATAGATATATGATGAATGGACAGTATCTATAATTAAATAGTCGGTTACGCATGTATCACGAATCGACGGATACAATTGTTCAATGTCATCGGCGTTGTTGACATGATTGTTTTTATAAATTATAAAATTTGGCTTATCGAATTTGTCTAAATAAAGAATGGATGTCAATAACGACATTGAAAAGAAACATGCTAACTTATACCATTTAAACTACGTACACCATTGCTTGCTATAGCCATTTCATTAATCCAGATTTGCAATATTGCCTCTCGTGAACCAATAATAGGTCGTTGACATTCTTTATTTGTTTGTTTATAGTTAGGGTAATTTGGACTTGTTATTACACCAGAAAAGGCTTCAATTGGATCATTTGTATCACAAATATCAAAGACTTTCAAAGTTGATGTTGTTCCAACGGGATAACTTGGTACACATTGATATGAAATATGTAAATAATCAGCATATCTATCTGAACAACGAGCTAATCGACGTTTTGTTGAATAGGGTAAATAACAACTCGGTAAATCATTTTGACATTGTGTTATTGTTGACATAGCTTCTTGAACACAATCACCTTGAACATATTCACATTGATTTGATGCTAGACTTTTAACACCATAATAAGCATCAAGTATCATGAATGTATACCCGGATGGACAACTATGAATTAATGTAGCACCATAACATATACTATATTGAACTTCAGCAAATGCACCTGTAAACGATGTATTTGCGGGTAATGTTACTTGTATTGGCATTGTTGGTGTTGTACGAATACTTGTTGGATTCGTCAATGTCGATAATACTTCTCCACATGACCGATCGAATGGATGTACTTGATTTTCAATATATAATTCAACACCATAGGATAAATTTTGTGAAGGATCATCTATCTGATAACGTAAGTCAAGTTCATTTGTACAACTCGAATATACTAAACTAGATGTGCGCTGTTCACAAAAATCTAAACCTTCAGTTTCATTATCTTCAATAAATGTTATTTTATTGGATTTACACTCTGGTATATAACTATTTAAACTTATATCCAATGCATATATATTCATAATATAGCCAGGATTAGTTCTTAATCGATATATACAATTCATTTGTATTAAATTAGGATAATTATAACTTTGAAATCGACCATTACGATTTATTTGAATAATTGTTTTCGAACCATCATTTGGACATGGACTATTTGTTGCAACGGTAGACGTTTTTGTTGGTATACATTGATATTCGACATAATGATATGAAGCTATTGTATTGTTACATAATGGAACAATTTCATTTCCTGTATACATGTATACACATCTTTGACGGCATAAAAATGGTGGATCTGTTGTAACAACACAATGTTTAGCTGCATCATGTGGCTCACATTGACCTGATGTAGTAACACCATATATATTTGTTTTAATTGCAACAACATAATCATTTGGACATTCAATTGTATAAGATTCATCTAAAGGATTTTTGTTTTTATTCAGGTAAATTATAAACATAGCGAAAATAAATCAATTGTTTACCTGTACAAATTTGAAAACTTCTTGTAGGTGATGCAATGCCAAGTGTAACATAGATGGGTTCAGCTGTTGATAAATGCGGCCCAATAGTTGTCAATGTTGTTATACTTGGTACTGGTGTTACTGTTATTTGTGGACAATTATCATTTAGAGGCCGATCAACAACTTCAAAATACATTCTCATTCCTCTGTATGCTAGAAAATTGGTTTTAGCTAAATATTGTATAATAATTTTTGATGAACATAAATATGGGTAGCCCATTTTTTTCTGACCACAATTTTGATATGTTTGTGTATTATCAACAACATAAACATAATCATTTACACAATTCGTACCAATTGAACCAATGAAAAGATCTGATAACCACAAACGAATTATTTTATTATTAGGCACATTTATAACACGAGAACATTCGGATGTTGTTGGTTGAAATGGCGATGGATAAGTAGGACTTTTAATAATTCCATTATCAGTCGTTATGTCGCTTGAATTTCGACAGATATCATATTCTTTCGATGTATCATTCATTGATATAGGAATACAATTATAGTCAATATGAAAATAGCTATTAAACTGATCATTGCATTGAGGTAATTTCTGTTTTGTTGCATGAATCGTACATCCAGTTGAATCGCTTAGACATGCTAAGCTATTCATAGCATCAACAATACAATCGCCTGGCGTGTATGAACACGAACCCGCAGTTTGTGAAACGCCATGAAAAGCACTTCGAACAATCACTATATAATTACTTGCACACCGAAGTGTTACTGTTAATGGGACACAAAAATCTTGTGGAACCATGAATTGTGCATTTTGCGCATGATTGAAAACGATATATTGTAATATGTGCGCAAGAAAATAGATTACTTTAGACATAATAAGGAAAACAAAAAAATTGCTACTATGTTCTTTTAGAATAGTAGCATTTATGGTAAAAGAGAAGCAGTGTTGACGTATAAATAATAGAAAAGACAAAATATACTTCAACTTTTTGTTCGCCAAGTGCGAGATAACAAAAATGTAAAACGATATCATCTTACGAACTCTATCTTTTTCATCTTACTGTGTCAATTATTCTAATTTTATCAGTTGACTATGACTACTTTATATGTCTGTATGAGTATATTGTAGAATAGTTATAGCCAAAAACAATCATCAGAAAAACATACTATTTTCTTGTTTGTATTTTAATAAATCAAAACAGAAAACAATCTTCTATACCTTTTTCTTGTTGAATTAAATCTTTGAGTTTTTCAGCACGATCAATGCATTCTGTAATTTTCTGGCGATATGCTGCTCGTTTTCGTTCTTCACTGGATGGAATATCTATTGAAAACGACATAATACAAAGCTGTACAACATCTATATTATTAGCATATATGAAATTTCTTCTTTCAAAAATTATAGTTTCTATAAAAATAGTTATTCCATACTTTAAATAACTTACTCGTGTTCAGTTTTACTTCGTTATCAACGAAAATCTATTCTATTTTTATCATATCTTTTAGAGTTAAGATAGTGTCAATGTCAATCAAGAAGAGTTCGTCCGAAATTAAAGAATATAGTAAATGTAATTCGTTTGATTTTGCTGAAACATACGAATTTTTTTATCAGTGATTGACATAATTTGAGCAGAAGCATCCCTATGAACTATGTGAAGTACACAATTAATCAAGACATTTTTATAATCTATCGGGTAGCAGCTAAGTTGCAGAGAATTTCATATCAAATTTCTAATCAATATAGCCATAGCCTTGTGAATTTTTCTTACTATAGATGCATTGAACTATTAAGATTCTATTACAGTAAAAGCCAGGCACGAAATAAATCATTCTGCTGATAAGCAGTGCTACTGCTGCTGGTATCGAGTAGTCAGATGTAAACATTTTCATCTTTGTTTTATGTACGGATATCAAAATTCATTTAACTTTTCACAACATCGAATGATATATAGTCAAATAAAACTATAATCTTATCTATCATAGACGACTGTAATACATGGTGAAGGATCAGAAATAAAAAAAGAAAAAGGGGTGGAATATTCTTCGATGAAGTGTGCGTTAGAAAAAAATTCCTTCACTATAAATAGTAATAGTATGTTCGAAACAAAACCCCTATGATCTGATCATATGTATAAACATATACTCATGAAACTTCAAATCATACTTAGAGTTTATAGAAGGTTATCATAATTCTTTTAGCTGTCGTAGTAAGTTAAATGACGTTGAAAAGATTCCTAAAAGATGAGAAATAGAAATTCAAATAATTATACGAATGAGTTGTCTTCAGATTGGAATTTAATCGCTATTTTTCTGAACTGCTGATTAATACATCTGTATTTTCACTGAGCAAAATGAATACATTTTGACGTTTTGAAGTGGAGTTGATTAGTGCTATTAGTTCTATATCATGAAGTTGAGCTGTTTCTCATATCTTCGACAATTTAACTTTTACAAACGATAACTATAATAACATTTAAAAAACTACTGTTATCACTTACCTTTTACAGCACTCAGCAACATACGAATACCTTCGGAATAGCAACTTAATGCATCTTGATAGGTTCCTTCATTATCGAGTTGTACGGCTCGTTTTAATAATTCAATTGCTGCCGTTTCACTCATTATCTACAATAATATGTAAATATAAAACTTCATCCGAGATCTATAAATAGTTCAAATGTTATCCATCACATATTTCTTGCTTAATGTTTGGTTCCTAATTCACTCGCAATAAACTGATTTTTTTTCCAGTTAATTGCCTATTTTATGATGGATACGATGAAATATGTGAGTTCCATAAAAAAAAGTAAATTAATTATTTAATTTATGAATTATACAGAGTGCAATTTTGACGATCAGAATGAATAAGTATTTGGAAATGCTTAGTAAAAAATATCAAGGACTCTTTTTTTTATAGAATTTAGATTCGTTATGCATCTTCAGTTTTACGCTTAAGTTTATTAACGACGAAATTGATCTATCAAATCGCTACTATTTGAAAATAATAGCATCTTTTACTGAAAAATAATATCAAAATGCCTTCAAGATCTAAAATAGTAAAATATAAATGTAAAAAATTTGCTAGTGAATTGAAATTATGAAAACTAAGATCTTTTTGTACACATCTTAATTTTTTCGATCTCCTGCTTGCATCTACGTGAGTCATATTCTTATGTTGATTCGTACATGCAATAAAGCAATCATCGGTAACATAATAATCATCGGCAAAAATATGATAAAACTCGAGAAGCATCGATTTATCGTACGCCGTTTCTCCAAAAAAAAAACAACAACAACAGCATGAACATTGCTTGAAATGAACTTTTGTTTTGGTTCAATAGATGTAGACACAGTGTATACACAAATATACAGTCGTATGCTAACAGACATTATTGGATCCCACACGTTTATATTCAATCACCCCAAGGTGAAATTCTTTGAAGAAGAAATCATCAGAATAAGATATGCTTGGAGATTTGTCTTGTGAAATTTTTAATAAAAGAAACTAGAATCAGTGTGTGTGTGTGTGTGTGTGTGAAATACATATTTTATCATTAAATCAGGATTGAAAATGTGCTCCTATTCAAAGTATACAGTATTTTGTGATATATCCATGCAGTTAGAATTATTTTTTGTGGAGGAATCAAAACTCATCGAAAAGTTGTGAATTATACGGTGGAAAAAGAAGAATCTAAACATGTGAACAATTTCGGATAGACAGCATTATTGAATCGGAAACAAAAAGTTTTTTTCTAAATCACAGAATTTTCTCGTCTAATCCAATCTAGATACAGAATATTAAATCTAGAGAGAAATGGCAGAATACACACTAATTACAGCTATATATATATTTACATTAGAGTTCAACTCATTGCAATCCGTCTAGCTAAGACATCTATAGAATAGCAAAAACATCTAATTGCAATTCTCAAAATATGTTTGGTTCGGTCCTGATTATCTTAAGGCACCACTCTTTTTTTTTCCTGCCGACTCTTCCAGGAAATAAGTCAATCGCCTGTCGTAGAATCGCTGAAGCTACAAAACATGCACAATCTTAAAACTGTCTCACATTGAATGTCAGCACGGTTAGCTCACAATTTTGAAAGATGAGCGAACAATTAGTAGTACACAACAACTGATGTCAAGTGACGCTACATGGGGACATACCCCCGTATAATAGTCAATGAATTGCAGAACAAGCAAAAATTGTTTGTTCTGCTATTCAGTGTACTGGTAGCTTTCCCGTGCTCGCTAAATTTTGCGCATACGGTTGTACCGCAAATAGCATCAGCTAATATCGGTTGTTATTTACTAATGATTATTAGTTCATCCTTCAAAATAATGAGCTAATCCTACTACAGCTAGAGGCGAAACATCTGTACTGATTGTGTATGTATAAAAATGACTAGAATTGATCGATAAATAACGGAACCAAATGTTGAAAACGTCAAAAGAGAACACAGCGTTGCCATTACAAAACTTAACTTCATATAATTTGTTTTTTCTACAATTAGATTATTTGCTCAATGAGGTTGCTACGCTATTCTGTGCCGTTATCACGATTCGTTTTTCCATTAGCCATCTCTAATCGAAGATTGGCAACAGTATCTTCCAATTCTTCGACCATTCAACCGATGACAGAGGCTGCAAAACAAGCTGCTCGAGAAGAAGCTACATTAACGAAAATAGCACCATACAAGAATGTTCCTGGCAAACACTATGGTGATGGCCTGGCCGAAGTAGCGTTGGCTCGTTTAGATGACGTACAAAACTTGATTCGACGTGGTTCTATCTGGCCGTTAACATTTGGTCTCGCTTGTTGTGCTATTGAAATGATGCAAATGGCTGCTCCGCGGTACTCTAATTGAAAGCTTAACTAGGAGAAAATTTTTCATTGAATACTTCTATTTCAATAATTGTTCTAGTTATGACATGGATCGATTTGGTGTTGTCTTTCGTGCTAGTCCTCGTCAATGCGATCTCATGATTATTGCTGGTACTTTGACTAATAAAATGGCACCGGGTAATTACAATAAATACTTTCTAGGACTTGTTTTTTAATTGAAGAACAATTGATGTTCCTAATTTTTCGTAGTGTAGCTGTTCGACGTCTTTACGACCAAATGCCACATCCAAAATGGGTCATTTCGATGGGTTCATGTGCAAATGGAGGTGGCTACTATTACTATTCGTATTCTGTCGTATGTGATTATTGATTGTAATCCGCGAATAAACGGCATCGATTTTTATTTAGGTTCGTGGTTGCGATCGTGTCATCCCCGTTGATATTTATGTTCCAGGCTGTCCACCAAGTGCAGAAGCTCTACTCTACGGTATTCTTCAATTACAACGAAAAATAAAGCGCTTAGATACATTACAAAAATGGTACCGCAAATAAATCAATTAATCTCGACCCTACGACTGCATGCAATTTGACTAAGAAATTTTCATAGTTATTCGATTTTCACTTCTGGTCTTCGTCTCCTTATGAGGTATTTTCTTATCGGCGCAAAAAAAAGTGCATGTAGATACTAAATGAATTCGAGCGTATATAATTTTAAATGTTACTCAATTACCCATAGTACTACTCATAGTCTTGTTACATGTACATCTTTTAATAACTAAATAAATTGTAATATTTTATTGGTTCGTCGTAATCTCATGAATGAAGCGACTTCAACAAAGATAAATTATCCAACACGAACGATCAACTAGTGCGAAAGCCGATGATGGTGTACATTTAATTGGCCGTTTCCGCTTTACATATTCATTAATCGAAACCGGTCGAAATAAATCACAGCAAGCTATTGTTTCCGATGCAGTTTTATAGCGTATATTTATTGGTATATGTTCACTAATTGGTTTAATTTTCATAGTGAAATTTTTTAACGAATCTCTCCGTATATCAACAACTAAGAAAAATACTCGAGAACCCTTTGATTTACGTATACGTTCATAGATGCTGAATACTTGAAAAACAACTATCAGTTCGTTTTACTTTGCATTTTCAAATAGCCACAAAGAAAAAAACTAAATAGTTCAATTGGAAAATTATGTAACGTATGTATGAATTAGATCGTAACCATAAAACAGCAAAAAATAATACGATGACAATTGATCATGTTTAGTTTTATTCAAATTTTATTATTAGTACTAGATATTTATTTTTACAATAAATCCAGTTTGACATGATAAAATGAGTCCTAAAAACTACCAAGTCATACAGACACATGCCAAATGATTTATATCGTAAGAAATTTCTTATATTTGCGTTTGCGTTGCATTTCTGATTCGAGTCTTCTTGATGTAACTTGAATTATATTGCAACAAAATTGCTATCACAAAAGAAAAATAATATGTTAATTTTATGGGTTTTTTCTTTCGTGCTGTTAATTGTCTCAGTTATAAATATTTTAGTTGAATTATTGAAATTCCTTCGTTTTTATTTGATTCAACAAAAAAATCTAATGAATAATTATGAAAAAACGAGGTTTAGCGGTACGTCGTATTTTTCTTACCAATCATTTAATATAGCTCCTTTTATCTTTATCTCTGTTTTAGTGGCTTTATTAGTTGAAGAATATAATACATTCATGAAATCTTGGTTTTCTAACCGACCATAAGATTTCCTATGTATAGCATTTCTTCTGTCGAAAACACGGTTATGTTAAGATAGATAGTAACAGACAAAAAGTTTTCGATACAGTGACATAAAGCATGCAGATGAAAATAGAATTGTCCTAAATTGAAGTTGATGATGATTTAGTAGTAAAACATTTTAATGAAAGTTTAATTCAAGTCTGATGAAAAAGTCTTAATTCTCAATAGAAACGAATCTCTTGATCATTTTCATTCGCAGCCATCAGAAACCTGAATGTTGAATTTATCGGTTATATTGAATTCTATTGAAATACAAGTTTGCATTCATATTGAAAAATTAGCAATGTCCTTTTATTTTATTTAAATTACTGAAAACATTTTTTTTGTGGTGATGGTTGTCGATAGTTACATTTTTCTTTTCATCTCGATCGTTCTTAACAATTTATTTATTCATTCTTTTTAGATCAAGAAAAAAACTAATAGCGAAAAATCGACAACTTGAAATGATTGTTTGTGATACTAATTGCATTGATGATTTTTATTGAAATGGACAGTGTTCTTGTCAAATTCGTTTTTGATAATTTGTTTTGAACTTATTTAATAAAGAGTTTTTTCTCTTGTCAATTCTTGATTGAATTTATCGAAGAAGCTTCTTTCACCAAGGCAATATTACAAAAATGAAAAATTCTATCATTGATTTCACTTCAATATTCTATTTATTTCGTCATATGAAAGTATCGGCATATGAAGGTTAATGTTGAGTGGAAAGAAATTTTCTTAAACGATAAATTACTCTGTTGATCGTTTCGTTCACAATCTTTTTCTAAAGATTTTTATTACTGTTGTTCATGAAGAAAGTTTTTGACCTTGAAAATCGGAGACCTGATTTACATATAATAGCGAAAAGAATGCATGAAAATTGCCCTTTTCTACCCATTATACGTGTATCATTATGGTTGTGTATAAAATTAGATTCCGAATAGAACGGTATTGGTTGCAAGTGCAACAATATCAATATCTTGAATTAAAACAAAAAGACTTCGAGTAGTTAATGCAATGACTTGTGGAATGTAAATGGATTTATTTATTGATAAAGTCTGTTCAATTGTTGTTGCTGTTAATTTTGAACTATTTCAAATCGATTCTCATTCCTCCTCGATAGTAGAAATCTGGTTGAAAAGTAAAATTTCGAGTAACTCCATGATCATTTGTTATTTTCAGTGCAAAACAAAAAATATTTTATTCTGCTGATTTATTATTCATATGAATTCGAAAGTTGTCGGTTGTGGTTTTTGTCTTGTACGCATACGTACTACTATACTGTGATAGATTAATATCTTACTAATATTTTACGCATCGTAAATAAATGAATTTGAAGAGAAATGCGATATACAGAAATTTTCTTTTCAATATTTACCTAGTTCAAAATGCAAAATAATGCATATTTCATCGAACAATGACTGATCATGTTCTGATGTTGCAGCTCATATTCGGTGAATCGTGTGATCTTCTTTATTCAACTTAATAAATAAGTCGTATAGAATATGAGACATTTGTCAAACTTCATCATAGATTGCTTTTTTTGTTAATTTCCCAATCATGATTATCCGTTCGATCTTCTTCGATTCCAACTTTGTCGGCATGTCTCATCTTTTACACTAGCATTTCTAGTGCTTCCTGATTCTCTTTAACTCTCTTCTACTTTGGCCTCTTTTATTAATTGAATATATGAATTATTGTATGTAGCGTCGAGTAAGTTTAGTATTGAATAGCTTTAAGTAGAATCTCACTTTTTTATTCGATAAAAATTACGCCGCTCATGATTTTTAAATTATTAGCTTTTTGTTACTTGTAAATACGTGGTGTTTTTTTTATCTAAATGAAAGTTTTAATAAATAACGATCGGTCGGTTAGATAATTTCAATAAAAATAAAGCATTCATCAAGACGCATCTGTCAGACGTTCAATAAATATCGAGAATCACTTCAGAAAAGAGAACACGAGATTGTTATTCTCTTTTATATATATATTTTTTTTTATAACAGTATTCATATCATGCATAAACTCATGCAGGCAAGATGATTCTTGATGTTGATGATCATTAAAAGTCTAATGGTTTTCAATTGTTTTTTATTTTCGAAAACTAAGACTCATATAACGATGATTTTTAAAAAACACTGAAGTTAATATTGTATTAGTCTGATCACGTATTTTTCACTAGAAATGAAGGAAAAAATGAAATTAGATATTTTACCAGTTGCAAAATCATACGTTTAAGTTCAGTTGAATCATTCTTGGTAACCTAGTTACTTTTTTCTTATGAAATTTCTTTTTGTTCGATCAGTAAATGAATAAAACCTTTAAAAAAAGCTAAATGTAGACTAATCCTATAAAACGAGAAAAGGTTTTTTCTCCTCTTGAATCAAAATATGAAGAAGATTAGCTCATGAATCATAATGTCTTGATAACGATCACTGGCAATCTTCGTCATTATTCTCACATAAATAATTTTAACATATCGATTGTGACTGTTCGTCTTCTTTTCTACAATCAATAAGTTGATCTTTGATTATAATAGAAAAAACGAATTAAAAATTGTAATTATATTTCTAATTCATATTCTTTATAGCTATAATTTTTAATAAGTGTCATTTTCATGTTGAATAAAGAAAACTAAGAGAAATCATTTTGTCTTACGTGCCAATTATTTATTGTGTCTTTTCAAAGGAAGAACAATAATAGAAACTTAATTATTCTACAAAAAAATTAGCGAGTAAAATATTTAAAGTATTGTCATCGTTATGCATTGTGTTTTACATGTGATTGGCGATGACATTTGATCAATAAGATAATAGAGAACAAAAAGAAAACGATAAACTTTTTTCTGTTGTTAAATTTCGAATATTACCTGTTTAACAATAAATTTTACCGTTTACTTGAGTATCAACCAAATAAAAATGTTTTTTAATTGCTATCAAGATTTAGAATTGTTCTGTCTTGTCCTTTTTTTTTTATCTATCTGTTCATCGAATCACTTGACATTCTTTTGTCAATGCATAATTGCTCGTGTCGAACACTTCAATGTATGAGGTTTGAGTATAAATTGTCTTTTACTAATTGATTTTGAATGAGCGAACACACGTACGATGAAAGACTTGATAATGATTTGTCAAGTAGCTGTCATTATCAGTTGGGCCAACAAAAAGAATACATATATATATATATATATATATGATATATCAAAATATACTGGTTTGTCTCTGCTTCTGATTTTTTGTATTGTTTACATTTCACATAACCTTTTTAGTTATTAATGACATTTATTCATTTTATTAGAATGTGAAAAATGTTTAAAAAAAACGAAAGAGAATTATAGTTAGTTGACAACAATCGACTGTCGTTGTTCATCGTTATTGTTGTCATTCGATGTTAAAATTCTATTCATTTTCATTCGAAAAGAAATATTTAAAAAAAAAATTTATTTTCACAGTTGACCCGAAATCAATAGGCGATAAATCATCATGGTCATTCGCATTTTTATTTGTTCTTCGCTCTCTCTCTTGCTCTCTTTCTCTTTACTTGACCCTTGGCGAACATGTCCGGCAAACTTTTCAAACTTATATGCCCCCGATTAATTGAGTTTTTTTTTCTCTTTCTGTTCTGTTCTCGATCGAGCCAAAAAAAAGAGAAAAAAAAGAAGGAAGAAGAGGGCATATTCTCCGATTGCTAGGAACAGAACAATCCTTCTTTTTCCCTTCTCTTCTCTTTTGCTTTTACGAACGAAACAAGAAATAATTATATACATTGATGTAGACGAAGCTAACGCAGAGAGAAAGAAGAGCGATTAGAAAAAGACAGACAGGAAAAAAAGAGAGAAGGAGACCTTTCGTTTACATACATTACTATGCCATCACTCAAGATGCCGGTTTTTTTTCTTTTTCTATCAAATTTATGCTGTTTTTTTTAAATACATACATACGAGTCTGCGCATGTTGTCTTGTATTTTGTTTTTCTTCTATAATACACATGTATAGCGCATGCCTCATCACCATCATCATCATCATCTTCGTTGCCGCATGTACATACGAAAAAAGAACCAGATACAATAAAATAAAGAACATCCTTTTAGTATCCTTTGACGTTTTTTTAAATACATTCAGTGCTAATTGAGAATAAGAATGATATTATCGCTAACTATTAAAAACAAAGAATTCTTCGATTGCAGATCAATTAATTTTCCATGTAATTCAGTGTTATTATATCTTTAAAAATGACTTCTGCATTATATTATCAATCACTGACAGTACCCCAACAACAACAACAACAACAGCAACCACAAATACCAATGTAGTAAGTAGAAAAAGAAAAAAATGTATGTTTGTGTTTGTATAGATTTTTAAATTTTATTTATAATTTTAGCTATCATCCACAACAACATCAACCTCAATTGTTACAGCAACAAGTACTACCACAACAAATTCATCATATGATGCCATCATCACATGCACAAAATCGTGAACAACATCATCAACCCAAAGAACTACATAAGCCAAAGGGTCGAATGAGTGCATATACATTTTTTGTCCAAAAATGTCGAGATGAACATCGTAAAGCGTATCCAAATGAAAATGCTAACTTTAGTGAATTTTCAAAAAAATGTGCTGAAAAATGGAAGGTAAGAAAAAAATTCGCAATCGCCATATGTATGCATGTAGTCAGTGAATTTTATAAAAACTAATCGATCAATATGTAACTGTATAGGAAAAATTTTTCTCGTTATTTCTTCTAGACAAATTTTCCCTTGATGTAAAAGAAAAAAACATTAAATTCTTCTAGTTATATCCCTGATCTTCTAGACTGATGTTTTGTATTTGATCTATCAGAATGGATTGAAATTATTGACTATTTTTCTACTCTTTTGATGAAGGACAGACTAAAATAATATCGGATTAAGCAAATAATTCTATTCAAATAGTTTATGTTCTTTATTCAATTGTTTGATTCTATCAAATTTATATTTTAGACAATGACCGAAAGTGAGAAAGCAAAATTTGCTGCACAAGCTGAAATTGATAAACAACGATTTGATCGTGAAATGGCCATCTATCAACCTGGTGAAAAACGTACAAAAAAAAAGAAAAAAGATCCACTTGCACCAAAACGACCATTGTAAGAAAAACCGTTTATTTTTTTTTAAATGAAAATACAAAAATAATTAATTGATTGGTGTTTTTGTTTGTTTGTTTGTTTTAGATCAGCATTTTTTCATTATTGTAAAGAAGAACGACCAAAATTAAAAGCTATAAATCCAAGTTTATCTGTTGGTGAAATTGCCAAAGAATTAGGTGATCGATGGAATCATACAGCTCCCGATGGAAAACTAACTTATGAAGAATCAGCACAACGAGATAAAGAAAGATATGAAAAAGTTCGTTGAAATTCATCAATATTCTGTGTTACTCAAAATTGCTTTTCTTTTCTTTTTAATTATTAGGAAATGAATGAATTTAAATTGGCAAATAAAAAAGCTTTAAAATCTAATGCATCACCCCAAACAATACCACCACCACCACCGCCACCACCACTACAACATCAGTCCGAACAACAAGTCAGAATACATCAAGATGTAAATTTTTATTAAATACTTTTTTTTCCCTCTATTTTAAAATTTCGATTTCTATTTAGCAACAACAACAACAACAACAGCAACAACAGTACTCTTCTCCATCATACCAATTACCTTCCTTTAATCCTATGCAATCTTTTCAACCTCAAGTAAATAGTAAAACTAATAATCGATTGATTAATTTTTTCCTTTTTTTTAGACATTCGGTCAAATGAATAATTTTCAAGATAATGGCTTAACATCATCTCTTTTTCCTCATTATAATGGTTATTCATTACAAATGCCACATAACAATGTAGGATATTAGTGAACAGTAGAAGTAGTAGCTATGCATACAAGCACATATATACACTTTGATTCTGTTCCATTCGAAGTATACAAAAATGACAAAGACTTGAAGTTTATTTGTTGTTGTCATTCACTTTTGTAAATGATGAATTTCTTCCGATTTAGTTCTCTTCGTTTCTTATACACCTGATAAAAAATTTTGTGCATATGCACATAAGATCAACGTATAGATAAAACTGTGAACGATAATTAATGAATATAGCAACATCAGAATTCAGCAGCTGTTTTTTTCTTCCGGTTTTGTTCTTTTTTTTGTTTATTTATTTCGAAACAAATTTGTTGTCGATTATTTCTTGTTTTTGTTGTTCCTGTTTTGTACGTGTATAATACTCGAAAACAAGATAGAAAAAAAAAGATAAATATGAAAAAAAAAAAGCCTTTGATTCTATAGTATACCTCTAATCAACAATATTTATATGTGTAAGTACTGCGTTTCTGCTTTGTCTCTGATGTATATATGTGCTTGGTTTTTGTTTGACAATTGCCAATTTTAATTAATATACTTAATCATCTATTTTCAGGTGCAAATGCAACAATTTCAAGTTTTGCAACAACAGCATCAACAACAACAACAACAACAACATATGCAGCATCAGGTAGAAATAAATTTGTAAGGCAAGTTAAAAGAACGCATTTTTGTTCGTTTCGTCCTTTAGACTTATCAAACATTAACATCAGTTAATACTAATCATCACGAACAACGACACGATGATCAAGATAATGGCGATGATAACGATACTGAATCTGATGATGAAGAATAGATGAAAAATTTTATTTCTTACGAAATTTATCTCTTTTTTCTCGATGTAAGATGATACATTTGTGTACACCATTAATTTGATTCTTTTCATTTTGTACTTGTTCTGACTGTGACGAATCGGTTGTATGTGTTGATACACGCTTAGCTTGTATAATATTGTCCTATTTTCTCATTTTATGACATATAACTTTTTGTGTCTTTTTTTTGTTTTTGTCTGGTTTTTATAAGATATAATGTCAGACATATCTATACACATATATACATACGTTGGTCGTTTTCTCACGTTTTTTGTTTATTTTATTGACTAAAAATCTAATTGAATGATGCACAACTATCAGTCCAAAGCAGTTGTCTATTAAGAATGCCCTTTTTTTTTAGAAAGAAGAAACATTTGTACAGGTAGCATGAGGGGTGTCCAAGGACTGAGGATTAGGAATGCCTCATCAGTTCCCCTTTAGTTCCTTGCATAATAAATGTAATAATATGGAATATTCGCGATAGTTTTTGTTCTTACACTCATTTTCACTTGCAAAATTGTGAAAATCAATGATTTCATGCAAAAAGTATTTTTAAAACAGCAATATCGCGACTCTCGTGAATGGAGGAACTGTGAGAAAACTTATAGTTGATTCCCATTTCCTCTAGGAATTATCACAGAGACACTGACAATTCCTCGGCAAATTAGGAATTCCTATTTCTCAGTCTTTGGATACTGCTGAAATATTCATATTAATTAAAACGCAAATGAATCTAAGAATATGTCCACAAATGATAATACCTTGAAATTATATTATTAAAATAAATTAAATTTACATTAAGTATTGACACATAATCTATAGCGGAATAGAAAAATGCGAGTATCGAACACATTATATAAAAGAAGCGCTCTAATCCTTTGTTGACAAGTCCAGATGATGAGAAAGCATAACTTCAAAACTAATAATAAAATATTTGATGATACTAATTCTTATTTCAAAATATGCACTCAAAATATTGAAAATGTTAGGCCTTACAATCAGCAGCAACAAAATAGATTTAATTTTGTTTTGTTGCAATTAGATAAAACTACGTGTGGTACTCTTTGAAGTAGAAATAATGATTATGTTTGATTATAGATACATATTTGATATTGCTTTTAATTAAATCTTCAAAACTTTTGTTTTTTAATATCTTATTATTATTCTACTGAGAATTATTGCGTTTAAATATATGACTGAGCAAACAAATAAAAATCTGATTAGTAAAATTAAAAAAGAACCTTTGTTTTGCTTTTAAGAATAAAAATAAATTCATGTTTTCTTCTGGATTAAAAAATCTATTGAAAACATGCATTCATACACTATGGAAATTAGTTCAATTACTATTATTTGTTATTATTGTGCCACCATTGATTAATTACGCATCATTAAAACGTGAAGCGCCTTTACTTGGACAACATGGTAAGTTATCGACATTCAATATGAATATTTGCTATTAATTGTGTTAGGTTTACCATATGATATTGGCTTTGGTCAAAAATTGTTTTTACGTTGTCGTGGAAAGGGTGCGCCAACGGGTGAGTATTTTTGAAAGTATTTAAAATAAGAGAGAAAAAAAAAGACAATTTTTGTTCAAAGTTATTTTTGATGCTCCCACTGGCATGACCTCAGATATTTGGCTTCCTCTTCAAGAAAATCTTCAGAGGACAACAACAGTAAATGTGTCATGATTGGATTTTTCTTTTCATTCTAATGAACTTTCTTTAGGTATGTATCTATGATCGAGCAGGATTAGGAATGAGTGATCCACCATTAGGTTCGACGATTCAACAAAGTAATATTTTAATTGAATTCGAAGAAAAAACGATTTAATAATCACGATGATGTTCTATATAGAATCCGATGTCAAAGAAAATGAACCCACGAAATATCGTGGTATGGATTTCACGGTAGAAAAGTACAGATTTTTTGATGAAAATTGCAATTAAACGCTTAAAAAATTATTCATTAGAATGTCCGAAGATTTGAATCGCCTTATGACTGCTACTAGTCAACAGCCAAAACCATTTATTCTAGTCGGTGCTGATCTTGGTGCTATCGTAGCTCGTTTTTATACTCAAATGTATGAATTGTAAGTCGATACAATAGAATCCAAATCACAACTGTCATTTATCACGATGTGTATGAAATAGCATAAATTAAAAAGCAGAAAAACGATGATAGATATCAAACATAAGCGTTGATTTAAACACTTTCTATCAATGAATTACTATCAATCAGAGATATAACAATTAAAATCTTAGATTTTGTCTTTAAATTGAACATTAACAAAATCATATCGCGTTCAAATTATGCATTTATGTAGATAGATGCAAGATTAGTAATTCTATAAGAACTAATTCTAGTCAATTCCCAGTGCTATGATGGTTCATTGCATAATATTTTAATCTTAAAGTATGCCGAAAGATGATTAGAAGTTATTGGACCAGAGCATTTAAAAAATGCTGATCAATAAATAATCACCCTTGTAATGAATGGTCCAGTCGCATCTAGTCAATGAATTATAATTCTTACATGCGTAAGATTTAGAGTTTAAATCTATATTTTATTTCTTTACTATTGAATATTAAACAACTATAAATCGTTGTTTTTATTTTATGCTTTCAGTGATGTTAGTCATTTATTTTTAATTGATCCTTTGGTTGAAAATTTATTCGATAATGAACATTGGAAGGATCATTGGTAAATCTTTCAATTAATACGCTTCCGATGCAATACGTTTTAATTTAGGTACAATAAAATAATTCCACGACTTCATGCTATGCAATTGTCAGCAGCTATGGGTGTTAATCGAATACTTGTCTTGACACGTATGATTAATACTCAATTGAGTACGACGGCATCTAATAATATAGATGATACCAATATAAATATCAATCACCGACAGGTTGTTACATTTGAACGATAAAATAAGAGTTTTCCAATGTATTTTTATGTTCAGAAACATTTACTTTGCAATGCTGCTCATATTAGCTCAGCTATTCGAGAGCATTTTTACATGAATGAAACATTTTCACAAATGAAGTAATAGCAACAAAATTAACAACAAAAAAATTAAAGAGATTATTTCTGTAGGTTAGCCTGGCGAATGAAAGCTTTTTCTTCAAATGCATCAGTGACTATTGTTAATCGTCGTCAATATGATAAAGATCTCTCGAAAAATTTAAATCAAGTATAATTCTTAAATTTTTTTCTGTTGTACTTTTCATCTTTCTTGTATTCAAGGCATGGGACGAATCACAAGAATTTCTACGTACGCAATTATTTCGTAATCGAATTCAACATCGTCTTATTGATTCGACCGATAAATATTTTTTCTTCAACAAACCTGATCTACTAGAATCAATAATTAAAGATTCAATAAATCAATGGCGAGAACAAAAAGGACTTGCATGAGTCAGTTTACATTGTTATTTTGTCTTATTATAAAGATATAATTGTTTGCAAGAACATAACAAAAGAAAAGAAAAGAAAAAGAAATTGATTTTCATCATTTGTTATTAATAAATACTAAAGATAGATTCTTCAGTCATTTAAATTGGAAAATAATTGAACAGTATCAATGGACGACGGATGCAAGCATTTGCCTTTGCCTCTGAGGTTTTCTGTTTGAAAAATATAGCCCTGTAAAACTACTAATATCAAATGGGAACAAACAATTCATTATCAATCGGTATAGAAATGAACATTTTACTATTATAGACATACGTGCTATTAATCGTGAATTATAGAGATCAGCATGTAAATCGAAAAGTTTCAATTAGTGTGTCGCATTGATAGGTCATGTATGATTTTCCTTTACTTACACACTTTCATGGAGTTATGTAGGCGGTAACACCTGTGAGTTATTGTGGTATACTGGAATTCATTATGCGAACAGCTGTTTGTACTTATTAATAATTAGGAGTTTTTTTTTCATAGCGAAATCTAAACTGGTTTGGTGATTTTATAAATAAATCTGACTAGTTATACTTGGCAAACACTCATTGGTAAACTATTTCCAATGAATTTCTTTTAAGTCGTAGTACACTTCTATTTACAACAAAAATATTGACACTATCGAACATTGTATAGCACAATGGGATGAGATCAAGATAATTATTGATTAGATTCTGTCTTGCTAATACTAAAATACTAATGTGATCAGTAGGCATACTTTCTTCCGGTGCTCATAATTTTATAGTTAAAGAAAATACTATGTCAACTACGATAAGTATGACCATGTACATAATTGATCATAAATAGTAATAGAAAATGTCTTTCTTTCTATTTGCAGCATGCATTCTCAGGGCTGATTTTTTGTAACAGATAAAATCAGTGAGTAAAACTAAAGATAATGATCGAAAACTCAAATTCACATGGATTTTGCGGCTGGTTTCTCCTTCATTGCGCCATATCAAAGTTTCACTGAACAATTTGTTCAGTGTGCAAAACTTGAAAAACATCCGATGAATTTGTACGTAGACTAAAAATTAGAATTGAATTGAAGATATCCTGTTGGACTGAAAGACACTAAAATCGGCACGTTGGCTCGAAGTGAATTCAAATTATCGGTTGAGATGATTATTTTGTCACTTTTACTTATCAAATGTACATAAATATTGATCTATAATAACTGAAAGCGTATTAAGTTACTATTGAAATAAAGGAATAATATTTACATAAATGAATTTTTTCGTGTCAGATTTGTGTAATCATTTGATTCCATATTAAATCGTGACAGAGTGATTAAATATGTTTTTGATTTGATTCAAGAAAGTATCAATATCAAGACTCTCAAATTTCATGGCTAATTCTATCTAATATACACACTAGTTACAGTAGATGACGATGCTCAATTGTACTGATGCACAAAGAACTGACTGTGTGTAAAGTATACTCAATGAAAGAATTCGTACAAAATCCATTGATATATCATAATAAATAGAAAATTCAAACTACTAGTGGGATTCTCACGAAAGAAAAATGGATAAAATTGATCGAAAAAATACTTTATCAACTACAGTATTGTTATTTGTTTCATTAAAGATCATCGTTAAATATCGATGAAATAACAAATTTAGCCTTCTACGCCAAGATTCAGTACTTAAAAAAACTATTTTTGATTATTGATCCTCGGTTATTATCGAACATTGACTATGTGGTCGGATTTATATCAAAAGTTTCTATACAAACAGAGATCTCTGTGTGTATATCGTGCTCATCAATAGGTATTAGGATTATTTTATTTGTTTTTGTGTACTCAAAAAACAAAAATGAGTACACTGTAGAATCGGTCAGTGTGTCCGTCCGGCCGTTTACACGATAGCTCCTGAAAGGCTGATCCGATTGTCATGAAATTTTGTACACACAATGATCTTATCAATATCTCAGTCGGGTTCGAAGATGAGAGGGGTCCGTCAAGAAATGGCTGAGTTATCGAAAAAATTGTCATTATTGACCAGACCATCCCTGAAGAGGGGTACAGGGATTTTTTCAAAACAAATTTTTTTTTCTCAGTATTATTCACAACATATTTAAATCGACTCAGTTTTTTGCAGTACACATAGCAATCGGATGCAAATCCGATGTTTCCGCATTTATTTGATGATTAAAGTCAATTTTCAAGTAATGATATTGAATTTATAGACTGATGAGAGAATTTGTACTGTTTGCAAGAATGTACTATCAAGAATGCGTTCACCTTGAGTGAAAAGACAATCTTGATGACAACTACTGTCAAATTCATGGCTGTCGCTACCTTGAGAACACTGAATATCTTCGCAAATTATTAATGTTTCTTTTTATTCGTCAACGTAAGTAGTCTAATTTTGTTTGCTTAGTTTATAATTCATAATAGAAATATAAACTTCATTCTTCGAAGAACTACGATGGAGCTAATTAAATTCGAAATATTAGACAATTAATTAATAGTTCTTTGACATATTACAATCGTCATAAATGAGAAGAGTCACCTAATACGTACGATGATGATGATGAAGTCGGAAATTTATTCATAATAGGTAATAAAGATTCAATATCATGAATCACAAATACGTTTTATCTATCAATCAAGGATTGAAATCTTGTTGGTTATTCTTCTGCTTGTCACGAACGACATAGATATGCATTAGAATATCTATTGAAATAGTCATGTAATACAGATCATATTTTGAGACATTGATCTTACAATCTGTGAGCAATTTTGATTAATTTTGTTAACTAAAATCTGATCGAATACGTTAGATGTTTGTTCACGATAAAAGGCTAACAAGAAAATTTTACTTCTCAAAATTGATTAAATGTTTCTATATTTGTGTAGCACATGGATAATTTCTTGCAAAATAAAAAAAAAACATAATATTCGTAAATTCCTTTTTTTGTTCTGTAAAAGAAAAAAAATCTTTTATACTGTTTCTGAACATATCACAAAAGAGACATTTCCCATTAAAAAACAACATTTTTGAAATCTGACTACAGAACAAGAAATTTCTGGAAAAAAAGAAAAAAAGTACGAAATTCAACACTGAAAAATGTTGTTGAATACTCGAAAGTTCGCCTACTCGACAACAAGGTCAAATTATGATAATGGACGAATTTGTGAGATATGTTTCCGATCAAATGGGCAATCCGAAAGTAAACTTGGTCGTTTTATCATAGTAGCACATGTATTACACAATATGCATTCACATGGCAGTAATTGCGTATCAGCTAAATGTTCATGACAAATTAAACATAATTCTCGAGCATTTGATACTTTATTGAAATCTAATTTTTCTTGTGAACTAAAATTATATAAATAAATTGATGTTACTTGTCCATATAAATCAAAAAATGGATATAAAGTTAAATTGGAAATTTCCGATGATGGTATTTGGCTTTTGAGTTGTATTGGCAGACGATTATTAATTGAAAGATTAACATGACCATGCAAATCAAACCAAAATGCTAGTTCATCATACATTGATATATCTGCATTTATATCAGAATCAATAAACCATTTTGATGATGAATATTGTTCCGTAAGTGCTGTTGCATCTTCAGGTAAATTTCTATTTTTTAATGATGCTGGATTACATGTTGTTAAACCAAATAGAAGTATTGAAGATATATTTGTATCGCAATTCATTACTCTACAAATAAGCATCTCATTTAATTTCATTGGTGTATTTAAAAATGCATAACTTGACTTGATTTTAAGATTATCCACACATGCAATACGATTATTATTTGTTAATATAACATTATGATTCGTTGATGACATAAATGTTAATTTATGTTGAGCATTTGATGAAAATAAATAATTAAAATATTGAAGTTGAGAAATATTACTATTATCATTTAGATTTTTAGTGACAAAATCAATAATACTACCATGAATTGATATAGGCAAACCCTCATTAATTATTGTTTGATCTGGTAATGTTGCTTCATCAATTATTTCGATTTGATCTGTTTTGCCATATACTTCACAAAATAAATAGTAAGGTCCATTATGCTCATTAATTGTTAAAACTGCCTGAGCTGGAGTTGTTTGACCATATCCACCAACATAGATTTGGCCATCTAAACCAAAAGAAAAAGTAAATAATTTAGTTTTAGTTGATTATTTTAATAATAACAAATGAGAATTTTTCAAAATTTTAAAAGAAACTTAAAATTAATATATACTGAAAATAGAGATTGTTTGAAATCGATACCATTTTATGACGAAATGTAAAAACTGTAAGTTTTGATATTAACCTAGATGTAAAGTGTTGTTCTATTAGAATATATTTAATCGGACTAGATTCTTCATTAGGTGAAGATAAATACTTAACAGATAACCATATTAGTTCTACTTGAAAGTTACATCATCATTCATTTCTTTTTTGTATTTTTCCCTATAGAAGATTTGATTCTATATTTTTAATTGAAACTTGACTTATGAAATCTGGGGATTCTTTTTTTCTTAATAAAATATGACTCGATGTATACTAGTTGTATGTACAATTTCTTCTAAAATAACGCGCATCTGATTACCATAAGCATAGTATACATAAATAATTGGTGATGTTCGTAGAAGTTCATCAGGACAGGCACGTAACCAATATCCACCTTGGTCTAAATAAACAAAAAGTCAATAGCTTCAATTTTATCTATAATATCAATAAACCTGTTAGGTGTTTAAAAGCTAAAGTTGGCAATGTTTCTTGGGTAAATTGTGTTTTAGGATCTTGCAGACAAAATCCAACACGAAGACTTCCAATCCAATCAACTTCTTTTTGGCGGTGTTTTAAAAAAACTTTTTCATATGAACGTACAGTTCGACAACTGAATACAATAGCATCTCCAAAACCTGATGATCTAGTTGCTTGTCGGTTATTATTTGCAAGTGTTATACCTTTTCCATGGAGTTCATTAAATCGTAAAGGCTCTGGTTTGCCCATAACACGACGTGAAGGTTTAGGCATTTTGTTTTTCGAATCGTTTGTTTTTATCAAAATATCAAGACAAAACAGAAACTATTTACTATTTTCTCTTTTTCTTCCTACGTTAAAAAACCTAAAAATGTCATCTAGCGCCACCAATATTCTAAACTGCTTACTATTGGTGTATAGTAAGAATCCATTCCGTTAGTCGAATGCAGTTCTTTCTTTTTTTTTGTTCTCTTGATATACATTTGCTTTACCCGTTCTATCGTTTGCATATTTCTTTTTGTACAATATAGTGATAGATCTGTCGTTTTTAATATTTTTCTTTGATTGACTTTAGACTTAAATCAGGTATATCGAATACATCATTGATGTTTGATTTGATTTGTTAAGTTCTAAGATAAAGTAGAGCGATTTTGAAAAGAAAAATCAAACAAATGTCGATTTATCACGTAAGTGAAGATTACGTTGCTTCCATATCATTTGTTCTAAGACGGGAAAACTAGAAAGAAAAATCTGATTTCCATTTCTCCGTATGAATGTTGTTGCAGTAGTTTACGTTGTTTAGCATTTTCTTTCATTCATTTATTGTTTTTCTGGCGAATATAGGACAAGTCGGTCAACCGATTACATACGAAGATTGACGAACGTAATCGCATGTCCGATAAGTAAGCGACGTCCTGATGACCTCTTCTTCATTCTTTTCTTCCCTTCTCTGTGGCCACCTCTTACTAACTATTTCCTCATTCTGCCGCCTACATAGTCAGACAAACATATATGTACTGGAAGATCGTGACGATTGAGCAGTTACGATCGCAAACATTCTTTTCCTCAGTCGATGTCTATGACCGAACGAAGGGGAAAAAATTCTTCTTTTTTTTTTGGGATGAGAATTATCATTATACTCGTTTGGTTGAACAGATCGATCGATGATGGAAAGCAGACATTTGTTATATTATTATTATTATTCATAGTAAAGAAACAATACAGATTATAGTCGAAATATCTTAGCAATTATTTTCTTTCTATTGAATGCGTCTCTTTGACACCTTTTTTTCTGCTGTCTATAATCGATAGCGAAACAATTTTTTTCTTTTTTCAATGGCAATTAAACATTCGAAAAAAAAAAGAACACCGACCCTATGCTCATTTCTCATCAGTCATGATTACACTAATAGCTTTGCCTGATGCATGCATGTGTCGATTCTTCTTATGTTCATATTCGCGCTTTTTCTCTTTCTCGTGTTTCTTAATTTCTCAACGGGGCGTCATCTTAAACGTTCTTTGCTCATATTCATTTTTCTTCGGTGTTCATAATGAAAAAAATTGTCAAGGCTCTTCATTTTTTTTCTTTTTGAGTTCAACTTATATTGACCATCGATTGTCTGTTTGTATCTAGATATTTACACACAAATAAAATATCAACTTGTCGATAAATCATGCGACGATTTGTGTATATGTATCTCTTTTCACCGATATTGCTATTCTTATGAAGGTGTCATTTGTAAATCACTGACGAAAAAAACAAAAAGAAAGAAAGACATGGGTGAAAGGTAAGCTATTACTAATAAGTTATTACTAATAATAATTATTTTAAATGTAAAAATAATAGCGAAATAGTATAAATCATTTTTTTGCTTTGATTACTTTTCTAATTATTTTTCTTAATAGACTCGAATGGGTTCAAATCATCGAACCGAAATCCAAGGACATTATGTATGCCAATCTTGTTACGGGTGAATGTGTTTGGGAAGCACCACCTGGTGCACGAATGTAAGTTATTTATATTGAAAAACAACAATTTATTAGATGTTTATCTAATCTATCATCTTCGATTTCATAGAATAACTAATTACGTTTGTATTTGAAAATCTAGACGACAGCAGACACCTCATATTTTACCTTTTGTTTCTCTTTTACTAACAAACGAACAAATGAAAAAAGGTCAAGTCAATATATACCGTGAGAAAGAAGAAACGGCAAGCATAAGTACGCGTATGAACAAATGCACTCTCATTCTCGTATAGACACAATTGTAACGAAGAAATGTCATTATATACTAGTGTAGAGAGTAGACCAGATGTCCGGATATAGACAAAAAAAAATGTTTTATAAATCTGTAGATCTTCTTTTTTTGTATTGAGTGGGAAATTGCATAATTCATTAAAAAGAAAGAAAGAAATCTCTTTGTCTATCTTGTTTAACTACTAGTAGAATAGAATGGAAAAGGAGCAGAAGAGATTATCAATTAGTAAACGAAAAAACATTGTAGTGTATCTAGTAGACATAGTGTAATCAAATCGTGTAATATGATAAGTCTTTGGCAACATCAATGCTATCGTCTTTTTTTTGTACTAATATACACGCAGTATGTCTAAATACGTGCGATTAAATGTCCTTGAATCAATGTTCTATTAAGACAAAACTAGGCATGAACAATAGAAAAATAACATAATAGAAATCAATAAAGAATGCCGACATTGTGCGTAATATTATTAGGATACTTGTATAACTATGATTTCCACTTATTTATTTTCTTGATTGCTCTATTCTAGTAAACGCACAGATGAAAATCAATGGTGGGAATTATTCGATGCGAGTACGAAACGTAATTATTATTATAATGCAAAAAGTCAAAGAACTGTATGGCAACGACCACCGGGTGCTGATATCATTCCTTTGGCTAAACTGCAGGTATTCTAAAAAAAGAAATAAGATTGCGTAATTGAGTCATCTCGTTTTCTCTTATTGGTATAAGACGAATGAACAAACATGTGCCGGATATTAATCATTATTATTTTTCTCTCCTGAAGAGATACATCTTATTTTCTATCTATCATGTAGATGATGTAAATCTTCTTTTTCTTGTTCTCGTTACTCATACTGACATGATCATCGTCAAAGTCTCTGAAATCTACTTATTGTTTTCTTTTTTCGTTCAATTTAGATGATCAAAGAAAATACAGAGCCAAAAGATGAACAACTAACATCAACAATTATTACTTCACCAGCATCTACAATTAACCAAACAGTTCAACAACGTACAAATAATAATAAATGGAAACAGATATCATTACAAGGTCTTGATTTATCGTCACATCAAAATAAATTGACATCACCAACAAAAATGTCGACACCACCATTGAATTCTGCAGCACAACGAGTAAAGAAAAAGATTAAAATTAAATAAGATTTTTTTCATACATTTTTTTCCTTGTTAATCTTTTCAAGTCTATTCGTCGTACAGCAACTATTCTTCATCCAAACACTACGCTTACTTCAAGTATAAGTAGTGATCCACGTCGTACTGTTGTGTGTAACGATATTACATTACCATCAAAGGCAAATCAAACAAATAGCTTCTTTCGTCGTCGTACACAACAACAAACATTTAATGGACAATTAGATAAATCATCGTCAACATCATCATCAACAAAATCATCATTAATCGATGAGAATTCTACCAAAACATCATCAGCAACGTTTTCTTTATTGCGACAACATTCATCACCGACAAAGCATAGTCATAAAATTGAAAAATCTACCTATGATAATTTGACGAATGCGACCATTAATAATGAGAACACAGTTGTATCGTCAACTCATTTTGAAAGAAAATCGTCCTATCCATTAAATAAAAAAGCTAATCGGCATTTAACAAATGATTCTCTAACAAGTGACGCTTATGATAATTTTCCTGATAAAAATGGTTATGATAATTATCCTATTATTCGAAAAACCACAGCATCATCAACTATGACAACATCACAAAATGACGCAGACGGTATATTATCATTATTTTTGATCATATTGATAAAAGAAGAAGAAAAAACTCCTATTATTTATTTAGAACGACAATTGTCCTCATCAACACTTAGTACACCAAGAAATGAGTTTAATACAAAACGTTCACAAAGTATTAATTTGAAAACACCATTAACTTTAAAATCGACATCTACTGCAGTAACACCAGATGAAAATAAACGTTCCGGTAGTGCACATCATAGAACAACTAAATCTTCGACGACCACAGCAGCAACCCTCACTAAAGATCAACTTTCTAATCTACATGTTGCCAGTTGTATACCTTTAAATGAACATGTAAGTCGATATTAATTTATAGAAATATTAATTTAGGCATAGACTCAATCATAATTAAAATAAAACGATCAGTAAACTACTGTAAGATTCAATTTTTATATAATATTGTCCTTCGAAAATATGAGTTCACACATTTACATTTTATGGTTATTATAGCACGTACTATATTGTGTTTGTGTCTACAAAAAAAATATGTTGACCCTTCGGGAGTTTTAAATAGCCTTCGGAACGGAAATTGCTCTCTCAATAGTTTCTACTTGTTTGTATTTTTAACGTTCTTATTTAACAAGAGTATCCATCGGCATAATAACACATCTTGGTTTATATAATGAAAAATTTTTGCCTCCGTTTCTCAGTGACCTGTGGCGAGAAAACCTTGATACTGCATATTCACTAATTTTATGGGGATCTGGTTACAGCCAGAAGTAGTTGGTTAGAATTAGACTTTCTTACCACATATGAACTCAAATTTTGCTTCTAGGGTAAGATTGAACCCTTATCAAAGAGTTGCTTCTGCTAGATTCAAATAACGGCTTATAGACTCTTATGTAAAGCAATTTCAAATACTTACAAAATATTTTCAGACCAATCCATTTGATTGAAACCGAAAGAAAAATAAAAGTACTACGAATAAAACCCACTATTTACTTTTTCACGATAGATTTTGTTTTGAAATTCGCATACATCATTTTGCATATAAAATTCAGTACTAGGCAATCATTTTATCGTTAGCTGTTCAATCCTATGTGAGATGAAAATTTTTTGTTTTAATATATCGAAAAATTGTTCGTCTAACAGTGTACTGTTATTTGTTAGTAGCCGCAAGATAAGCAGATCTTTTTCTTGGAAGTTAATGCGCCATAATTTATGTGTATTTATTAGGATTTGATAGTATTGTTTTCTTTTCCTTTTGTATATATAAACTAAGAATAATATCATGTTACAACAGCTGCGCTAAGTGAAACATTCTATCAGTTGCCTAACTTATTTGTAACTATGATTTATATTTCTAGTTGTAAAACTATATGTTCTAACATTGAAATCAGTTTCTAATTAATTCTTATTACGACTCATAGAATTGATTTGTACTTTAGTCGATCTTTTTTTTTTCTACAATATGTTTTTTTAATTTTCAGCTCTTCAATCAAAATTCACAAACTCGCCAACAATCTCCAATACTTCGTCATATAAGTAGTCCATCGCTACAGAGTTCAACCGTTCTCAGTCATCAACAAGCTGTACATAATAATAATCATAATAACAACAATAATAATAATAATAATAATAATAATAATAATCATCATCATCATCATCCAACAGCAAATAATTCCATGGAATCATCAACTATTATGCCTTCGGACGGAACTTTTAATCGTTTATCATATGGACGTAATCGTGTTCGAAAGAAACAACCACGCACTAATCCAAACTATGTAAATATTGAAATCAAAAGTAATGATGGATCCCTTCGCAGTACATACATTCGTATACATGATGGACAAAAACCTAAAACATCAACATTGTCATCATCTTCATCTAGTAGTTCATCGTCATCAACAAAAAATCCATCTATTGAACAAGAATCAATTTCATCAAATTCACATTTTCATTCACAACCATACTTAAATGATGTACAAGAATATTTCACAAGTAACGATACAAATCATCATAGTATTGAACGAACGAAAATATCTCCTCAATGGTTAAAAAATAATGAAGAACGAAATGAAATGATTTTACAACAATACGAACAAACTGATAATAGTCAAGCAGATGACGCTCAAACATTAACTAATAAAACAGCTCTTATGATGAAACAATTTGTTGCATGTAATGATGGTGAGTAAAAGATTTTTGTATACATAAATAAGATAATCTATAGCTTAAATTATTATTTTTCTATTCTAGAATTTCTTTTTCATTCAACAACTGATCCAATAAATATAAATTTTAATCATGAAAATAGTAAATAACAATCGCTCTTGATTTATTTAATGAATAGGAAAAAAAAACGTTCTTTTTCGTGCTTTTATTCAAGGTAATAATGATCGTAGTGTTGTAACCGGATGTGGAACTAATTCAAATACATCTACACTTTCATCTCCTACGTTACCTATTTATTACGATGGGAATTCAAATTCACCTCCACTTTCAAATTCAATGACACCACATTGTATGTATTTTTTGTACTACTAAGATCATTCGAAATTGATACTTATATATATATGATTTGTAATATTTATTAGCAATGAATCGATCACATGAACCTGATTCATCAACATCAAGTTTAAATCGACCTGTTTCAATTCATTTACATAATTTTAATGATAATGGAAATCAAAATAATCAAACGTCTATTTACAAACAGGTAATTTATACAATAGAATATAAAAAAGAATTTCAAGTGCCCATAGACCGCGACTGACACGACCCAAGGCACGTCAGAGATGCTATTCAAAGGATAAGACAGAAATAAACTTGGAGGCGTCACCAACTGTGGCATAAATCAACTAGAGAATATCATCAGAGACTGCAATAGACATTGTTGATTCTAAATCGCGAGTCGTATACCACTGAAGTCTCTAATAACATGTGAGCTACTTATTTGTTACATCTCTACAGAATTATGTGAAAAAATGTGTCTAAAAATAGATAGAATAAAATAATCCTCCTGTGATTAAGAAAACCAGTTAGATTCTTTTTCATTTTTAATCTCAAAAGGATTGACTTTACATATTGTGTTCACTTTTCTTGATTAAATAAGAATTCTTAATTTTCTATTTCACAGTGGACATCATCATCGCCTACGAAAGCTCCAGCAGCAATCGTTGAAGTCGAATCAGATATTTTATTTAATGATATGTTAAATTTTAATACACATAAGCGTGGATTATTTGGAAAACGTCTAACACAAGATGATCTATTATCATGGTCAAAAGAGCCAATAACAAAACCTCTTTTACGTACCATGGATAAAGTTCTGAAAAAAGAAGCCCCTGAAATATTTAAACTTATACAAACATATATGGGAGATAAAAAATCGAAACAAATAGCATCATTAAATACGTGTTTAGAATTGACAACAAAAGGTTGGAGTTTACCAACAATACGAGATGAACTTTATTTACAATTAATTAAACAGACTAGTTATAATATTAATGCTGAAAGTTTACAACGTGGATGGGAATTAATGGGTAAAGAGAAATTTTATTGTAAAATTTTAATTCTATTATTTAATTATTTATTTATCTTCTAGCGGTGTGTCTTTCATTTTTTCCACCATCAAGCAAATTTCAATCATTACTTGAAAAATATATATCATTACAAACCAACGGTGAATCCGATACACCTGAAGTACCCATATCAATTTATGCTAATGTTTGTCTAAAACGTCTCGAAAAGATTCTGCAAACAGGTCCTAAAAAAGGATTAAAAAAACCAACATTTGAAGAAATTGAACTTTCAAAAGTAAATAATCATTTATTGAAGGATTATACTTAATCTCTATTGTCCTCGATATTAGTCCTATTTTAGGGTTATTTTTCATAGTATTCTACTTGAGATCACAGAAGTAATTGATGCCTATACTTAAACTAAAGAAGAAGCACCTCTACCTGCACCTCCTAAAATGATAAATTCCTTTTGTATTGAATCCATCTCCATCAAAACAACTTTGATGTTGTTATCTCATATCTTAGTGTAACGTACTTAATTGAAAATCAGTTTTACTAAAGATGACAATCATCATTGACATTAGAAAAAAACTATGTATGAATGAAATATGTTTGTAACAATACATGAATAGTTTTTATTCTGTATGTCGCAATTCCTTTGCCTCTAGATTATAAGCATAGTTATAGTTCAATAGTAATTAAACAATTGAAGGATTTTCGTTCTTAAATTTACTTTAATTTTTTAGCATACAATTCATTTTCCATCTATGTTCGGTGCAACACTTGAAGAAGTAATGGCTATGCAACGTACAAGATTTCCTGAACGACGTTTACCATGGATACAAACAATACTATCCGAAGAAGTATTGAGATTAAATGGTGCACAAATTGAAGGCATATTTCGGTAAATAATCTTTAAATTTTCATATCTCTGTACTTGTATATTATGATCGTTTAGAGTACCTGGAGATTTAGATGGAGTTAATGCATTAAAAGTAAAATGTGATCAATGGCAATTACCATCACTTGAAGATGCACATTTACCAGCATCTTTATTAAAACTTTGGTATCGTGAATTAGCCGAACCCTTAATACCATCAATATTCTATGAACAATGCATACTTAACTGTGATATACCAGACACATGCATTCGTATTGTTAATTCATTGCCCGATATCAATCGAGCTGTTCTAACGTATCTCATTCGTTTTCTTCAGGTTAGACTTCGTGAATTATCAGTTGTTATTTTGCTCATGCATATAAATTTTTCATTATTTATTCATTTTGTTTTAGGTATTTGGTGCAGCAGAAAATGTTGTTATTACAAAAATGGATGTAAATAATTTATCGATGGTGTTTGCACCTAATATTCTTCGATGTGATTCAGAAGATGCTAAAGTTATATTTGAAAATGCCAGAAAAGAAATGCTATTTATTAAAATACTTATATTGAACCTTGACACAAATTCAATCGAAGGTGTTATTTAACTTTTGGTTAGATTTTTTCCTATTCTTATCCTAGGCAAATTCTGTTTGTTTGTGTTTTGGAATCATCTATCTTTCTCTTTCTCGATATATATATACATATAAATGCTCATGCTCTTCCTGATCTCGTTTTTTTTTGGTTTATTTGTTTTTCCTTCTTTCTTTTACACCTGTGTTTATATATATATATATATATATATATATATATATATATGTTTGTCTTCGATTGACCAGTCTAGCATTTAAGACATTTTGTCGCTGGAATCTCGCACATATCTATACGCATATGCTTCTTGTTGTTTGTTGTTTCTCTCCCTCTCTATATCTTGTGCTCAGGAACTTGTGTGTGTTTGTAAACAGAACAGTTTTTACAAGCTTTATGCAAACAAATACTTAAAGAACTAACGGTAACATAATAAAATCCGACGCTAGTCATGGAATATTATTTGAAGTATATATCGGATTAAAATTATTTCGTGTTCATAGCCTTGTAAAAAGAAAATTGAAGATGTTTTGATAAATAAAAATAAGAAAAAAATAAAAAGATCCAATATTTATGAAACATGATGATAGAGGTACACAACATTTTTATTTGTAGATAGAATTATGAATAAGTTACAGATATACAACAAAAAAAGGGTAGATTTTATTTGACATCGAAGATTTAATTAGTAATGGAAACTAAAGATGCGTGTTTTCCCCCCTTTCCAAATAAAGAGATAATGCTTTTAGCTGAGACAAAGAACAGGAATACAAATGTGCTATGCCTCACTAGTTTAACTTACTAAAATATTGACTGAAGATGCTTGCATGCCAAACTGCGATCTCACTGAATTGATGTTAATCAAAAAAGTTATTTTAAGAATAAAGTGAAATTTTTTTCTAAATGGACTAAATACTTTGAAGATTCAAGTTAAATTCAACTACTTTCTCGAAATAAACTTTCAGTAATCTGGTAAAGTAGAAATGAATCGATGAGCACTCCTAGTTTGATTATGCTTTAACTGTTATTAAATGCATGCATGTCTAGATTAGTGTCTATTGCGACACAGTATATAATTGATTGGCCTACATTTAAATATCCAACTGTGCCATTAGCACATTGTTCAAGCCTTTTGTTAGAATTTTTGCTTGGCAAAAAATAACGCTAGGATGAGCAGTTTACTAGATAACTCTATCATGTTATGTATCTTGATTAGTTCGTGATTGAATTTTCCTATTTCTAGATAAAATCATGGCATCTACAATGAATAATGGTGAGCTAGTTAATAATTCATCTTTTGCTATTGATCAATCAACAATAACAAATGGAATTAAAATAACTGAATTTTCACGTCGTATAGGAGATCAACTAATTCTTTATCAAATTATTCGTTATCCAGATCGGTGCCTTTTTATCTGGATTGGAACATCATCCTGTGATATATCAAATTTAGCTATGACAATGCCTAGAATGACATCATCATCGTCATCGTCTTCATCAAATGAATTTCTAGGAACAACACTTTTTGGTGTCGACTTTTATGAGCAATCATTGTCATTAAGTAAAAAAGTTGCACGCCGTTTAGGTGGTCAAAAACAAATCTATATTAGTCTTAATCTATCGAACGATGCTGATAATGAAATGTTATTAGGTGAAATTGAACAAGCTCTTTTTGAGCATATACGTCAAAATGAACAAGATTATTGAAAAAAAAAAAATTTTTTTTTCTGTTTTTTTTATAGAAGAATCATAAACTCGACACAAAGATTGAAGTAACTCTTCATTCGTATCTGTGATCTATTTTATAAGTAATAAAATATGGAAAAAGAAAAAATATCTATTTCTTTTTGTTCATGTGATGACGTATAAAGTCAAGAAAAAGCGAGTTCTTTAACTACAAAAGAAGGAAAATAGACTAATACATGTTATCTTTTATATTGAAATTTTGAACAGCCTAATAAATCATAAATGTTGACGTGCTCAATTTATGAATAATTCTAATACTTATTTTCATGAATTATGTAAAAACAAATGTCTGAATGATCTATAGATTTCGTTCATGCCTATCATGTTTGTTATTTTTTCAAAACTGGATATGATGAATAACTCGAAAAATAGAAGAATCTATTCTTACACTTATGTTTATTTTCTCAGCTAATCAAGCAAAATATTCATGAAAAAAAATAAGCCTGTATAGCAAATTTGCTCGAATCCTATGTCATGATATCTATATATTACAATATTCTTTACGCTGATTGCATATTTTAATAATAGAAGACAAACAAATGTATTCAAAGCTGAACTCGACAATATCAAATAATATGATTCCTGTCGTACAATAAAAAAAAGTAGGTTCTTACAAAAATAGATTGAAATAAGTAAAGAATCTCAATTATGGCTTTAATCGAATCAATTAATATGTGTTTTATATCTCAAAGAACAAACCAAGAAGAAGTCTTAGTAATTCTTTGTATGATAAGAAAAATACACTGACATATAGAATTAAAATCAAGAAATCTTATTCTTCTGTTTTTTCGACCATCCCATGATGAGTTGCTTGTTATAGCGCATTATTCTCAAATATATTAATTTGTTTGAAAAGCTAAAGTGACCTTTAATCCTTTTTTCTTTATCCCTCATAAAGACATCATGTTCTTATTGGTTAACAACAAGTTGCTTTTTTTTTATTCCTTAAATAACAATTACTGCAGGAACATCACGCTGAGAATAGTAGTGGGGCTGTCTTTTCGATATTTATATATATATATATTTGCATTCCTTCTACTAGATAACCTTTTATCTAATAGAATAGTTATCATTTGTTTTCTTCAAATGGTTTCATATATTTTATATTTAAATTTAGTTTTTTGCGAAATCTAAGATACAAAAAGTGCTCATAGTCGAGCACACAAATTATTTAGTCCCAAGAGAAATGCATATGGCTGTAGTTTCTAATTAACTAACGTTGATTGAATCAGCTGCAAAAATAATACCAATATAAATATATTAGATAAATATTTGTTTGTAGGAACGAAGGATGCATCTTCATGTTTCACTCAATTGATAAATATATTAAGTGCTTGATTCCTAATCGATACTCTTTATTGTACTATTCATTTTTTCGTGATTAGCAATATCTATCTATCTAGTTAGTTACCTAACGAAAGAATCGATCTGACATTTATTAGATCGAGACATTCTTTTCTTTCATCATTAAATATATCATTATTCTATCTGTATCTTCATTGACACAAGATACCATAGATGTCAAATATGCGATGTATCAATATGTCTAATCATCTGTCAGTGATAATACAATGCTCATTAGCCTTCAATCAGATTTTCATCTGGATCTGATAATAAGAATTATTCAATCTAACTAACAATTTTCCTCAATGATCAATCAAAAGATTATTTAGCGCATTTATTAACATGATTTGTGATTTTTTTTCGTAGGTAGTTAATATTGTTCGATGTCTCATGTTTGTTATTCTTTGTTTTCTGAGTAGATTTATTATCTGTAAATAGTCCCTGGAGAGAATAGAATAAAATCTCCATACATTTGTGTCAAAATGGATTATTACTATCTGATTGATTGTTCAAATAGGTATTAAAGCTGAGAAAAAAACTCAAATGAGTTTGCACATAAGTCATTTGTTATTAGAACTAACCAAAGCCATCGTATCATATGAAATTGTATTCCTAACTTCTCATATAAATCTTTTTCTAAGTAGATTATTATTTATAATAGTGAAATCTAGTTATATCTTGTATTCGAAACTGATTTATTCATGTCAAAAGAAAAGACAAAAAAAAAGAAAAGATTGTGAGCAGAGAAGAAAAACACGACGCGAATATAATTATAGTAAATAAAGAATAGGTAGCAGCAAATAATAGAATAGCAAACAAAAAAGACTTTTTTGTATATTGAGATAACTAGATTATTATTTTGCACTCTTTTTCTCTTTCGTTTTAGAAGAATATACATACATAAATAACGATACATACAAAAAAAAACAGATCTGAAATTTTCTTTTTGTGTTTTTTGTAAAAGCAACCAAATAAATGAATTTGTTTTTTTCGTATACATTATGCGAGAAAAACGAAAAGTATAGTGAGTGAAACAGATCGACATAAGATCAATTGATACATACATCTGACAACATATACAAAACGATATTTAATGAGAACAGAGAGCGAAAGCGAGTGAAAGTGAGAGAGAGAGAGAGAGAAAGAGAGAGAGGGAGAGAGAGAGAGGGAGAGAGAGAGAGGGAGAGAGAGATAAGAATATGGAATAATACACTATTTGTAATTTCTTTTCTATTAATTTGGCAGAAATACAAATGTAATGCACTTGAACAAAATACTTCGGCTTTTGATTTTTCACTGTCTATCGGACCTTACACAAGGGAGGTCACAAGAAAGAGAAAGAGAGTCACTGGATTGTCTGATAAACACGAGTATTGAATAAAGGCAAAAAGAAAAAGAAAGAAAAAAAAAAGATATGTAAAAAGTCTTTGTTTTGTTCATACTTATATTTGAGCATGCTTGTCCTAATATAAACCACAGCCACGAAGATTTAATGTAATAATAACCTAATAATACAACACAAACAGAAACGACGAAATAGATCATTTTTTCTTTTTGATAAATAAGCTCTTTCTTACATCTGTAACAGCATCAAAGACAAATTGCACATTTTGTGTATCTGTCGCACATGTGTGATGACAATAAACTTCTTTCTGTGTTGATTTATTCTTAGCAACAAATTGTGCTTGAATATATTCTGCAGCTGGATCATATTCATTTGGTCCTGTGTATTCACGAAAACAGAGTGTTAATGGTGAACGTTTTATTTTTTCTTCGAATAAATCTTTTTTATTCAAAAATAATATTATGCCAGTATAAACAAACCTAAAAAAAAATTATTCAAGAAAAATTTGAAGAGCAACTAGCTGAAGAAAATTACAAACCATTTATTATTACAAATACTATCAAATAGACGTAATGATTCATGCATACGATTAGTCGACTCATCTTCATATAATACTTGATCATATTCTGAAAGTGCTACACAAAATATAATAGCAGTAACATCTTCAAAACAATGAATCCTATTTGAATAGTAAACAAAAAAAAAGAAAGATATATTGAATAAAATTTCATTTTAGAAATTAATCTAACAAACCATTTCTTTCTTTCAGATCGTTGTCCTCCGACATCAAATAATCGAAAGTTCAAATTTTTAAATGAAAAATTAATTTCAACAATCCCAGTTGTTTTAACACGCGTCCGTAATATATCTTGTTCATTAGGCAAGAAGTCTTGTGAACCAATACGATACAATTGATCGAGAAAATATTGTGCCGAATCATTTAATTGATATTCATTACTACGTAAAAAACATTGTTGAACACCAGTGTCGGCCCATAAACGTTCCATCGATGATAGTAATTCACTATTGAATGGTTCAGTATCTTTCATACGTTGTATGACTTCAAGCACACGTTGAGCATCAGCTTCTCTTTCAACTGATGCAAATTGTATATTGAGCATATTCATAGCGCGTATGATAGCGCCCAACGATTGAATAGTATTTGAATACACAACTGGACGATACTGTTCAAATTCTTCTTTTGTATAGCCATGTTGATGAATAATACGCATTTGTTTAACAATTGTTGATTTACCCGATTCACCAGCACCTAAATTTTTCAAAACAATAAAAGTTAATATTGAGAAATTCAAGGATCTCTTCTTTTTTGTTTGTTTAATCATACCAAGTAACAAAAGTTTAACATCTTTAGCAGCTCGTTCAGCATCTTCTTTTATTAATCGATCGAGTGCTTTGCTGTACTAAAAATTTCAAAAAAAAAAATTCTTTTTTTTTAAATAGAGAACATCGATCTATGGTGAAAGAAGCGTTATTTAGTAGTCTTTTTTTTTCAGAAAAATAATAAGATCAATTAAACCTTGTGTTATGTTAATCAAAGAAGTTAAAATCTATCTATCTTACTCATGAATAACTTCTGCAAGAATAAAAATGAAATATTTTTACATTAAATTTCATAGAAATAGACATACCTCTTTTTGTCGTTTTTCATCTTGACTTGTTGCACAACCCATTGTATTGCTGATAATCAAACTTTCTTTTTCTTTTAGCGAATTGTTTTTTTTACGTTTTAATACAAATAATCATTGGCACTTTTAGATGCAATACAATACACAAGTAGTAATCATGGAAAAAGAAGACGAAGAAAACAGAAATATTGCGACGCCATGTTTTTTTTCCATATCGGGAGAAAAAAAATATATATGATTCAACATACATCTAGTGACAATGAATAAATGCTTTGAAAAAATGCATCATAAGAAAGAGTCACTAGTTTTGTGCTGTTTAATAAGTTCTTATTCTTATTTGAGAATTTAATATTAGATTTTAATTAAAATTTATTCGTGATTACAAATTATTTTATTATTAGTAGTAAATTAGACCAATTGACTTTATTTCTAATTTTCATATTTTTTCCTGCGTTTTAGTGTTTTTTATCAAAAAGTCAATTGAATAAATTATCGGGCTAAATGAGTTTGCCAATAAGAAATCTGCTTGTGGCTATGGTCAAAGAACGACAGAAAACTAGAACAGATGACGGTAAATTGTACGAGAAAATCCTTGTTCTTCTAACAAAAGTTTTGTACTAGATGATGATGATGACAATGTACATATCCAACAATCGAATTCTCAATGGCCAAAATTATTCGAAATTTATTTTCTATCATCTAAATCACGTCTATCTCAAACAATAACAAATACAACTAGTGATGATGATCTTGTATTTTTTGTAACACGCCAAATGCAGAATGATTTTCATCATCCATTGGTATGTTGAATTTCGGTATCATGCCGAAAATTAAAATTTTGATTTATTTTTCTTTAGCATCTTGTAGAAGTTTTTCGTCATCACGATAGTAAACGTTTACCAACATTAGTAAATATCAGAAAAAAACATCTCATATCTAATAAATCAATAAATAATCAATGAATTTAGGGAGCACTAGAATATGATTGGGAAGAAACAACGAATCTAAATCTAGTCCTTCATCAATTTGAATATACTGTTACAACAGCTGTATGTACTAAAACAAGTAGTAGGCATCTACAAATTCTCAAACGTTTATCAACAGTAAGAGACAAGAATTTATTCGGGTCATTCCACCAGAAACCACCAGGTTCATCGGGCGACCAAGTCAGAATCCATTCAAAGTTACAGGATCTCTAGAGAATTTGTCGCTGTTAATTTGGGCAATAAACGTTTCCGAAATAAGCTCTATTTTCGCAAAGATGCAGGTAAAAAACACAAAAAGTACACTTTTCTTTTTTACAGTAAAAAAAACAGCATTTTTCTCGAAAAAGTGATGAAACCTCACTTTTTTCACTCAGGTTTTAAAAGCAACCATATATTCAGAATCCTTGTGAAAAACTGCACCAGAATCTGTAAGAATTAAAATAAATTTGAAGAGTTTTTATGGACTGCTAGGTCACTTTGTAATACACTAGTAGAAAACAGTGTTTGAAAAAATCAATGCGTGGTCAGAAGTAACCAGAATATTTGCACTAGCAGCTCGATAGAGTGGAACATGCTCTACAACATGTGGCAGTTCGTTTTCTTCGCGACTTCGATTTGAAGGTGTGGGAACTCCAAAACTATTTTCTATGACAATTTTCATGAATTTATTAGTCAAATCTAATTATTTTACTTTATTAAGTACATTCAAAGTCTATTCTGACGCATATAAATTTATTAATTGAATATTGTGTCTTGTTCGAGATATTTAGTTCGCAAATATTGAAAAAAGTTCACTTTTGTTGGAACGATTTTAGTGCAAAGGAAGTGTCGGACAAAAACGTTCTCTCTTAGCAAAATGATCATCTCATTGAATAGTATCTACTCAAAAGGCTTCATATGTCTATCCTTTAAAATGAACATATCCCAGGCATGAAGTTTTGCCTAGGAAATCACAAATTGTGTTCCCCATTTAAACCGCTCTGGATAATTTTCAAATTTTTTAAATACACACTTATGCTAGCAGGCACAAGCCCTACAAGCGCTGAAAGTTTGCTTCTAGTCTCATGAAGTCAATCTAGAGTCTGATACATTCTCATGAAGTCAACCTCATATTATTTGACCTGTATCTTTATGAAAATAAATTTGAACAGTAAATAATTTATTGCCAAAATACTCAGCAGAAATCCCTCTACAAGTTCTGAACGAGTCAAGAAATTTGAATGCAATTAATAAAGTAAAATAATTAGATTTGACTAATAAATTCATGAAAATTGTCATAGAAAACAGTTTTGGAGTTCCCACACCTTCAAATCGCAGTCGCGAAGAAAACGAACTGCCACATGTTGTAGAGCATGTTCCACTCTATCGAACTGCTAGTGCAAATATTCTGGTTACTTCTGACCACACATTGATTTTTTCAAACACTGTTTTCCACTAGTGCATTACAAAGTGACCTAGCAGTCCGTAAAAGCTCTTCAAAATTATTCTAACTCTTACGGATTCTGAATATGCGGTTGCTTTTAAAACCTGAGTGAAAAAAGTGAGGTTTCATCACTTTTTCGAGAAAAATGCTTTTTTCATTTACTGTAAAAAAGAAAAGTGTACTTTTTGTGTTTTTTACCTGCATCTTCGCGAAAATAGAGCTTATTTCGGAAAAGTTTATTACCCAAATTAACAGCGACAAATTCTCTGGAAATCCTGTAACTTTGAATGGATTCTGGCTTGGTCGCCCGATGAACCTGGTGGTTTCTGGTGGAAGGATCCATTTTTCAAGTTAAAAATAAATTATTACGTTATGTTTTTTAATTTAATTTTAGAAAGTGTATGCTAGTCCATCACGACGGGATATGGAGAGTAAAGGAACAGAAGAAAAAATAACTTATCCAAATATTTATTTTACCGTTGATAATTTCGAAGATGTAAGCTAAATGAATATAAATTAAATGAATCTTTTTTTTCATAATTTTTCAATTTAGACTTTTTGTGAAATGATTGTGAATGAAGGCCAGATGGTATGCGTGGAATTAGTTGCAAGGAATCCACATTTAAACGAACAAAGAGTATTATTTCTTGGTTCGATTAAATATGAATCATTGAGAAAAGTCTATGAAACTCGAGTAAGAAATAGTGTAAATATAGACTATATATATATATATATATCATCTTAGGCAACAACAAGTACTCGAGTAGCTCAACGTATGTCATTAGGAATCTATTCAAAACGACGAGTGGAATTTGTTCGAATGCGTGGACCCAATGTATGTCTGTTGTTGGTTTTCTTCATCTTCAGTAAAACATACGTCGATAATAGCAAAAAATATTATTTTATATCAATTAGTGATAGTAAATGTTTCGATTTCGAGATTTAAAGATTTCAAAATGATTGCTGTAGAAGTTAACATGAACATCCCATATGTAGACTATGAATGCTATATCTAGGCTTTCATTAATATTTTAACATGTTGAATACCAACAGAAATGATAGTTCTACAAGTCAGGAAAGAAACTATATAATTTTTTTTATATCTCTGTGGAAAAGGATGGTAAGAAAAAGCATTTTGTTTTCCTTGTATTTTTGTAATCAATTGTAAAACTTGTTATTAAATAACTAATAGTGTAAACTAAAAATAGATTTATTAATTTTAAGAAAAGCCATACTCTATGTAGTTTGTAAAGAGAAGAATTGAAAGCGTTTCACCTAACTATATCTGTGAAGAACATATAAATTGTGACAAAATGACGTTCGACGCACGTTTTAAATGCCGATAGAATTTATGAATCGCAGTGGAAAAGGAAGTGTCTTGTTTTAACCGCAAGACTATCTTACTCATATCTATTCTATATTTATTAGCGTAATATATTTAATGATTCTGCTGACTTTTTGTTCATGGAAACAAAAAATATATCGTTTAATTCATTCTATGATTATGCAAGAGAATGTAGAATGAATGATCTAAAATAGCGAGCTAGGATATTCAAGACGAGATCATAGTTTTTGCAATTTTATCTTGCAATATGAAGATTATTATCTTTGATAATAATCCATCAAACGGCATGCAATTAAATATAGTAAAGAACCTTAACGTGTACAATCAAAAATTTCCATTTAAATACAAGAAATGAGTCGTTAGCTTGTTGTTATGAATTCAATAAAATAATTTAACTAATAATCAAGTAATTAATTACAATAATCAAAAGAAAATATTTCAAGAAAGAGACACTGTGCGTTTTGTATAATTATATGTAAAATATTTCAGTCATGACTAATTATCCTATTTAATAACTATCATTCGAAGTAATTTATGAGAGTTGATTATCGTAAATATCAATTAACAAAATTTTGTCTAATGTTTCCGTGAAATAAATATTTGTTGTTTATTTGTTTTTCAGGGTAAAGGTCATGCCGAAATGGCTGTAAGTCGATGTCGACAAATTCAATCAGGTATTACAACACCCGAATCGATTCCTACGACGCCAATGTCAAGTAGTTTTGATGAAGAAAGCGTATGTTGAAAATTCTTTATCTATGTCAGAAAAAGAAAAGAAACTGGAGTTCATCGTTTCTGTAGTGGAATCAACGTCGTGCTCTCGATAATATTTCAATTGGCCGATGGATACCACCAACCACACGACAACAACAATTAATATCGAATGTTACAACGCCTGAAGTTGAATCAACCGATATTCGGCAAGGTTTGTACTTCGTGCTTTTAAAACTATATAAACGAAATAAGCATCTATTTATATTGTTACTATTTTTAGAATTAGCTGATGAAACTGGTGGCTTTCTTGGTCGTACTCTTAGTCAAGCTATGAATTGGATGCGTGGTTCAACATCACGTTTGAATCAACCCATGCAAACCCTTCCACTACAAACATGCCTGACATACTTAACATTGCCATGCCAGTTTATTGTGAAAGATATACTTGAATCAAATCAAATGCCAATTCTTACATTTTAATAATCAATGAATTGAATGGAATTCAAATTAAATAAATAATTATCAATGTGAACATGCAGTCTTTATTTTTTATTCATTTATTTTCATGTTCAATTCCTTATCTTTGTTTTTTGTTGTGTACTTTCGGTGTTAGATATACGTGCAATAGTTATATTTATTTATTCAGTCATATATTTTGTTTTTTATTTATCAAAAAGAATCGGCAGTGGTTATACATATATGTTTATATACTATCTTATTATTAATTTTTTCATTATATTTTGTCTTTTTATTAATATTGAGGCAATACTTAGATATGTCCGTGTTGAACTTCCTTAATCGTCCATTAAAAGTATTGATTGACTCAAGACTATTTATTTGTCGGTATCAATCACAAAGACTATTAGATTTATTAAATAAAAAGGCTGCCATTGAAAATGAATATAATGATGAATTAGAAACATTGCCATTAGGAAATACAATTGAATGGAATAAAAAACTAAAATCCTATCGTATGCGAAATCAAGAAAAGAACGCATTAAAACTGTTCGAAGTCGGCATACGAAAGCATCAATTTCAACCAGATTATATAACATATATAAGTATGCTTGAAATATGTAAAGATATCAAAGATGTTGATAGTGGACAATATATACATCGAATTATTAATAAATCATCCGTTCGCGACAACAGTCGTTTGCAACTTGTTTTAATGGTATGATTATTTATTAACTATTTCGTTTCAAAAATAGAAAAGAAAACAAATTCTCTTATTCTTCTTCTTCTTCATCATTAAGGAAATGTATATGAAATGTGGAGATGTAGATGGTGCTCGAGAAATGTTTGATTCATTAAAGCATCGAACAGTTGTGGAATATAATGCAGTAATGACGTAAGTTCTTCAAAATGTGACGAAAAATGAAGAAATTTTTATTATGAGAAAATTCTAAAATATTTTTGAATTGTACTTTCTACCTAGAGCTTACAATACTCATCAAAATCCTCAAGGTGCGATAGATCTCTTCTATGAAATGCAACAAACAGACAAAACGAAACCTAATAATGTATCGTTTATGTTATTTTTTCAAGCATGTATTAAACTGCAATTATTTGAAAAAGGCAAAGCATTACATGAAGAACTTAAACAGAAAACATCAAATTACATCAAAAATAAGGTTAGACATTGATTCTATTTTGACAGGTTTTGCCTACCATGAAAATTATATGTGAATTTCGATTGCATTTGTACGTGGAAATAAAAAAAGAAAATTTGCTTCTATTATTAGCAACAAAATTCCAGTATACGAATCTTTTTCTAAATATAATTATCAATAGTAACATATTGTCAATTGTTATCAGATGAACAAGAGACAATATTAATTATAATCAATTCTCATCCAATATAGAACAACGACAATTGACAGGCGTCTCAAATACTACAGAAGTATCTCTATAATTGACAAACGTAACTGTTACGGTTTAAAGAAAATTAAATTTTCTTTTTTTTATTATTATAGAACTTCAGTAAAGATAAGTAACATAACTGTCAACTCTCGATTAGATCTCACGAAAGAAATTTTCTAAATAATATTTTCATCAATTAAAACAAAAAAACTTTCGAATTTCAAAAATATAGTTCTTTTTCCATTGTCATAACAACTATTCATGATATGAGCTTTCGTTAAGAACATGAATTAGCTAAGAAAACAAAAATTTTAGTATTGATGTCAATGCAAAAAATGGAATTTATTTTAGGAATTATCGAATCAAATCGTAGCCATGTATATTGCATCTGGTGACTATAGCATAGCTGAAGAATATTTTAATCAAATTAAAGAGCCAAGTGTAGCAAACTATGTTGGACTTATGAAGTATTATAATCAGCTAAAAAATTGGGAGCAGACAATACAATTATATGATAAAATGAAATTACAACGTAGAAGTCAACCAGACGTGTCAATATATTTAACTGTTCTAACAGCTATAAAAGAAATGAAGAATATTGAAGCAGCCAAACAAGTTGAACAAGATTTAATAAAACAAAATCTCTGGCAAAATCATGCTGAAATACAAAATATATTAGGAGAAATCCTACGAAATATTTAATAAATAGTAAACTAAACTTTTGTTATTTGTTTTCAAAATAAAAATAAAAATAAATCAATGAATTGTTCTTCCTCAGAACAGACGCTGAATATTTCTTTGGTTTTCAGATAATGAATTCGAAAAATATAAGTAATGACCAACGATATTTTGAATCGTATGATCAAGTTCAAGTTCATGAATTGATGTTACGTGATCGTCCACGTGTTAGTGCTTATCATGACGCCATTATGAATAATAAACATCTATTTGAAAATAAGGTGATTTACTAATATAACGAGCATATATTCGATAAATAGATTCTTATAATTAGGTTGTACTTGATGTTGGATCTGGAACAGGCATATTGAGTATGTTTGCTGCTAAAGCCGGTGCTAAACTTGTCTATGCTGTTGATGCCTGTCCAACGATATGTAATTTAGCAGCGCAAATAATTAAATGCAATGATTTACAGGATCGTGTTCAAATTATCAATAAACGTGTTGAAGAAATCGACAAGTTTGATGAAAAAATTGATATTATTATCAGTGAATGGATGGGTATGATACAATGAGTATGAAAGATAAGAAATTCGTCTATTAGTTACTTGATTGTAATCGATGAAAAACAAAATTCCTCGTTTTAATTTTTGGATCTTAGCCTTTTTTCTCTAGAGGATGCTCCTCGTTTATTATGAAATTCTATGTACAGGAATTCAGTTTTGAAATATGATGTTTGTGTCAAAATCATAAATAGTTGACTGTAACTAATATAACAAATATTTTTTGATTTCAATGCAATTTAATATCGAAAACTCAGCTAAAATATAACATCTTGACATATTCCATTTTCTTGTATATATTATTTTGCGGTCATATTTTCAATACTTTGTTAATGTAATTTACGTATGTAATTGATAGTCAAAATTGCGGTACTGAATTGTTGATACTAATCTAGGCCAAGTCAAATAAGAGTTTAAGTTCATCTGTGTACAAGATAAACCAACATTTTCCGCTCGATAAAATTTTGATTTCTGTTTCATTTTTATTATCGCCGATGCTTTCTATTCTATATCAATAGTATTCTTTAGCTTTCATTAGCTATAATCAATAGATTAAGTTTTATCCTATAGTTAAATTTCTTTTTGGCTGATAGAAAAAATTAAAAAAAATTTTAATGTTTCTTGTACTCAAAACTTTTGTATTTTAGGTTTTTATCTTTTTCACGAAAGTATGCTTGAATCCGTAATATATGCTCGTGATCATTTTCTTCGTTCATCAGTACAAAACGATGATAATACATCTGAACAAAATGAGTCAATTGTTATTTTTCCTTCGCACGCATATTTAGTTAGTTAATCATTTGTTTTTGTTTTTACATTGATTTGTATGTTTACTATAAATATTTCAATTTAGTATTGTGCTCCATTTATGGATCAAAATATACGCATTGAATTAAATACAATGTGGAATGATTATTTCAATCTTAATCTCTCGCCTATCCGTCAACATATAAAAAATTCTGATCTTAGCGAATGTGTTATTGAAACAATCGAACCATCTCAACTTGTTCATGATGCTCAATTAATTCAATCGATTGATCTTCGTACCGTACGAATCGATGAACTCCATTCAATGCGTTCATTCTGCGAATTTACTATGGATAATACATGCATTATATCGGGATTTTGTTTTTGGTTTGATTGTTATTTTTCTACAAATGATAATTCATCAATTTTACGTTCCACACGTTTAACAACAAATCCATCGTCACCAAAAACCCATTGGAAACAAACACTTGTTTTCTTACCGGAAGATATTTATCCATTAAAAAATGATATTGTACCAGTGAATATTAAATTAAAACAATCAGCTACAAATCGAAGACAATACGATTTAACCATATCTATTAAAAAAATCAAAGAAAATTTAAATAATAATGACGAAAAAATTCTAGTAGAAAATTTAAATAATAAAAGACAACGTAGACGCTCATCAACAATGTCAACAGATAAACATATCACATCAGAAAGTCAAACTATGGATGAAACAAGCGATAGTTCATCAAGTGAAAGTGATAATGATAGTAGTGCATCAGAGGAACATCCAATACCATGTTCATGTGATCGTGAAAGATGCAAATTAATTAAGATAATTATTGAAAAATATGATGAAGAAAATACCATCGAATAAAATACTCATTGTTTATTTTTGTCGATAGATGACAATTAAACTCATACATGTTTTTGTATTTAAATAAAACACATGTGCATGCTTGTTTAGTCAATAGATAGACCTGAATGCCTAATAAAAAACAATGCTGTCTTTTGTTTTTGTCATTTTTTTCTAGTCTAGATATATATATATATATGGATAACCATCCGAAACGATCACGACATCCTAAATTTCCTAAATCAAGTCGAAAATCTCATCCTATTTCTCTTCGTCCAATTATATCGGGTGAAATATCTTCTCAATTTCAACATTCAGAAACTGGAAATATACGTCGAGCCAGCAGTGCCAATTCCGATCGATTAAATGACATCATTGATGATATAACATCTGAAGGTGATGATTCACGAACTGGATCATTATCAAAAGCTGCAACAAAATCAACATCTAAGTTAGTTGAACCGTCTTCACCCACGATGAATGAGAATCGCGAATCACTTTTCACATTACCTTCTGCATCAAATTCTTATCGAGGTCAAGCATCGTCAACACAAAAATCAGATCGAAGAAAAAAAAGCACAGGAAAAGATAGAAAATCAAATCAATATACAGACCGAAAAGGTTTTTCCCCAACACGTACAAGTAATAATGATGATAGACCCGACCCAATAAGTCGACGAAGATCAATGGGAGAATTACGTCGACATCAATTAACTGAATGCATGGAGTATTATCGACATTGTCTTGAATCAGCTCAAAATTCAAATCCAATTAGTATAAATGATGATCCCACCAATAATGAAAAACGAAAACAATATGCAAGAGCGCTGTGGTAAGATATGATTTCCTTAGTTTCCGTACAAGTTTTCTGTTCTAACTAACAAAATGAATCTAGCTGCTGAAGACTCATAATTGTACTAGGCACAAAAAAAAGTATTGTGAGACTGCGTGTGATTGAATTAAATATTCGACATCACAGGAAGAAAAATCTGATTCTTACGAGTACGAGTCTGTCCAATCATATAATAATATTCAATAAATGATTAGTTCACTTTTTGAAATAAGAAACAAACTCTATCTAATCTTGAGAGTAATCAAATATTATCTACCATGTAGGTACGAACTAAAAAGATTTTTTAATGGAAACAATACATCAGACGAAAATGGTATTGAATTGGAAAAACGATCGATTGAACATCAACGAAAACGGTATCTCGATGAATTTTATTCTGAATTTACTAGTTGTGACTTTGAAAAATCCCATCATTTTCATGATCATTCACCTATTCAACGGCGAAATTTAAATGAATATCATTTAAGTCATTGTCATGGAGTTGATAAAGATATGGAGCTCTTATTTGTGAAATGGGATCAAATATTATCTTTATTTCCTTCTTTTGCTGCACTCGAACAATATGATAAACGTTTTGATTCACGTACAAAAGAAGGAGGAATGTTTTATGAAAAATTAACCGTTTATCAAGCTTGGTTTAATTTAAATTCCGAAATAAATCGTTTGATTCTTGTTCTTGGTCGCATCATGGCATGTACACAATGTCAAATGTGGCCTATTGTATCTTGTTCGTCGGCGCCAAAGCTTAATGATAATGCAACAGTAAATGCATCTCGTCCACCAACACCTTCATCCACATCTAGTGGTGAACAAAAAGATGTTTTTGGTGCATCTCCATCGAATTCAACGTTTTTCTTAACTAACCAAACACCATTAAAACAGCAATGTTCAAATCTATCCAATTCTTCACGCATATCTGCATCATCATCGTTTTCGACAACACCTGACGCAACGACTAGACGACATCATACAATAGCTTCAGTACCTAGTATGGATAACATTTATCAATTGTTAACATCAACATCGCCATTAACAGAATATTATTACAGGTAAGGATTGATTTAGAATACAGATTTTGTCTATGTGTTCGTATTGAGATGGTAGAAAAGTAATGAAATGATATCAAGTCGTTCTGGTATTAGAGTTCGAATAATTTCTATCGCATTTACAGGTTATATTAGAAGAGATATTCTTCTACCTACGGACTATCTATCAGAATTCAGTAGTCAGAACCATTAAGCATTGTTCGAACTTTGAAATATTAATTTTGATTAGATCTTAATGATTGACTGTTTGAATTAATAGAAATTCAGATATAGAGTAGATTTATAAGGTTATTCAATTCTTTTTTGTTTGAGACAAGTGAAGCAGTCGAAATCTTCAAGCTGTTGACAGGGTAAATTCTTGACAACAATTATTTGCGTTAAGAGAATTGCGAAATTACTTAATAAAAAAATAAAATCAACGATTCAGGTAGGGATACAACGATGAGACGAATAGTAAAGCCGATAAGAATATCTATGATGAGAATCGGTGGATTCAAAATGTTCCGTTTGTCTTTGATAGAAAAGCATTTGAACAATAATAAAAACTCGATTATCACTGTAGATTTCTGACTCATTTACTGAGTTCAACAATTGTAACGAAGACGCTTGAAAGTATGTTCCTAGGTGTGAGACCGAATCTTTAGCATTTACCTTTGTTTTTGGGTCAAGACCATGCTTTATGTCCAAAGAAAATCTCAAATATATTGTAGAATTGTTGCACGTCTAGACAAATGTTAGTTGATTCATTTGAAAGGTGTCTAAAGAAATTCTTCAATGCCTGCCCGATTGATGTTGTCTATGAAACAATATACACATAGATTTTTAGATATATTGATGATCAATTAACACATGCTCGACTTGAATTAATAGCAAGTATATTTCGTTCAAAACATGGCCCATTATTACAACGATTACGTTATATATTTCGAAAAGAACAAACAACCAGCGGAAATCCGGTATCAACAACGTTTGATGCCATATTTAAAAATCATCCATTACTGCCAGCTAATAGTGTTCCGAACGATTATTTAATTGATGTTGGACCTGATAAATTGATTGATGAATTTTTAATTCTAAACAAACAAATACAAGAACTAAAAAATCCAAATCTTAGTAAATAATTTTTATCTGTTTATCCATAAATGCATATAATTTGTTTTTATTAATATTTTCATTAGCAAATAAAAAGAAACAACAGGGTAGAGCAACAAGTTCTGACCTCTCAATAAATATTCTTAATCGTTTTGATCTAAATCCAACATTAACATCAAGTACATTCCCACCGGCATCAGCACCAACATTAGTTTTAAAAATTTCCTGTCAAGATCGAAGTGTAATTAAGCGTCAATCTTATTTTCTTGATTATCTCGATCCAACATCATTTCCACATTTACCTGGCTCAACCTTATTTCCTGATCCATGTACATTTCTAGATAATTTACCATTCAATTCGTTGTCACAATTACCAAACGAAGAAAATGTGTTAATTGCAAAAATGTTAACTATATGCTATCGTCTTTATGATAAACATGTTTGGACTGAGAGTGGAAAATTTTCTGATATGTTTGAATTATTCCATTTACCATCACTTTATCCGCAGTATGTTTTTCTTGTTCAAATTCCATTAGATATAATGCTTGCTTGGCAAAAATATCATCAAGATAGAAAAATGGAACAGACATCAACAACAGGTATAATGATTGAAAACTTCGAGAAATTTAAATCAATAATAGAATTATTATTTTCAGTTGTATTTTTATTTTATGCAACAAAGATCTTATTATTAGGGAGATTATTTTTTAAAACCTTAGATGACTTTCTCGAATCCGAAATTCGTTTATTGTTTTAAGACGTGGTACATAACCAAAGAATTGAGGTTTTCTACGTAAAGTTGGAGACTAAAGTAAGAAAATGAGAGATACAATCATGATTCCTTTGTAGAACAGTCGAATTTGTTTAAAATTGAACTATGCTTAAGATCGTAATCAATACTGTCCATGTATTTGACACGATTGGTCTCAGTAATAACGGTGAAATAACGATCGACGAACAGTTAATTGTCATAAATGTCGAAACACTATAGTGTAATAACCAATAGACCGACACTTTCGCTTTTTCAAATAGTGAATACCAGAAGTGCAGTGCAAATTATGCTGAGAATTTTGTTTTGATTTGTAGGATGAGTTCTTTTCTATAACTCTTGTTGAATCATTTACTCTTTTGTGCAAAGAAAGTTTTTTTTAATTTTAGTAGGTGCTCTACTTCTATTAATTGATGAATGTAAAATATTAATTCATAGCGCAACATTAATTCGTCATTATGTTAAAATAATGATTAGTGACATTTTCGGTAAGTTTTCTATTTATATTATAATAGAAGAAAAAAATAGTAAACTCCTACTTTTCTAGAAACATCTGAATTAAAATTAGTTGAAGATGAACTAACACAATTCGATAAAAATATAACTGACACATTCTATGAAATTATTGGTTATATTGAGCGTTATATTGAACTTTCTTTACGTTCCAATTTATTTCATAATTGTATTATTTTACTAAAAGAACAATGGAAATCATTGAAAAGTTACGCTACTATGATGAACATTGAAGAAGATTTTGGTGATAAATTTCTACACATGTATTCAAGTGTAATCAAACATTTTCATGATTATATCGATGTATTTCATTCGACAACGACAACAACAATAACAACAGATGCAACTAAAGTTGAACATATTAGAAAGAAAATGCATAGGAAATTTCAAAAAAAATTAACAATTGATATTCTACGTGAAGCTAAAGCTATTTATGATGATTGCTCATTAGCCATTAATATTTATTTACAAAAGCCTGTGTGCCGAAGATTTTTGCTTATTCTTAAAACAGCTCGATTTGAAAGAATTAAATTAGGTAAGAAGATTTAAAAACACGTTTTTTTACAAACTAACATAAGTTAACATATGTTTTAAAAGTAGTTTTCATTCTCCACATGACATGGCATTGCCACTTTTTTCACATGCTTTTTTAAGTAATGGCATACTTCAATATTATTAAAAAAAAGACTAATTATGCATGGATAGACGCAAATACGGATGTGAGTGTGCGTCTTCTCTTTACTCACACTTAGTGGGTGTTTATCATGAGTGCTGCATTCGCATTACTAAAGTTTGCATGTCTCTGGTAACGATGCATTAGAAATATAAAAGATTATATAGCGCGTCTCTGTTATCTCAGCATGACGTGTTCATCTAATGGAGAACGTTGTGCTTGTTGTTTCCTTCATTTCTAATCTATAACGTAGACGAGAAATTTTTCGTAAGTTCCGGCTGTCTAAATGAATGTCAATATGTGATATGAGACAAAGCAAAAAAGAATAGGTTAGACACATTTGATACTGAATAGATAAACTTTTTACATGATCAAAGATTAGCAATACAACAGATTTATGAAGGATCTTGCATTCGTTAAGTTCAAATCTGAAATTTCATGAATAATAAAACTTTTTATTCGATTGATATTATGCAAGAGACAACGTTATTTTGAGTTTTGATATACGGAAAGATAAATCTTCGATTTTTTACAAATTTTTAAGACGAGAAAATAAAAATAATCGTTAAGCCAGTACTCATAAATAGATGTTGACTTTTGCACAATAGCCTTCATTTATTTAGTTGTGAACTTCAATTGAATTTACTTTGACATTTTTCTATACAACTGTTAGTTTTGTATGATTGAATTTTGTCAAGTATTAATAATACGCTTCCAGCAGCTCGTATTGAAAAATAGAATGATGGTACTTGTAGAAGTAGTAAACAACATACTTGTGTTTTCTTCAAAAAGAGCTTGCTTCATTGACTCATACAGTTGGAGCAAGCAGTGCAATCGACACAACTGACTAAATTTTATCAAATGAGATATTTAGGTGTTTGATAAAAATCCTGTTCGGTCTTATCTTTAGAGAAATTATGAAAGAAGAAAAGGAGAGAGAGAGTTGTTCGATTTTCTATTCAATATTAGCATATATTGAAAAAGACATTCACTAAAATATAATAACTACTTTTCGACCGAAGAAATTGCTCATGATGGTTAAAAATACATCAACGCAACAGAAACGCTGAGTACTAATCTACCAAGAGACCAATAGTACAGTATTAGTTCATATACTCTCTACGTGAATACTTTCTCAACTGCGCATATGTATCAATACCAAGCACCGGTTTCGTTTTAATTCGAGTAGAATTTCTTTTTTAGGTTTTGGTAACTTAAAATCGTATGTTTTTTGAAAAACTGAATAGATAATATTGTTTCAAAGAATCTAATGAAATTATGACAATAAAATAGTGCCATTGGTCTACAGATAATATTGATGAATACACGAGGAGCGGGTATGACTGTATAAACGTCACTGATGTTATCTTAGTGTCTGTTTGTTTCTTTTTCCAGCTTCCCTCTCTTTTTCTCTTGTTAGTTTTTGCGCCTAATATTGTTATTTCATTGTTCTTCTCTTTTCCCCTCAAGCTTCTTCGTATATCTATCTTCACTGAGATATACCTATACTCATTCTTTCAATACCTTTCGCTCATCATTCGAGCGTATCTTCTCTGACTACTATTCTTCTTCTCTATCAAAAAGAATCATCTTTTTGATTAATTACATATTACATTTTTTTCTTTCAACTTGATTGTTCATTACAATCAATCTAATTCGATTGACTCTTACAATCGTTCGAACTCGTGTCAACTACTTGCTTGTGGAGTTCTTCTTATTCACAATTATTTCTGTTCATTGAATAAACAATTGAATCTTCATCCAATATTCAATACTATTTAATTTTTATTGCTGTCATTCTGCCATAACCAATACTGTGGCACCTGACATTTTTATTAGTTGCGTCTCTGCTCCTCATCAAGGCGTTACAGCGAGGGGCAATGTCAGTGATAATTGCCTCAAATGCCTATAGACTGAGGTATGTTCAGATTTCCGAAAAAAGAAATTACAGAAATTTCCGAAGCTTCCATCAACTCGATTACTACATAGCAAAGCAAATGAAAATTTTTTGAAAATATTTGAAAGTTTAGAAATTTCAGAATCTTCTGTAATTTCGGAAATTTCGCTTGGTACAGAATTTTGGAAATTTCAGAAATTTCGGAAATTGTATAATTTTGGGAAATACCAAACAATTTAGAACACAAGTACTTGAAATTTCCAAAACTTCCGAAATTTCCTTTTTTGGAAGTCTGAACACTGCTGTATAGACTAGAAACTGTTAATTATATACCGAAAAGTGTTCACGTCAAGACTACTAGCTATACAAACAAATTCGTAATTGTCAGTGTACTACGTACAAATATCTAAACATTTTCAGCAAAATACATTTCTTGTTCATCGTAAGATTAGTGCAAAAATATCTCTTCCATCATTACTTTAACTCGACGATGTCAAAATTTAATTTTACTTATAGATCCTCATTCTCACCATCAGCATCATCGTCAAACCACTAAACATGACAAAGAAACATTACCGACGTCACAATGTCTTCTATTTGCTCCGGCTGAATATTTTGAAGATAATGCAACAAAACTTCAATTAATTCGTACATTATCATCATCTTTTCATATAAATACGAATAATCATATAGCTAGTGAACCAAGTGATGAACAATCATCACAAATACTAACTCAGCAACAATCACCAACATCATCGCAACAGCCATCGAATTCGATAGGTACTATATCTCCTCCATTAGTCTATGTGCTTTGTGTTCCAATATCCAATGAGCTTGAGTCCGAATGGCGTGGAGTAACGCATACAATATCAACAAATAAAAATTTACCATCAATTTTACCATTAAATACCAATTGGAAAACAACAACAATATTTCTCTTGACACAACAAACAAATAATATGGAGAAATTTGAAGAATCCTTTAGAGAACGTTTGTCAAAAACCAATGTTCAACAAAATGATCTATATAATTTTAATACAAAAACAGGACAAAACTTACAAAAACGTTCATGTTTTGAAAAAGTTGATCGTTCGATGAGTGATTTAGCACATGCAATATTAAGTTTAAGCAATTCTGTTGCCAGTAATGTTGAACAGTTTGAAAATATTATTGAAGCAATTGATAATCAAAATTTGTCCGGAGGTGATATTGAACAATCGAAAAAGATTGATACACGAAATTATGTTGTAAGTTCTTTTGAAAAATATTATGATAAACTTGAATAGAACTTATTGTCTCTGATTATGTTATAATCGAAAGATAAAGGAAAAGTTTGTATTTACGAGTTTAACTACTTAGAACTGCGCTTTTATTGAATTGAAAGCAACTGACATGTATAACATTGTTATGAATCCTCTGTTAAAAATGTTGACATAATATTTATGCATAAAACTGCCTGTCATCTGAAGAGTGATGATTTCAGCTTATATTTAGCTGTGTACGATTGTACTCTATCTCTATGTATCAAACAAACACCAATGTGTTATTAAAAATCTTTGGAGAGAAAGTTTCTCCTAAGTGTTTTGTGGAAAGTTATGACACTTTCAGTAAAAAGTTGAACGAAAAACTGGTACCTAAAAACAAATTATACGACGATATTTCATACATAGATCAGCTCCTTCTAGTTAAGAATGGCTCTGCTTACAAGTAAAATCTAGGTAAAATCTCAAGTCAAAATATTCTCGTTCGATTCTTTCACATATGTCATGTTATAATGCTACGGGGTCTGAAAACTACTCTAATTTTGTATGGAAATCGCAGGAGATTTTATCCTTTTTGCCCGTTTCTTTTGTAGTACGTTGGAATTTATAGAAGTGACAGATTTCGAGCCCAGATATAGTTATTAAGTTGGTGAGATAATTTTGAAAGTTGTCGAATTGCTATCGTCTATTGAAAAATTTTCGAATGATATCCTGACTAATACAACAAGGGGAAATACTTAAATAACGAAGTCGTTTGAAAAGAATAATTGAAACATTCTTCTTTTGGTTAAATAGCTTCGTCGTAAATTTCCATTCATCAATTGGTGCATCTATTTAAATATAGTTCCGTATACTGAAAGTAGGGTAATGCGCTGGATAAGAATTCTGAATTTTTTGCTAGGAAAACTCGAAAATTTTTCAAGATTGGAGGGCGTCGCGCGCGGGGGGGGGGGGGGGGGGGGGGGGGGGGGGGGGGGGGGGGGGGGGGGGGGGGGGGGGGGGGGGGGGGGGGGGGGGGGNAATTTGATCCCGGGCGGCCGCCCCCCCCCCCCCCCCCCCCCCCACTTGGAATACCCGTGTCAGGGATTTCTAGTAACCAACGATCAGGCTTGTTCAATCGAAGCCATTGGGTTTTTGCTCAATTCAAGATTTGGTATAGAAATAAGACTCCGATAAATTCTGACAGAAGCCGTTTTGAAAAAATATCTAACCCCGAGTTTTCATGAATGATTCACAGAGTTCTGAAACTATGCATTTCGACCAAGAGCAATCTCGAAAGGGCTGTATCTAAATAATGGTTCGCCCCAGTGGATTGAGATTTATGAAAGACATACGTCTCGATAAGTTCAGTTTTGAATGAAATTGTCAATTCAAATCGTTCAGACCTTAACTTTTTATAATTCATCAAATAATGAAAACTAGATGGTATTCAAGTTTCAATCGAATACGAAATGCGATGCGAAGCAGGAATTTAGATCCACGAAAAATCTTCAATTCAGAAAAATCTTGAATATTTTTTATGTCGACATGATGAAATTCATCACTGAGAAAACTCCATTCTTACTTAGCGATACATTCTTAAGAATTGGTTTCGATTGATCGATTAATTATCTCCATGATTCATTATCTAAGATCAGCTGTAAATGAATAGACTATAGTGGCTAACATATGTTAATGACGTCACTTTAATTATCTCTTGATAAACTCCTTTCATTTTCGTCATTTTGGAACCACATTTCTGAGTGAACGGAACTTCAGATTAAAGATTCGAAAACAGATGTAAACGGTTCGATCTTGATACTTCGATTTCACGTTTCAACGAGTTTTCTACGATTTTCGATTCTCGAGATCATCGCATGACAAAATGACGACTTGTGATGCGTACGTCAAGTAAGTAAAAAATAATAAAAACTAGATGGTATTCAAGTTTTACTCGAATACAAAATGCGATGCGAAGCAGGAATCTCGATCCAGGAAAAATCTTCAANGAACGTTGAAAACAACAAATTCCTTTCATTTTTGTCATTTTGGAACCACATTTGTGAATGAACGAAACTTCAGATTGATGATCCGTAAAAAGATGTACGAAGTTTGATCTCAATACTTCCATCTCACGTTTTAACGAGATTTCTATGATTTTCTGTTCTTGAGATCTTCGCGACACAAAATGGCGAAAAAGATGCGTACGTCAAGTTAAAAGGAAAAAAAACTCGCGACGGACTACATAAATGCTTCTGCTTCGCATCGCATTAAAAATCTACTTGTCAAGTAATTTCGACAATTTATAACTCGGGACAAGGATAATATAGATAGTTATCTGAAGGTTTCCTACAGCTAGGATTACTGGAGATGAATATTCTGTAACATTTTTAGTTCAGTACGCATACTATTCTCCTTTCCTGTTCGCAGAGTGCCGTTAATGATGTTTTATTTTTTGTGAACATCGTGGTTTTCAGAGGATGCTTTCTGTGAAGAAATATGCGTAGTGTGAGGACTAAGTTTGAAAAGTTGAAATAAAAATGTAACATTTACAATTTTATCAGTAAAATTAGCCTGGATTACATGAAAAGGATCCGAAAAAGAGGACATCTCTGGAATGTATTCAACTGGAAACACGTATTTGTGACTCATCAGCAGTTTTCAATTGTTAACTCCCTCGACTGAAGTAGACTCGGTCTGAGTCATCAACATTACAAGTACTTACTGCTATGAATTCAAAAACTCAAATGTGTTTTTTTCTAGGTCTCATCCCAGGTCGAGCAATCCAACAGTGGGAACCAATCGGAACCCATCCGATCCGACTCGCATCCAATAGGATCTTATCGGATTTTGTCGGACACTACAGAACTATCATCGAAAGTTCAATGGGTTCCGACCAGTGTTTCTAACGTCAATTCCTCGACCCGAAATCCTATAAGATTCTGTCGGATGGTAGGATACTATCAAGTTCCTATCGGGCTCGGCGTGGAATTTCTCGACCTGGGATCAAATTAGATTGTTTGAGGTTAGAAATTCACCCAATAGAATATTTTTTCCATAGAACTTCTGACTCGCTGCGCTTGACGATACTAGGGGTATAACCGTTTTCAGATCTACGCTCAGATAAAACAGTTCTTTTGATCGGAACTAAAACTGAAATATCATACCCCTAGTCGATACTATGACTTGTAAAAAATAGAATAAATAGAAGTATGAAAATGAGGGCACATGGACTTTTGAAAAGAGATGATAGTAATCTATTACCAAACTAGATTTCAACTTGTAACCGACTAGTCGTGAGTGGCACCCCGTAGGCGTGCCGACGAATGACTAGTCACTAATCTGAAAATTTCAATGAAATTATTTATCAGGCTATGGAGATTTATAAGAGAATATGCACTGTCTGAATCTAACTGGCAGAAACAGTGGTCGACAATGGCGAAAACGTTTAATTTGTTTCAAATCAACCCTGATAACAACTTTTCTGTCAGCATAAAACAGCAGAAGCATATATTTTACAGAAAATCTCACTTATTGAATTTAGGCTCTCTTGGTCATAGCTAGATTTGAATAAAATAAAATGAGTGTTTGGGTATGTGTTTTGATGGAGGAACAACTAGCGTATCCATATGGATTCATGATTGCTCAGATTAACTGACGAATCTAATCGCTAATTCTAGTGCTAGCTTCGTCTAAATACAGTATTCTGACTACAGCTCTCATATGCTTCGTCTTTTTTATGCTGATATTAAACTAGTAAAACGCGCAAAATGTTGAGTTCTTGTTTAATATCAATTTTTTTTCAAGCTAGAAGTTCAACAAAAGCGGCATTTTTCCTTAGCAAAACCTTGTAACATCATTTTAATGTCGGCCGCATCGGACAACTAAAGGCTACCACCTTCCAATCACGGAATAGATTCTTATACCTTTTCCTCCTAATATGTCCGATTAGTTCAAAACTCGTGCAGAATGGATTACCAACACGTTGTCTCATATGGACTATTTCTCAGCTGCGAAACAATAGTGCTTTGGAACCCAGGCTCTGAGTTTCAGAAGCCCCATGTTATTTCATATCAATTAGAAACACAATCGAATAATATTTTTCCGATCATTAATGTCCTTTGTGAATTACATAACCATTTTTTATTCTCCTTTCAGTAGACGGCTAAGCGGCGTTTGCGTCGCACTACTTGTAATATGATGCCCAGAAGCGGAGACATTCCGATGTCACGAGGTAAGGATGTTGAGTGATGCCTTTCACTTCAGTTATACTCGTCACAATCTATTCCCTGCTATGTTGTTCGGGAAAAATACAGCATCAAAAACCAAAAATTGAAATTATGATTTTTGTTTTATTTCGGTAACTTCCATTTTATTCACCATAACGTATTTTGAATCTCCTGGTTGTTTTTTTTCTTGGTGAGTTATTCTATTCTTCTTATTCACATCATGAAATTTAGATAATAATACCATAGTTTGCAGTAATAATTCTGCTAATTGTCTCTTGTTTTTTTTGCACCTTTATTACTTCGAGCATGCATGAATTGCATGTTTTCCCCAATGTTTTTTTCTATTTATTATTTTCTATTGGTTCGATTTTCAAGCATTAATACAAAAAATGAGATACGTTAACATGATCAGTTTTTTTTATTGAAAGCACTTGTTTATTCAGATCGAATTTAACCAAAAGAAAACGAATCCAACATTTATTTATATTAAATCTAAACAAGTCTCTTGAAAAGTTTTTTTCTCTCCATTGTTCCAGCCGCAGAACTAGGAGTACCACTCCTTCCACATATGCCATGTCTTCATACAATATTATTTTTATTTTTATTTAGCATATGGAAGAACGTGCATTCGTCTTCGGTATGGATATCATCCGTGAAACAAGTTACTATGCAACACAGTTAGAACTGAATACATTAGAAAATCAAGCAGAGCGACAACTTTCATTTGCTAATACTTGGCTAAAATTTGTTCGTAAGAAAAAATCTACAACAATTATATCGAAATATCCTACAACTTTACCTATGTGGTTATTACCTGGTATACATTTTCTTCGATATGTATGTTCATTACATTTTACAAACTATATTAATGATGAGTTGTTTAATACATTTTATGAGAATATGCAACAAACTATTAAATATTTACACAATCCAAATGTTAATAATGAATATAAACCAATTACTCCTAATACTCGCCCTAGAAAGTTATCTAGATCATTACAAACGTCATCATCGAGAAAGAATATTTATAATAAACTGCAAAAGAAGAAATTTAAATTAACAAAAATTGAAGAACTTGAACATATGGATAGAAAAATTGATCGACAACGTTTTAAAGATGGTCTCATTGGTAAAATAAAGCCATCTAATGAAGTTTCAAATAAGATTCCATCAATATCGAAAAGAATGGAACAAGATTTAGCATGTTTAAAAATACGAAATTTTCATAAATTAAATCTTCTTTCACGTGGACAGTTTGCAACAAGTAAGTGAATATCAATATAAAAGATCTAGTATAATGGTCATAATGATTAAAATCTCAAAATAGTTTGAGCCTGTAAAGACTTGATTTTTGTTAATGGTCTATGCAGATACACAGCATATTTTTTGACCACGCAATATACTTATCATCTATTCATAGTAACTAATTGAAATATAGAATCGAATATTACTCTTGAAGATTAATTCTGATATCAAAATTCATTTGAATTGAATCGTTTTGTAACTAACATTAAAAAAAGAATAATAATTCTTTTCGTTTTCTTTTTAGCTTATAAATGTACTGTGGAACCAAATGAAATTCTTTGTTATAAACAATACAAAATTCAACATAATGATGCGGCTGCGATCACTAAAGTTCTGGAACAATTGGTACCACTTATGCATATAGGACATGAAAATTTAATAAAATATCGTGGCATAGCACTCGAACATGACCATATATTATTTTTCATGGAGTATTGTAGTCATGGTACCATAGCTCAAATTCTGCTCGGTACACCTTCATTATTATCATCACATGTAGATATACGTCGTCAATCAAACTCACTAGTATGTTCATTGAATGATACAGCATCTGTCGATAAAGGCATAATACAAACCACAGCTGGTTTTGCATTTTTTGAAGAATTTCTTGTGCAACATTATTTAAAACAATTATTATCGGCTTTATCATGTTTACATGAAAAAGAAATTATACATCGTGATATACGCAATGTTAATATATTTTTTAAAGACGCAACAAAACAATCAATTAAATTGGGTGATGTAAATTTTGTTTATGATTTTAAATTCATGAAAAAACAATCATCACTACTTGACATGGAAGCTATCGCTAATATACGTGAATCCATTGTTTTCTATGCACCCGAAACAATAACACAAAATGAAACAACAACTAAATCTGATATATGGTCATTGGGTTGCACACTTGTGCATATGTTAACAGGTCGTATACCATGGAGTAATCCATCGATAGCATCAAGTGCTTACTATTGGAAAGTTATTAATTGGGTTGCAAATGGTGTACAGCCAACTATTCCAACAGATTTAAGTCTATCGAATGAATGTATTAATTTTCTTGAGCAATGCTTCCGAAATGATCCTAGTCTACGACCATCATCACAGGAACTTCTTCAACATCCATTCGTCAAAGAAAACTAGAACGCATTTTATTTATTTATTTTTTGATTTGTATATAGATAGAACTTCTCTTATTATTATTATTATTATTATTATTATTATTGTTCTTTAGAATTCCCAGCAACAGAAAAAAAAATTATCTTTTATACGCAATATTCTCAAGTTTCTATTCAAGTTTACTGCTATAATTTTATTTTTTAGCGTTGAATATGTTTAAAAGAAAATATGATTACAATTATTATGAAAATCAGAATTCTTCAATCAAATAACCATAGAAAACTTGAACGTAAAAATGAAAGAAATACAAATAACGCATTGCTTGACTTGAATGACGGATTTTGCATTTAAAGAGAAAGCTACTTTTATTGTAATCTGAGATTTGAATTTATGTTGCAGCTATAAAAGAAAGAATTCTTGGTCAGCCTAGAAAAATGTTTAAAACAACTGGTATTCATGGTTCTTTGTTACAAAATAATAATTGTTCTACCACAATTTTGACCTTTCATTTTTCTGATAGATAAATCTAGTAAACCTTGAACTATTCTATAACTTACAGAAGATAAATATCTTGCTTAGCCATAATATTAAATTTTGAATTCCCAATACAATTTTTATGATAACTCTGTGTCCAGCGTAGAGTCCGTCGGGTACACAAATTTTGGACCCGGAAACCGACCCGAGCTCGATGGATTTTAATTTTCTGCACCCGGATCCGGACCCGGTCGTATCGTGCATAGAATACTGAATGAAATATCTTAATCATAATTTAATACTCCAAAATAGTGACAGTGATTATTCTTTGAATGATATTGATAGCTTCATTGATAAGAGTACAGAATCAGATGAAGCATTATTTGAATAATAGATTTATGGTGTTAGCCAGATTTAGATATTTCAATCTGGAAGAGTTTTTTGTTGTTTTCCTACTATTTATATATATATATATATATATATATAAATTAAAGATTACTTTTTGAATAAAATGCACAATAAATTTAAGTTCAAAAATATTTATATATATATATATAAAATATTCCTTTGAACCCGAACCCGTATCTAGATCCGGAACCGTACCCGGTAAAATTCAAGTTTTCGGCCCCGGGTTCGGGTACATTTGCAGGGCTCTAGTCCAACGACTGTTTCTTGGAAATTCATTATCTCAATAAATGAGCATTCTCTATTGCTAACAGTTGTAAGATGTTGCCAAGGTCATTGAATGTATCTATCGGCTAAATTACAAGGATAAACTGTATTTATTTCTATAGTTTTTCAATAAACTACTTTAATTATGGATCGAAAAGTCTATGAAACAGGCATATGTTGATGAGAATGAAACGAATCCTCCTAGTATTTTACAGTTTTATCGAGGACACCATATGCATGCAAGATCATTTCAAATGACTAATTACAATTAGTCTTGCTTTCTCATTATCATGAAGCATTTGAATTAAAACTTAGGAACATGCATCATTCCAATAACGTGATATCGAACTAGATAGATTAAACTTTCAGCTAAAAATAGTCAATGTAGTGCTTCCACAAGAATCTTTTATGCTCCTTCGTGTAAAAAAGAAATGGGAGTCAAGATTATTCTATACAAAAGCTAACACCTGCTCGGTTTAATCTCTTGATGACATTTTGCAAGTTCTTCTCGCTTCCTTTTTGCTTCTTACGAGTATTTTATTAAGCATGATGATGCAACAAGCACGAACAATATGAGTCTGTGGCGTTGAATATCACTTCCCTCAATGGAAAAATCAACTTCAGAAAAATATCTAGTTCGACAGAAATGTGATCTCATTAGAATTTTGAAACCGAAGAAAATGCTTTAGAGATAGATTTCAATTTTCCTGACATCTGTTTAAATTTGAATACAATTTATCTAGGCATCAAATTTACGTGAAAACTACGACTATCAAATCCGATAATCAGTCGCCCATTATTAATTGATCTTTCAATTTAATTCATTAAATTTTGATGATTCTTTTAAAAAAATTGTGTTGTTTTCCAAAAGAACCATGTGGAACTTAAATATCTCACTTACTATAGTCGCATCACAAAAAATTTTATTCTTCCGCTATTTGATTTTTCTCCCAGGACATTTCTTCGTGTTTTAACAAACTCATTTTCGACACAATTTGTCGCTACAGAATACTAAATACAGAAGCTATAACTAATTGATCTGTCCAAAAGTACAGAAAAAAATACTATAAAAAAGCCTACATTTTTTGTTCTAGCTATTTAAGCTCAGTCCTCTTACTCATTACGAACAGCATGATAATTCTTTTTTTTTCCGTTATATAGAGTATAAAAGAAAAAATAATATTCATAGTAGAAAAGATAAAGTATTTTATGATTGTTACGATGTTGAAAATCAAATTACAAGCTTCTACTCATGATGATGATGCTATTAACTAAAAAATAGTAAATCGTGTAATGAATTTTATTTTAAAAACATTTATATACATTGTGTAAAAAGTAAAAAATATGTCCTATCATCCATGATATGTTATACTTTTCAAAAGCACAAAAGTAAATCGATTATCAATTTATAGAAAATTCTTTAAACAGACTCAAATTCTTTTTGCCATTCAGTATATTTATCTTTAAATGCTCTTGCTGATGGTTTTGTTGTCGATAAAACTTTTTCAACATCAGGTGTTGTTATTGAATCAAGTTGAATGCATTTGCCTAAGTCGATATCTAAAATAAAATTCAAAATCATTAATTTTTCATTAAACAAAAAATAAAAATGAGTTTCCATACCGTTCTGAAGCGTTTCAAGCACATTAAATACTTTTCTCAATGGATTCATAGCTGCCTCTTTACAAACAAGTTTAATATCTGCGCCTGAATAACCTTCAGTTAACTAGAAAAATAATAATAAAAGTTAATTGAAATTTTTTAATCTAAATGAATTTTCTAATTGACGAACATCACTTAATCGTTCATAATTAAGATCCGCATATAAAATCAGGCCATTTTTTTCATGAATGACGGTTGGTGGTAAAAATTGTTGAAACATAGCATTCCGAGCTTCTTTTGTAGGTAAATCAACTAGAACACGTTTTTCTAACCGCCTCAACATTGCATGATCAAGTTCCCTAAAAATATTCTCGAGATTTAAAAGCACAAACAAACAAATACACACATACTATGTGCAAATATTAGAAAAAAACGATATCCTTACCAAGGTAGATTAGATGCAGCGAGAAGAAAAACAAGATCATCGGTTTTAGCTAATCCATCGAGTTGAACAAGTAATTCCGTTTTCATTCTTCGACTACCTTCATGTTCACTATCAAATAAATGATTTGAATAGAAAAAATGACAGAAAAGAATAATAATAAAAGCGACGCATATTGATTGTCTACATACGATCCTGCATTACCGCCACCACCCCGCTGACTCATTATTGAATCAAGTTCATCCAAAAATATTGTTGATGGTGCATGAAATCTTGCTAGTTCAAATAAAACACGTACAAGTTTTTCGGAATCCCCACGCCATTTACTAACTATGGTCGATGCTGATATATTAAAGAGTGTTGTTTTACATTCGGTTGCGACTGCTTTAGCTAATAAAGTTTTTCCTGTGCCAGGCGGACCATATAGAAGTAAAGCTTTCCATGGCGACAATATACCAGTAAATAATTGTGGATACTAATCAAAAATATAACGATAGATTAGTTTACTTTTCTTCTTTTGCTAACTATTGAATCATACTCGAATTGGATAAACAACTGCTTCTTTTATTGTACGTTTAGCAGCATCAAGTCCAATTATGGAATCCCATCCTACACTTGGGTCATGTAGATAGATATCCTTTAAAAAAAATGAAAACTCAATTTTTATGATGTTTCTTTTTTGTTCATGAAGAATTATTTTTGTTTTTCTATCTACTATATGAATTGAGAAATTATACGAAAAGTCTTGTTTTACTCTGGCTTGATTTATTAAATTTTTATCCTTAATCATACATGGCTTCTTTATAATTAATATAAGGCACGTTTTTTATTCGTCCATCTGCTTGCAGATTCTAAGAAAATCATTGTCGATTCAATGACATTTCTCTCGGGAAACTTTATTTGACATTAAACTAGCACAATCTTCATTTTTTTTGTTTCCCTAATTACATCCTTTTCACTTGTGAAGATTAGCAAAAGAAAAATGAAGGAAACATGTGCAGAAGCTTGAACGAACGCATCATAATTAAATGTAATAATTCTTTTCTTGGTTTATTTATCACATCAAATGAGATACCATGTAAAGACGTCATCCATGGTTGCTTTCATACAGCAAAAAAATTACTATTGCCTTAAAGGTGTGAAGAGCTAGCAAACAATAAGACATATCTCGTTTTTCTTTTCTTTTTCCATACGTCATTTATTCGAATGCGGAATATAAAGATAAAAAAAAGAAAAAGAAAAAGAAAGAACTGACAAACGCGCTCGTTCGTTGGTTGTAAACGGCCAAAGAGAACAAAACAGAGAGAGAGAGGGAGAGCGAGGAAGAGAGACAGAGTAAGCGAGAGAGAAGAAGAAAAAAGAGAAATAATAGACGTCCGCATAGGAGTAACATACAGTCATTCTGTTCTCTTTTTCTCTTCTCGTCCGTCGAAAGCGCTCGTATCCCAACCAACTCGACGCGGCATGTTTGCCCTCTAGTTTACGTTCTTGTATATTGTACGACAACAATAACAACAGCGGCAAAATCATCAGAAAAAAACAGAAAGAAAAGAAGTAAGCAAGGAGCATGTATTAGGTTATCGAGATTTTTTTCTCTCATCGATTCCGAGACATGTGTCGAACAATTCGCTAGTTCTTACAGAATTGTATAAATGTAATAATAATAAAATTAATAACAATAATAATAATAAAATTAAAATGAACATTAATTTTTGAAAAGAAAAAAAAAGAAACGAAAGAGAAAAAGACGAATGCTGCTAATTGACAGGAGAAAATTAGAAACGTTGCAAAGAAATTTAACTTAAACTATTGTATTATTTTTCTTTTCTTTTCTATATTCTAGTTAAACGATGACATCCAAACGGGACATATTTGTTAAAACAATAGCTACACGTCGTAGTGTCTATTCTCAAGATCGTCTTGAACAAATTTTAAGTGAATCAATTCAAGCGAAAGAAAAAGAACCAGGAGATCGTACAGCAAAAGATTATCGTCGTATTAAACGATTTGATATTGTTGACGTACAAGGAAAACAACGCCTTGTTGCTGCACGTACAGATAATGAAGAGAAAGATATACGATTTTTTGTATCCATTGAAGAAATGTATGATATTATTGACTATACACATAAGAAAATGAATCACGGCGGTCGTGATCGTTTATGGCCAATACTGTCAAAACAATACGCAAATATTCCACGTGAAGTTATTCAAACATATTTGAAAATGTGCGATTACTGTTGTAAACGACGTAAACGTATTAATACAGACAGTACAAATGACAATGCAAATCTTAGTGTACATAATGATACAAATGAATTAATGGATACAAGTTTAACAAATATTATTCATGATATTCAACCATTACAACCAACAAATATTATTAAACATGAACAACATCTTCAACAACAGCAGCAACAACAACAACATATTGTTACACAATCAGCACCTATTGTTATACATAATAATATAAATACTAGTCTTCATCAACAACTTCCAGTTGAGAATATTTTTGATGCAGGTTAGTAAACAAAACCAAAATGAGATTTTAGCCTCATACCGTCTTCCGAAGCGTGAGTATCTAGTGTGGGGAATGCAAATACATAGTATCAAGTACAGTAATTATAGAATTCAATTAGACTAATTGGATCTTCGAGTGAGTTCCACTCTAAGACCTATATATTAGATTAAACAAATCAATGTTTTTTCTCTAGTCGAAATACACTAGTACATTTTCGGTTGTTTTAAACATCGAGTTCAAACAAATAAATGCTCTTAAAATCTTGAATTTGAAAAATAAAATAAAATTTCTATTATTATTATTTCAGGAAATTCTCATGTCATGAATCGTTTATGTGAATATGATTTAATTGATTTACAAAATGCACATGATGGTGATTACGGCTATGTTCTTGTCTATCAAGATTATTTAACAAAATTTACTCAATTACGTCCATTAAAAACAAAGTCACCTATTGAATTAGGTACAACATTAATGGATATTTTCTGTATATTTGGTCCCCCACTTGTCTTACAATCCAGTGCAGATCTTCATATTGAGAATTCAGCAATACAACAAACACTTGAGGCTGTATGGCCTGGTATGTTGTTTCATTTCGAGAAAGAAAGAAAAGCAAAGACCATTGATTTTTTTTCTGTTTGTTAAGGTATTCGACTTTATCAAGATGATTCTTCACAATGGCGTGAAACAGCTAAACTACGTAATGAACAAATACGTTCAATGATAGCAGCATGGATGTTTGTCAATAATAATCCACGTTGGTCATATGGATTAAAATTTGTTCAATTAACGTTGAATTCAAATATTAATAATGAATTAAAACGTTCACCATACGAAGCATTGTTTAAAATGTTACCAGTTTTAAGACCAGCAACAGTTACATTATCATCTACAACAACAGATATGTCATTACAACCACAACAGCAACAGCATATTCAACAGCAGCATCATCATCATTCCCAATTACTTCAGCCAACAGCAGCTGTTGTACCACCTTCATCACATTCTCCATCAGGCAGTGCTAATGAAGGTGATTTTGTTACACCAAATGTTAATATTTTGCCATCAACAATCTCGACATCAGATCGGATTAAAGCAGAAATGTAAAAAAAAGTCTGAGAAAAAAATAAAGACTACACATTGTATCAGTCAAACAAACAAATTTCATAAGTCTTATTATTTTTTTGTTGTTTTTTTTCTTCTGTGTTGTCTCTAAGAGTTTGAAGAATGATGATGCGAGCGAAGCGAAAAAAAAAGAAAAACGGTCTATACATATACATATTTTTCATGCACTATCTCTTTTTCTCTTGTGGATTTCTCTTACGCAGTGGTTTATCTATCTGTCTCTCTCTCTCTCTTTCCCTGTCTTTTTTCTGCTTCTTATATTTTGGACATGCGATATGTGCGTGAAAAACTTAATCGTTTTTTTTCGTTTTGTTTTGTTATTATTACTATTTTTTTTGTTTCGTGCTTGTAACTATACTAGTTGGAATAGACAATGATGAATACGAGAGAAATGTGATGTAATATGAGACAAATATGTAACAGAAAGTTTTTTTAAAAAAAAAGAAAAAATTAATTCATTAGTTTGCTTGTCTTTCATTGGTTTTCACTTACTCGACTGATTACTTCAGCTAATTCACGCCATTCAGAACTATAGCCAGCATAACCGCCTAATGGTTTCAATAGACGATCCTGGATAAACGAAAACAAATGATTGTACTCTGGTTATTTGAGAGCATAATGAAAAGTTTATATGTATATCTACAGTTGGATCAATATTGTCTGCGACATTTGCACGAATTGCATCATTGGGATTAGCACGTGGATCTACCACTGTATTCTAGAAAGAAAGGTAATTGCTTTTTATTGAATGTTCGTTTTCTTATGGTTTAAAATGAGAAGAGGAAACACTTAAATATAATTTGACATTTTCAATTTTAGAAAGTTTCGTAGTTATTTCTTTTTAAAACATATACGAATTGAAAGAAAGAGTTTCAGAATTTGCTTTTATTTTAGGTTACTAATCATTCTTTATATTTTGTGAAACAAATTCTGCTGCTCAGCTTTTTTTTCTAATTTCTGAGAAGAAACATGTCATTGTCAAAAAAAAAGAAATAAGCTATTATTAATCAGTACAACGGAAATATGTAGGCAGTCCTCTTTCGTTCAATTTTTTCAAGACCGGAAAGAAACTTGAGTAGTCTTAATGTTATTCGTATAATAATCCGACTTCTGAGTATAAGTTCAAAATAAATTTTGATGAAAATCTTACACACGAATCCTCAGCAGTTATTTATTAGAAATCTAGCTATATCATTACTTTTTTCTTATTTCCATTTTGTTGTTGTTCATTAGTTGTTAGTGTGGATTTAACCGATGAAACTTTCATAAAAGAAAGACTCATTTCCTCCAGTGAATTTGCAGAATGATTAATATTGTTATTTGTTGGTTGTTGCTAGAACAGTAATAAATAAAATGAAAATTTCAAATTATTTGTTTGGCATTTGCTTTTAGTTTCAAAAAAAATATCTTCTTACTGTAGACGTTTGTTTTTGTGCAGCCGATGGTGGTGTTGAATGTGTACTATTTTTATCGATAATAGGTTGATTAAATTTACTGGTACTTGCTGTCCGTCGAAGAGCATCACCAGCCGATTGTAAACGCGCAGAAGGACTAGTAGGTTCTGTACTATTATTATTACCAACACGAGTTATTGGTGGTATCTGTGGACGACGATTTGCTGGCTGTGCACTGAATTTAGTTTGGTTTTTGAAAACAAAACATTATGTGCGAACAAAAGATAGAAATCTTACTTGGAGATTTTTGCAGATATTTTGCTCATAAATGCTGCTGCTAAAGATTGAAAAGAGAATTCATTATAGAATGGATAGTTATATTTTTGTTACTAAAAATATTCAATTGCTTTGAGACAACTATTTTTCAATCTTTCTTAAAATTTTATTATGATTATTTTTCTTTCCTAGAAATTTGATCAGGATTTTCAATTTTCTTCTAATTTATGAAAGACAGAAAATTATACACAAGTGTGTATTTTGTGAAAATATCAATTGCATACATCTATTTACAAAGTTTCAAAAACAAGCAATTAATCATTGTCGATTTCATTTTATTTAAAGACATCGGGACTTCAATGACAAAGGAAGTCTGTGAAGTGATAAAGTTTATTATTTTGGCCATTGTCAAACAAAAAATTTTGATAGGATGAAATTGAACGAGTATGTGTGCTTCTTTTCCCATGGTAACACATCTTACATGTAAACATACATAACATATTTTCATCGCATGAAGTTCTCAAAAGACATATTATTCGGTGCTTAGAGTAAATTTTCTAGTATTTTCTCTTGTTTTTCATAAGAAGTAATCATTTTTGCTTTTAGCAGATGCTCATAAACTGATGTAAAAATAAAATAATCATTTATTTTTCAGTATCTTAAGGAAACTTGAAAATTATTCTAGCATTTCTACTTCAGTAGTAATCATCGGATAATTTAGAGGTGTATAAATTAATTATAACCAACTTGAATGCACTTAGAGATCTACTCTCATTAGAAGCAAAAAGAGGCAAATATTCCTTTTAAAAAAAGTGTGCTAATGATTTGTTTGCTAGACGCTATTTGTCGACAGTAACTATTAAAGTAAAAGGCACTGTCTCGATTTCTATGAAAAATACACTAACAACGCCAATTTTTTTCAAAAATGGTTGTTTTCAAATATTTGATTTTTATATTCATTTTCTAGACAACGATCTCGCTTTGAAAATTCTATAAAAGAAAAAGATCAGTAATTTTAAACACATAGTAAAACTGATTTTTGTTGAAGAGAAATTGAGTTTGTCACGTGTTAGCTTAATTTTGGAGGGTTGAAAAAATCCTTTAATAAGTCCTAGAATACTCTTCCAATCAATGTGGGAAGTAAAAGAAAATTTTTTTTGACACAAATCAGATATTTTCAAGTTTCTATAGCCTATAAACGAACTACTGAACATCTTGTCAAATGACTACTTTATGTTACCTATTGCTTTGGTTTGAAATTGATAAACTATGGTAAAAGGACAAGTTTATATTCAAAAATAGATCAGACGAAAAACATTCTTGAGAAAGTTCAATAATCAGTTTATTTCTTGAAGTTTTAATATAAAAATAATGGTAAATCTTTTCGAGTTTGAAAAGTTCTGTATCATGAACAAGTTACTACAATTTTTTTAGAATCAAACTTTTCAAAAGTAGAAAAAATTTACTTAGCAATCATGGAACATTGGAAAAATTCAATTAAACTAGTCTATAAAAATCAATGCTGTACAACTATATTTCAGCTTCAGAAAAACTAAACAGTCTATTATACTGTAACATCAGAGTTTCAATAGATATTTTTACTGGAGATTTATTCTGATAGATGCATTTGTGTGAAAAAATAGGTTGAGACCGATGCTAAATGTATATTGTTAGATAGATGGCCTTGAGTCCTAGTCATAAAAGTATTCTATCATGCCGAGGCAAAACTGGAACTGGACAATGATAAGTTCTTATCAATAAATAACTTTTCAATAATTGGACATGTTTTAATCTTACTGTTAGCGTTATTATTTTATTATAATTCGAGGATGATACTGGAAAAAAATTGAGTGTTTATTTTCTGACATTTTGTTGTAAATATAAGACTAGAGGTTGGCTTACTCGTTGGCCCATTTTTCTTCGTTAATTTTGGATATCGATTAAATTTAACATAAAAATATGACCTATTATTTAATAAAAACTTTCCGGTAACATGTCTGGTGTTTTTTTCATGTATACTAACTCGTATTCTTGAATTATTGTATAGAGGTCAACATTATCACAAACATCATACTTCGTAACATCAAGATTTGTTTCATGTTCTAATTGTCTTGCAGACTCAACATAACTTTAATAAAATTAAAATTATAAATGAATCTCTGTTTCAAATATACATGAAACCAACACTAATTTACCCTTCATCAGCAAGCCATTGAAGAACTAAAATAATTAAATTCTTTTTCCGATTTTCCATTCGTTGATCATCCTAAATAATAATATTCAATTCTTGATAAAAAAAAACGGTCTTTTCAATTGATTAAACTTACAGCTTCACGTGCTGCATGTGTTGTTTTAATTAGTTGATAATTAAGATTCGCTTCAGCCATTAAATAGTTAATCTATATTTTGCGTATTATCGCCTCGAAATGGAAATCATAGAACATGAATACTGATCAATCGTTGCTTAGCACTCGACATGTTTGTAAATGATAGATGTCACACTACGTATTCCTTTATATTTACGCATATAGTATATATAGAAACAAATTCATCCATCTCGGTCAAATTTGGATTCCATAGGAACTGATATTGTATCACTAGTATTCTTTCTTTTAGATCTACAAACAAACAAACAAAACATCAACGAAAATGCGTGGGGATTTAAATGTAAGAAAGTTTAATTGATCTGATTTATTAATTATTTTAATTTCTTTTCTTTTTTTTTAAATATTAGACAGCACTCAATCCAATTCCACTTTATAAACAAGGTGTTGAAGAAGAAAAATCTGAACTTGCTCGATTAGTAAGTTTCCCTTAGAAACAAAAGCCAAAAGAAAATATTTCTAATTATTAATTTTAGTCTTCATTCGCTGGAGCAATGGCTGTTGGTGATTTAATAAAAACTACACTTGGTCCAAAGGGAATGGTATGAATTTTTTGTTTGTTTGTTTGTTTGTTTGTTTGTTTGTTTTTTCTAAAAAATAATTATTTTAGGATAAAATCCTTCAATGTGGTATGCATGGTGGACCTGATGCTGGTAGATTATTAGTTACCAACGATGGAGCAACAATACTATCAAAAATTGGTATTGATAATCCTGTAGCTAAAGTTCTTGTTGGTATGGTTTCTTTAACTTGACTTTTTCTAGAAGGAAAATTTTGTTTTTCTGAATAAATAGATATTTCAAAAGTACAAGATGATGAAGTTGGTGATGGTACAACATCTGTTGTTGTTTTAGCAAGTGAACTTCTTCGCGTATGTTTATTTATAATTATTTTCATTGACAATTCTTCTTTTTTTGTTTCAAAAATTATTATAGGAAACAGAGAATTTAATTGGACAAAAAATTCATCCTCAAACAATTATTGCCGGATGGCGTAAAGCAACCACTGAAGCTCTTCGAGTTTTGGAAGGCATTGCTAAAAATAATAGGTACAGAAAGAGAAAATCAAGCAAATGAAATTTGTTTCTATTTCATTTTGTTTTAATTAGTTCAAATTTGGAGCAATTCAAAAAAGACCTTATGAATATTGCTCGTACTACATTGAGTTCAAAAATTCTTCAAGGAAAAAAAGAGCATTTCGCTAAATTATGTGTTGATGCTGTATTAAAATTACATGTAAGTTTCATTAGTTCTAAACGAAGAACAAAATAAATAACAGTAAAACTTTTGATTTCGTAGGGTAAAACCGATTTACAAGGTATTCAAATAATCAAACGTTTAGGAAATAATATGAGCGATTCATATCTTGAAGAAGGTAATTTCATAAATTCAAATAAATAAAAAGCAATATTTTTCATGTCAAGGTTTTCTTTTGGAAAAACGTATTGGTATTAATATGCCTAAACGTATACAAAATGCGCGTATACTCATTGCTAATACACCAATGGATACAGATAAAATCAAAGTTTTCGGTTCACGTGTACGTGTTGATTCAGTTGCTAAAGTAGCTGAATTAGAATTGGCTGAGAAAGAAAAAATGAAAGACAAGGTTGATAAAATACTTCAACATGGTTGTAACGTTTTTATTAATCGGTAAGAGACGACGTAGGAATAATTTCATAAATATATAATTTTGTTGTTGTATTCGTAGACAATTAATTTATGATTATCCAGAACAATTATTTGCTGATAAAGGTGTTATGGCTATTGAACACGCAGATTTCGAAGGTGTTGAACGTTTAGCACAAGTACTTGGTAAATGAGGACAAAAATAAATCACATGTTCATATAACTTCTCTTTTAACCTAAAAAATTTATTTATTTAGGTGGAGAAATCGTTTCAACATTTGATACACCAGATAAAGTACGTTTAGGAAAATGCGATCTCATCGAAGAAGTAATGATTGGCGAAGACAAACTCATTAAATTCTCAGGTTCAAAGTTTTTTGTTTAATAAGAAAAACATTTTTAACTTTCTCCTTCATATATATATATATATAGGTGTAGCACAAGGCCAAGCTTGCACCATCATTTTACGTGGAGCTACACAACAAATTCTTGATGAAGCCGAGCGATCAATTCATGATGCTCTTTGCGTTCTATCACAAACAGTTAAGGAACCACGTATTTGTTACGGAGGAGGTTTGTTTTGTTTTGCTGTCTTTATTTTTCTTTTTAAACGAGTTCATTGTATAAATAGGTGCTTCTGAAATGTTAATGGCAACGGCTGTTTCGCAATTAGCTGAAAAAACACCTGGTAAAGAATCAGTTGCTATTGAAGCATTTGCCCATGCACTTCGTCAAGTAATTGAACGAAAGTTCATTAAAAATCAATCATAAATCTTTATTCTTTAGTTACCAACAATCATTGCTGACAATGCTGGTTATGACAGCGCAGAATTAATATCAAATCTTCGTGCTGCTCATACTGCAGGAAAATCAACATTTGGTCTTGGTATGGTCTTATTGTTTTATTTTAATTCGATGTTTTTTTTCTGTTTAGATATGGAAAACGGTACAATCGCTGATATAGCTGAGCTCGGTATTCTTGAATCATATCATCTTAAACGTCAAGTTGTAATCAGCGCATCTGAAGCAGCTGAAATGGTATTACGTATTGATAATATTATCAAAGCACCACCACGACCTCGCCAACGTGATATGCGAAATCATTAAATGATTTCAAATATTGAAGAAAACATTTTTTAGAGCAATTCGAACATTATTGTTTGCTATGATTTTTTTAATATCACTTCGTAGATTCATTTTTCTTTTAATATCGACATGTATTGCAGTGCGAGAGAGAATGTTTGAAAATCAAAAGAAAAACGTACAAACCCTCTGTTGTGCGAGTGTGATTGTTACTTTGTTTGTTTTTTGGTTGATGTTTTCTTTGTTATTAAAAGCAAAAAAAGATTAAAATAATCGCACTGTTCTCAAGATATATAATCTTCATATACTGGTCTGTAAAAGGTTTATCAATTAAGTGACTTTGCCAATGTCTGGAATAGATAGACTGCAGTTAATCAGAAGAATTTCAAAAGAAAAAAAATCATACGAAACAATACGTTGAATGATGGTGTGAGAGTTAAAGCATGGAATAATTCCTGTGAGATTTTCAAATCGGTAACCTATATCATTATTGTACAAAAGAACATTCCAATTGGAAACGAATACTGCTAATAGCAGGACGTAGTACAAGATCATAAGTTAGCAAAATAAGTTATTCTTATTAGTTTCTCTTGTATATAAAAAAAACCAACATCTGATACTGAAATATAGATATCTGATAAAAGAATTGATATAAGTGTTTTAACGTTAATATCATATCATATTATTATTTATAAGTTATTTTTTTCTTTTAATGCTAAATGAATTTGTTTTTTGAAATTTCTACTTTAAATGTAATAATTTGGTATAAATACAATAGTACATGAGATTTTAATGCAAAATGCTTTATTTTTTAACGTATTTTATGGAAATTTTCGATCTTATACGATCATTTTCAATCAAAATAACAGGAACTTTACAACAAAGATATTACAAAAGCCTGACGACAAAAAATAAAATAAAATAAAATGATGAAGATATCTGACGGGATGTTGCGTTATTCCGGTATGTTTTTAATAGAATGTGCAAGACTGCTTCTCAGGAGCATTACAAAAAAAAACTGATGTTTTGAGTTTCAAATTGAGCTATTACTGGCGAATGAGTTTTGCTCAAAACATTTTATTATGCAAATTTTAGAGATTTTCATTTCATCTATCTCAAGATATTTTAATACGATGTAAACGCGTCATCTAAATCGGTTATGAATATTGGCAAAGTTGAATTTTACATTATAAAATAGAAAAAAAGCGAAAGAGCGGAGAATTTTCTTCGCTTCTTTCTCCGTTGTTTTTGAAAAGCAGCACCGAAACTTTAATTGAAACGATATCCTAAAAATGTATATTGACGACAAAAAACAAGCGAACCGTTTGAAAACATTTTAAGAAATTCAGAAGTCATTAGAGCTTGTATGATGCATATTATCTCAACTCATAAGTACATTAATGAACTTCGGGATTTCTTTTGTTAATTTTATAGTTTACTTTGTAATATTGATAATCGTTTAGTTCAAAGAGAAATTCTCTTTTCGTCATTTGGGAAGAAAAATTTTTTATATGCTTAAGAAAGAATTCATCTAAATCTATTTATTCTTTTAATATCTTACAGTAGTTATACTACATAAAAACACACGTAAATCTCGAAGAAATAGTTTTTATTAATCAGCGTGATATAGGATAATGAGAATTATTACATAAATTTATTTTTATATCGATTAGATATATGTTTGTTATTATTAAATCGATTGACAATAGTCCAATCATTCTTAATGAAAGATTAACTCGTAGTCAAACAAAATCCGATATAACGCTACGTAGGTGAAGTTCGTTTTGTCTTTTATGCTTGGCCATAAATGTTACCCCAGGTCAATGATTGCGGAGGACGGATACTGTAGGAACCGGCCGGAAAGATGCGGAAAAATCACCGTATCTGGCCGGAAAGTACCAGAAAGCGCTGGAAAGTGGAAGAAGTATTCCGATCGGGAGTTACCGGATTTTTTTTCCGGTGTATACCGGTCAAGTTCCAGTCGGAAATCACAGGAAACTTACCGGAATCCGCAGGAAAATAGTCCTGCAACTCTCAACCGGAATAGTGCTTCCGCTTTCTAGCGCTTTCCGGCCGTTTCCCGTCATAAACCCCACGACCTGGGGCAGTCTCGAAAGAAATTATCAATGAACAATTCGTTTTTTGAAAAGTTTAGACAGATCAATTCATATATGAGATAGTAAATAGATATTTGATCTTCATCATGTACAGGTAATCATTATACAGCTATGTGTAGAATAGACGTACAGATGATGTTCAATGCTAATTTAAGGGTAACAATCGTATTGTTACATCGTAAATGAGTTTCTTCATAGGACAGCTGAAATTTTATTCTTTTATTCATATTTCAATAATATTTATTTACATATTTTTTAATCATGCTACATACTATCACTAAAATGCATTATCTTAGAATGATTATTTTTCACCAAAAACAAAACAATAGCCACAGGATTTTGTATTTTTAACAAAAATAAAACGCGCAATAAATTACTTTTCTTTCTATTATGATAAATTGCGCATTTAAAGTTATTATCATATGACTAATAGTTTGTAATTATGTAAAGAAGTACTGATATACGTGTATTATTCAAACTATTTATCTCGTTCCGTATCATATATCTTGCATGCTAGTGTAGACCTATAGTCTGCACAGTCAGCTACTATAGAACATTAGCTTATTGAAAAACTCATAATTTATAACTAAATGTCTACTTTTTTTTCTTCTAATAGAATTTATAGAATTATCAAAAGTCACAACAAACATTGATAAGGTGCACATTTGTGACCGTACTTATTCTTTTCGTCTTTTCTTATAGTCTATGATAATTTACTTGTTAAGACTAGTTCTAATCATATAAATAAATCCGTCAAAAACAACACGAGAATATTTTATAAGTAATAATTACAAATTCGTTTACGAGTAAAGATTAGATCAACCTCAATGATAAAAAAAAACAGAGAAAAAATAAGTCATTTTGAGATTAGTTTTCTATCATGCATCACTCTCTTTTTCTTCTTAGCGTTCAATGTAAAAAAGGTTTACGCATAAAAAAATATATAGTAACCATTACCCTAATTGATGAATGGAAAATAATAAATAAGAAGTAAATTTCTTTTATTCTTTGCGTTTTTGACTTTCAATAGATAAAAACTATACCAAACGTAAGTATATTATACTAGTTCATATAGAATAAGTAGTATCAATATATGTGGGAATTTATCATATGACTTCATACTTCACTAATTCCATTTTCGTTTCACATCCTAAATTAAATAATTATTCATATGGAAAATGAAGAATCTTCAAATAAATTATCATTATTATGCTTTTATATTTACAAAAGAAAACCCAATAACTTATGGAAACATGCTTTACCTAATACTTAATAAATATAGAACAAAGTAACACTCAGAGCGATAAGCTTTTTCTTGGTAATTATTCTCTAGGATTGTTAGGGTCACAAGAATATAGTGAGCACAGAGGCCGATTGACTATTTATTTTCTTAAGCCCCCCCCCCATGNGCCCCCCCTCAAAAAAGGTCGATTTTCGTCAAAAAAAATGAAAATTGAGATAACACGATGGAGTGATAACCCATGTTCTGCTGTTTCAGAATCAGTATAGTCTTTTTTCGAAAGAACGTTTTTTGACCGAAATTTTTGGTCATCTTTGTGATGTGCTCTATGTTAAAAATGACTTTTTGTCGAACAAAACATGATTTTCGAGTTTTTTCGAAAAAACTCGCAACTTGAAGGATTTTTATACTTTTAGGCAGCTTTTAATAGCAAAGACACGAGATAATTCTTCTAATGTGATCGATACATATACATATAATAATAAATAGTGATTTATTTGATCTTTGCCCAATATTTGCCGACATCTACTTGTGCAAAGAATACATTGTTTTATCATGGATAATAGTATGAAATAGTTGTAATCACTGCGGATATTAGTATAACAGATTGATAAGCATAGATTGTAGTTATGGTTATCAATGCTCTTCAGAGTAACAACAGTATAAGTAGCTCTTTGGTCTCAAATTGCTGATTAATTAGTTAATTAGTACTCACTTAAGCGTTCAGTGTGTGCAGAATTAAAAGCTACATAGAGCACGTTCGGTTGGCTTCCTCAGAAACCGCGTGAAAATTGCAGAAAATTTTAAAAAAATGTTTTTCGAATTTTCTCAAAATCATGTTTTTCCCACGCGCATCCTAGTAATTTTGTTCTTAAGTATGTTTAATCGACCAAATTTCTTTTCAATCGATAGAGCATGCAAAGACGCAGGACATGACGTTCTCCGATTTTTGAAAAAGCTTTTTTTTATGCCCAAAAAAGATCGCCTACAAAAGTAGCATGCAATTTTTTGGCCTCTTTTCAAGCACTTTTACTTGTGGAAAATTTTTCGGCCTACAGAATGAACTTTCAAAAATCGAAGAACGTCATACCCTGCATCTTTGCATGCTCTATCGAATGAGAAAAAGATTTGGTCGATTAAACGTACTTAAGAACAAAATAACTAGGATGCCAGACCAGGTCCAACATATCCAGAGAATTTCAGCCGATTTGAGCGTTCTTTGGCGAAAATCGACCTTTGAGGGGCGGGGGGGGGGGGGCTGCGTAGTTG